TCAGACCGACGTGCAGTCATATTTCTTGTGGGAGAGTTACTATATAAATTCCTCTTCCTCCCACTATACTTAGGAGCACTGGGAGGATTTGAATCTTCCCTGCTCACTGGGAGGAATTTGTTTGGTACCTGATTTATTCTATCAGGATTTATGTCTCCTTTGTTCAATTCCATATCTGACATATTGTGAGTCATTTCAAAAGCATTTGACACATTCATTTCAGGTATCTGGCTAGCCTGTCCCTTCAGCCCTGAAACAAAGCCAGGAAAAGAGGGTAGACCACTTTTCATGTCTGATGGACTTTGATAAATTGCTCTCTGTCTTTTGAGAGCATATGGCTTCTTATGAGGAGGACTTTGTGATCCATCCACTAATGGAGCCATTGCCTTTCTCTCAAAACATACGTCTCCTCTACTAGCATCATGAGGAGTTCTGAACTTGACTTTCTCAATTTCTTTTAATGGGGAGCGATTTTCATTAATCAGCTCCTGTGTTTCAAATTTATGTTGAGACATTTCTTGGTCGATCTTAGCTTTGTGATCAGACGAACTCTGGTCTATTTGAGACACCAAGCGATTCTGCAACTGATCCATGATAGGAACCAGTGAAGAAACTGCCTGTGGAACCAGAGAGGACACTGCCTGTGTCACTTCAGACTTCATTGAATTCATATCTGATTTCATGGAGCCCATATTAGATTCAATAAGTGTCACATCTGATTTCATGGAGCCCATGTTAGATTTCATAATATCCACTGTATTGCCAATTAAGTCAATGTTGCTCCACAGATGACTAATTTGGTCACTCATGGCACTGATTTTGTCAGTCTCTGAGGTTGGCCCAACAGTGGAAGAGCGAGGAGCATGTTCAAAGCCCTCTTTATGTTGTGAACCTTGCAGGAAACTCAAATCAGTTCCAGACACATGAGACCAATATCCAGTGGATTTTGTTTGCATTTCCTGGTTAGAATCAGTCCTTTTAGGAACTGCTCCAACCCCATAATTAGACCTAGTTGGATTTCCTCCAGACCAGACAACCGTTTCATTCACCGACATGGGGTTGCTCATAGCATTTTCCCCTTTGAAAAATACAGTGTTTTCTGGGCTCAACTGAGCACTTTCACCACACTGTGTCAGATCCATTGCATTATCCGAGTCATTAGCTGACTCCATGGTGTAAGTTTCATACACAGATCTGATATATCTTTAACAATAAACACACAAAATGAACAATTAAGTCACCTAAGATGAGGAATTATACTACCTTGCTCTTTGTGCTCACCTACGAATTCAGGAGCAATAAGTCACTTTTGCCTACGGATTATGCTACCTTGGTCAAACCAATTAAGACACGTTTGCAAAAGATTTATACTACAATGCTCTCTTACACTTTAACAAATTTAGGAGCCATAAGTCACTCTAGCTAACGATTTATGCTACCTTGGAAGAACCAATTAAGACACGTTGCCAAAGAATTACACTTCAATGCTCTCTTAAACTGTGACGATTCAACAGTTCACAATTCGGGTATAAATCTCAGTACAACTAACAACTGCTCTTTAGCCAGCTCCTCTTAAAGAACAATACAAATCAAACAGAGCGATCCGGCCAACAACTTCACAACAGTGTTATATCTGCCTCACTCTTAAAAACGTGTACCTGCACCTGCACGGAATAACGTTAATTTCAATGTGTTCTTTCTCAATATTCAACTGGAGTGGGTCCGGAGCAGAAGTATCACATAAATCAATACAGATTTCACTGCAAACTTTTTTAAGAAGTCTGTTCACAGTGCATAAAATATGAGGACTACCCTCGGTTCATAAAACATACAGATTGAGGACTACCCTCGGTTCAAAGAGCAAATCATGAGGAATACCCTCGGCTCATAAAGCATACACAAATGGAGGACTACCCTCGGTTCTCCGTTCACACAATAAAGTCTGAGGACTACCCTCGGTTCATAAATTCACTTATACAGCAACTAAATAGAACACTTCAATTAGTGGCTCATATTAAGTCACATGTACTTATTCAATGGAGCAGTTCTTTCCAAAATGAGCAATTAAGTCCCTATTGCAAATGAATTACACTACCTTGGCTGTACCAATTAAGTAACATAGCAATAGCCTTACACTACCTTGGCTCTTTGGAATAAACTCTCTGCTCCTCACAAGTGAGTCTAGTGATGAACGCTTACAGATGAAAAATCAAGACATGCAAGCCTTTAACACCGCGAGATCAATTAACAAAACAATATCCCACCGCTGCCACCAATGTGACGGAACGTGGCGTCTGGGCCGAGCGGAAACCCGAGTGTCACTTTAAAACTCTCACGTGGTATGAGAGCCGGCGGGGAACGTCTGTTGGTGAAAGGATTTTGTTGTGTTGATTTTTATTATCGTTCTGCCACTGATATTATACAAGTAGAATAACAAAGAATGACAAGGGAAATATAATAACTTTGATAAATGTAAAATGATCAATTTAAATTGGAGGAATATGTGAATGAAGAATGATGATAATGAATGGTTTGGCCAATATTTAAATTCTACAACATAGCTCCGTGAAACAATTAGAGCACACTTTGATGGCTAGAAGAGCAAAATGTAATGAATACTGAGTACGGTAGGCTCCTAGCGACTTGAGCTCCAGAGCAAAATGCTATATTCAAACTAATGGCTCCACAAATCTCAATACACAAAATGAGCAAGCAACAGGCTCCGGAGCAAAGTGTAACATTAAACAAATGGCTCGGAAAGGCTCCGTACACAATAGGAGCAAGCAGCAGGCTCCGGAGCAAAATGTAGTGCTCAAATAAATGCCTCAGTCAGGCTCCAAACACAATTAGAGTCGGTAACAAGCTCCGGAGCAAAATGTAATGCTCCCAATGAATCAATAAATCAATGAGCCTCAAAGCAAAGCAGGCTCCAGATCAAAATGCAAGGCTCCGAATTAATAATCAATCAAGCAGGAGCTCTCAATGGGCTCCGGAGCAAAGCACAATGCTCCAAATCAATAGTTAAACAGCAAAACAGGAGCTTTGAGAGCAATTAAGTACCTATTGCATATGAATTACTACTACCTTGGTTATACCAATTAAGTCACATAGCAATAGTCTTACACTACCTTGCTTCTTTGGAATAAACTCTTTGCTCCACACAAGTGAAATTGGCTCCGGAGCAAAACGTAAGGAGCAGTTTTGGTAAGAGCAATTTGTTACAGATATGGCCAATCTTTAGACAAAGAAATATGAATGTTGTAAATTGTAGCAAAAATGAATGTAATGAGATTGGAATAATTGACAGAAGCACTGGGAATTAAGGATAAAATTAATGAATATGCGAAACGTTTAAATTGATAGAAATACTGGGGATAAAGAACTGATAATAACGAATGCTAATTAATGGAATATTTCAAATAATGGACTGTGAACTGATTGAATGAAGGAACGATGTAAAATTGAATTTATTTCCCTTATCACTCTTGAATTGCAATGGAAATAAAGCAGTAAATGTGGACTAGATTGACTCACTTTAGCTTCACTTGTTTATATCAAAACAGACACAGTGAATTTAAATGAACAAATAACAAGACTTTATTGTAATAATTACCTTATATCAGAATACATAGTCACAAGCAGCGCTGAACGACTTTCAGGCTAACAACGTATCTCCGTGTAAACGCAAGATATATCCAGTTATGTTCAAAATAAATCCACAATAATACGATCACCAGTAGCACAAATATCCAGTGTAACTTAATACAGCTATATAAATCCAAAATCTGCTAGGAATCAGTTATAAATCCAATGATACAATTCTGTTATAAATCCAAAATGTAATCGCAGGTTCTTACTCTTCAGCATTCAAAACTAGACTGAACATTCCCCGAACGAACGTGAGAAGGTTTATTTTTCGGAACATCTCTTTCCATATAAGGAAATGCTACTATGACAACAGGTCTGTTAGCTTGCTACAATGTCAAAATAGCTGTCACATCAAAGACTAATAAACCTAGCGCTAGCCTGTCAATCAAATTACTATGTGGGAAAGTTTGAAAAAGTGTCGGCAAAATGCCGTCAGAAATATAAAACTTGACTGAAAATCACTCTTTTTAAATTACAATATCTCCTAAAGTATGAGATCAAATTCAAAGTTTAATACACCGTTTAAAAGCTCAATTCACCCTTAATTTAAGAAATAATTATTATAATTTACAGACAAATACTCTTCTCTATATTTAATGAGAAAGAACATGAGTAAATAAGAACTGAAATCATGTGTGCCAGGCGGCCGGCAATTAAATAAAACCACACGTTTACACTAGTTATTCAAACTTATCTTACTCAAAAACTATTATTCCTTTTTGCATGAAATAAAAATGAATAAATCGTTAAAAGAATGTTGTTTTTAACCATATATAAAACATAATTTGATCTTGATCAGAAAAGCATGAAAATAAAACTTGAAAATAAATAAGAAAAATGCGCTCCCGCTACAATAGTTATATCAATATTGGTAATCAAATCAACACGGTATTTAAAAATAAAAATGCAGAACGAGGACTTTGGAATAATGAAATAGATCTCGAAAACTTCCACTGCTTGACTCTTGAGCCAATTGTGTTTACAAAATATATGTTCTTGCACATGATGACATTTATTGTTTGTTTTCTGATAAATATAATGACATCATAAATACGACGTTTGTTCAAAAAGTTAGTATTCACCGATATTGTTAGCATGAGTCTCTGTTCCAATTCTGGTTGCAATGCATTTAATTCCTACAGTACAACTATGCAACGGATAAAGTAACAATACACATTTACATCATTTCAAACTTCTTGCACAAGTGAGACTTAAAACTACGATTTCTTCTTTGTAGTATAGAGTGGCGACATTTATCACTGGCTATGACTTGGGGGGTTATTCCGAACACTTACTCACATACTGTACATGTACATCTAGTTGAGAACAAAACAGTGTTGTTTTGACATATAGGATGATCCTACTTATTGTACTTTGCTGACATTCATGAAAGGCAACCTTGAGGAAAAGATGACTTGTCTGAACGAAATAGTGTACAGAATGAACGTTAGTCAGAATCTCACTGAATCCAGCTAATACCCGAATGTAACTATAAAGTGCTTTTCAAAGCATTTATCTGGACCATAGTATAGAAAGGGTCGACATAGTCTGATAGTTATATAAAACGTTGATTTCTTGATTTTAAGCAGCCGTGATTATTTGGACAATAAGAGAATTTGAACACAATGGCAGAATCAGGGACAAATATCGAACTGAAAACTACCAACAAAAACGGTAACCTAAAGCCAGAAGACGAGCACATTCCAAAAATCAACGATCCACTTCTCTCAAATCCAGAATGCGTTCTTCAACTCACAGACGACCAGGAAAACACTTATGCTCAAAGAATTGAGGCATTGCAGAACAAATGGGGAGATTTTTTAATGAACAATGCAAAATCTTTATGGAGGATTATTTATATCATATTAATACTTTTATATAGTGTGTATTTTGGATTTGCAATTTGGTTTAGTCCGAAAGGAGCAACATTTCTTATTGTAGTCACTCTTTTAGTTGTAACTTCCTGGACGTATTCCGTCATCAGTGATTTATATGGGAAAAGGATTAGCAAGAGTTTGAAAGATTTAACCCAACCATGTTCGAAAATTTCAAACAAGAAATGGAGATACATTAATTGGTAAGTAATTGTTAACATTTCGCACGTTTTATGCAAATGGACATTTGCCGGTGTAATGTCCACATGAAATACTATTGGATATGCTTTGCCCCGACTGTGTATGACTGTTATATAAGCAGTGGTAATTAATTTGTGACTAAGAATGTAGCCTACGTACGTAGTTGTATAGTGATGACCCTTTCTAGTGCTTATGTTATACCTAACTATGATTCTTAAGCTTGTAAAAGCATTGTGATCTTGTGATCATTTTCCAAAAATGTTGATTCCAGATTTTACTTTTGAATCATTTATTACACAGTCAATATGGTACAACGAAAATGGGACTTCTGCGCATGTTAAAATTTTTCGTCAAAACTCAACTTTTGTTCAAGTTGATACGATTGTCTTTCATCTAGAGACTTACCTCATTCGAAAGATCATAAAAGACTTTATCTATACTGAAAATCTTAGATCCAAACATAGTAGAATACGCCGTCAGTCCGCATTTGATTTTTTGAAGTTCGTTTCGTAGATCGTCAGATTTCTCCGACTGATATCGGGTTATCTCAAACTGGTTCGTTTATAAATACGAATTTGTTTACCGTTGTAAGGCGCATGCGCAAAATTGATTTATAAACCTTATTGGTTGATGGTTTTTCTCCTGCGCATGCGTGAAGTCTGATGAACACTTATGACGAAGACTTAAGGAGGATTGGCTCCCAGAATCGAAATCGATATTTTCCAACAATGAAAACGCCGAGATGTCGTTATTTTCTGAAATTATAACCGATTATAAATTCAAAATAAACAGTTCAAAAGATTCGAACCAATATCTCAATCATTTCCTGTGAGTTTTGGAATTTTTCGTGAGGAAATAAGACCAAAATTTACGATTCAAATGTTGAAGTGAACAAAATGGCGGCTGTTGGAATTCAAATTTTGTAGCACGACATGCCCATATATGGGACAGAATATCGATGTTGCACTCTGGGAGCCAATCCTCCTTGACGAAGACCGGAGCAAACATTACTAGCTCTTGAACGAAATTCCAAGATTCAGGTCATTTCGCCGTGTTTGCTAAGCGTGTATACGTGAATGACAAGCTGTTTTGAGTAGATCGGGTACCTGTTTTAGACACAACATTGATTTAGCTTGACATTGATGTGCACATTGGCACTTTTGAGCATGTTAATACAAGTTTTTACACTCTTAGCACGAGACGGGTTTTCGAAAAATCTGTTATCTGATTCACTCGATTATCGTATGGATATGTATTTCTGCTGACATTTCAACACCACATCACATAGAATTACGATGCAGAATGATAATAAAACACAAAACAACTACTAAATTCCACTTGTTATTTCACAGGAGGTAAAAATGCAAACTGCCTAGATTCTTTGTAAGGGTCGTCAGACATCGGATTGGCCGCCATATTTGAAATGAAAATATCACTAAATAGAGGTCTGCGCATGCCTCAACATTTCGACTGTACATTTTTGTAAAATCTGTGAGTGTTTCATGGTACATAGTATGGGATAATTTGTTTTTCCAATGATTGGTGTTCTCTCATAGTATGTGTTTTTTAGTAATGCTCTGTTGTCATTCTCATTTGGCACTTGCTTGCATATTTAGACATGAGATCATGAATACTCCAGGTGATCAGTTGATATTTCATTTGAGATGTAAACGCATTGTTGTTGTACGCTGTGTTGCCCCTCAATATCAGCACATTTCAACACAACCGTACACAATGACATCTTCATCTATTTCAGGGCTTATGGTGCCTGTTTCTGATTATAAAATACACCAACATTGATATTAATTCGACATTGTATTTTGAAGAGAGGCCATTCTAAGCTTCAGCTTTCTAAATCCCCTGTAAATAGTGTCCCTTCTTGGAAAATTGAAGGTGTTCACTGGTCGTTATCAACCCGCTGAATGAATGGTTGAATATTATAGTATTAGATAATTATATACACTCGATACAGCGTTCCCAAAATGTATATTACATGACGGGATCCAGTGAAAGAGCATCGGATGAGACAAAAAATATGGTCATTATTTAATTTTTGATATACATTACAGGATTATCTATGGCACATTATTCATTGGTGTCGTCCTTTTTCTTGTGTTCGACACTGGACGAAATCCTGAACAGCTGACATCATTTGGGGGCCTCATGTTCTTTATATTTGCATTATATATCACGTCTACACGACCAGCTAAGGTAGGTTATCATAAAGGCAATTTGGCTTATATCGTAGTCTTAACCAATGTTAATCATAATGTGATAATTGAAACTTTTTTATTTCAAAAAGTGATTTTAATTGACTTTTTTGTTGGAAAAATCGTGGATGTATATGTATTTAAAAATAAATTTTAGTTACCCAAATCTAATAATCAGCGATAATTCAAGCATCCATTCTCACATGTTTTCTGTCGAAAATAATTTAGAAATATGGCTGGTAAATAAGTAATAAATGAACTCATTCATGCATCAAACTAGTTCAGAGAAAAATGCATTTTAGAATTTTAAAATTTTAACAGTACATATACTCTTACGTTCCTTTCTTAAACTTCCAGGTGCGCGCGCGACCAGTAGTATGGGGATTGATCCTTCAATTTCTTCTCGGGCTTTTCATACTGAGATGGTCTGTCGGTTATACTGTATTTAAGTTCCTAGGGGATCAGGTCCAGCTGTTCCTGAATTACGCAGATGAGGGTTCTAAGTTCGTATTTGGGGATCCTGGCTATTTGATGCACGTGGTAGCATTTAAGGTGGGTAGAATAAAAGGGGTTCGTCAATAATCTGTGTTATTAAGGTAGACCGTTAAGAATGAGCTATACATGGTACATTTTTTGGTAGTTCAGAAAAAATTTTCTAGCTAATTAAGGTAATGGTTAGGTTATTCAACTGGACTTTATCAATAATTATAAAATATTGCATAATTACGTCATGCTCAACGTTCTTCCCTTTACGCTCGCTTTATGCAGAACCAATTTCATAATGGTAATAAGGAAATAACCATAATGACATTATAGGCATACAATTAGTGCTTATGAAATGACGTAATATATAGCATGGATTTCAAAAAATGGATATGAATCTCCCTTTGACTCAATGGCCTTGGCCTTATTACAGATACACATTTTAGTAACCATTTGGCCAGTCTTCTCACAAATCATGTTATTTGAAAACTGGGAAAATTATAGATGTCGTGTATGTATGGTTCTTTTTTCACACTGTGAATATTGTTACCAGTTAATGGTTCGATTCTGTCGGAAATACCTGTTTTGATCTACTTTTTGATGACCAACTCATTTAAATATGAATGGAATAGTGGCAGGTACTATTCATTTTTAAATGAGTTACCCATAAAGTAGTAGGTCAATCCGGTAGCCGACAGGCGTTAGTTGAATTCGCGAATACAAGCTTAGATAAAGTACAACATTACCAGTTTTTTGTCGACCCCTACACGTCCATGGTCCTTGTTGCTACTGTAAAACATACTACCTCTCAATTCTTTCGTTTCAGATACTTCCAGTTGTTGTTTTCTTTAGTTCCTTCATCTCCATTCTCTACTATGTTGGCCTCATGCAGATGGTCATCCGCAAAATTGCCTTCCTGATGCAAATAACTATGGGTACAACGGCGATAGAGTCATTAAGCGCTGCAGCAAACATATTTCTTGGACAGGTAAATTCAATTGTATAATTACTATAGTTCTGACATTTCTAAAAGATAAGCGATATTGATCATGATGAAGTGCAAGGATTGCATAGGACAGCGAATCCCTATATGAAATAATCCATCTACCACTATTAAATATCTATAACCACCATCAGGACAATTTAACACATGTCTCATCTTTTTTATTCAAGTTTAGAAAAAGATTGCTCAAATGACAATTGAATACTAGTAAATTGCCTTTTAAATTAGAAAACGTAATATGACAATGTTGAACTGGTTCTTAGGTGAGTAATATTTCGAGCTGTAATAATATTGTTATTGAAATAACAGGTTTTGAGGCATCTATTAGTGAGTCCATATGTATTTTATTTCAATAATATGGTAAAGAAACTATTAAACTCGTTAGTGCTTTTCTTTATTGAATATTGTCAATTTATAGCGTTGCTAGCTATCCATGAGCAGATTGGAGTTGATCTTGTTCCAAGAGAGTTGCCAAATAATGCAGAAATATTAACGCGATTGAAGGTTTACCAAGAATAGCATTGAGGTCATTTCAGTTTCACTTGGCATTTCTCTGGTCACATAATTGTCCAAACGTTTTAAATATGTCATGCTCATTGGATTTGAATGATTCAGTGCCATAAGTGGTGAAGATGACCTTGAACTTTGAAGTGATGATGAAAGCTCAATTCAAATTGTTTCGACCATGTTTGGCCTATCCTTAGTATTTCATATTAAGTACGTTTTTCAACGGATACTACAAAGTCTTTAGGCTTGAGAGTGAGTCCATATTTCGATTCGTATTCGTACGTCATCCCTGGTACCGTGGCGAATGAACATCTCTGGTATAACGTGCTAAAGAATATACAAAGCTCCATCTTAGCAAGCTGTTCCCCGGGACAACGACGACGCCCCATTCCGAATGGTATGAACTTCTCTGCCATGACTCTATCTACAGTTTTCGTTGCCTCGTCGTAAAACCGATAGGGGTCGTATTTCTCGGGGTTGGGGAAGTTTGCGGGGTCGCGGTTTACTGACCACATGTTGATAAAGATAAGAGTCCTTTCTGCGATGAAGTGGCCGTTGAGGATAGAATCACGTGTAGAACTGTGAGGGAGTGCGAAGGGGAATATGCAGGAGTGTCGCATCGTTTCTAAAATACACGCCTCTGTAAAAGGAAGATTCTCGTAGTCGTTGTACGACGGGTACCGATCTTTCCCGATGACGCTGTCAATCTCTGCTTGCATCTGTTTCTGGAACTCGGGATTTGTAGCCATAAAGAGGATGCTCCATTGAAGTGTTGTTGCGATGGTGTCAAACCCAGCTCCGATCATTTCTTGAACCGTTGTCAGGATGTGATCATCGGTAAGGCCGACAGCTTCCTTTTCCTCGCGAGGTGTTTCCTTGACGAAATGAATCAAAGCATCGGTAATGTCCCTAAGGTAAGAGCTGTCGTACGTACTCAAATGTTCGTCTGTTTTACGATCGCAGAATTTATTCATCGTGTCCAAAATACCAAGGAAATTCTTCAGCGGTGGATTTGGAAAATGCTTTAACCATGGCATTATGTCCACGGGGTTACCAGCGGCAGCAAACGACATGAAATCGTCATTATTTTTGATGAGTTGTTGAAAGTCGGGATCATCTCGCTGATAACGCTTCCCGAAACACATTGCGCAAATAATGTTCCCCACTGATAGGTAGATTTCGTTATGGGGATCAATAGGGGTATTGCCTTTGCCCTGATCGATCAGGTTCCCAACAAGTACCTCTGCTTCTGCCTCAATGAAAATATGCATCGGGTTGTCGCGAGAGTTGAGCATCATTGCCAAGGCGTTTTGCGCTATACGCCTATGTGTTCTCCAACGTGGTGTATAATCACCAAATCCCATGCTTATTCCTTTACCTATGAAATTAAACGTGTAAAAGTCCGGCCTGCCACTAAAGTCTTCATATTGCCGTACCAGTGCCTGTCTGATCGTTTCGAGTCCATTTAACACAACAGTAGGCCGACTTCCCATTTGTATCTTAAAAACGTTGCCATATTTTGTCCACATTTTTGTTAAACTTTTGTGCGGGCTACTACCCAATTGTAGAAGATTTCCTAGAACCGGAAGTCCCCATGGTCCAGGGGGCTCACATTGCGAATAACGAACATCTCCGTCAACGCTCCATACATATCGCTTCAGCAGTATGAAAGAAATGTAGACTAAAATGCTAAGAATGAGTAAATTGTAAAGTCCAAGTCCCGAGAAAAAATTCCCGATTAAAGACATTCTAGAACACGTCACTCGCTAGCGACGTCTTGCGTTCAGTGATGATTCAAATTTGAAAATTCTCGATGCCAAGATCAAGATGGAACTGTTCCAACCTTCAGTGATGATGGCCCTGTCTGGTATCTGCGCTTATTTGTATTGGGTCATTATATTCCTACTAAACGGGAGTATCATTCCCATAAGGTATCTTCTCATAGGTTAACCACACATTTTAACCAACGTTCTGATTTTTGATCAGAAATATGGGAGTGGCTCTTCTCAGCCAATTGAAATCTACCAGGTCAATCTTATGGTATCACGTGGTATGCAGTGTATTATGGGCGTTTGGCGACTCTTATACTTCCATCATTTTGATGGAAACCAGACGTCATCAGTAATACCATTTATTGACCCACTTCTTCGAATGTTGCCAACACAAAACTTAATGAGCGCGATGACAGTATAGAAAGTGACACGTTTTAACACATAAACAATGACAATAAGTAAACATAAATAATTGTGTGATTGTAAAAATGTGTAGTCTGCGTTTTTATAAACACATTCACTTCCTTAAAATAATTTGCTCTTTGCCCTAAAAAAGATCGAAATTAGTCCATGACTGCTCAACAGGATTAAGTTCAAGGTCATATAAACTTAAACCACCCCATGGACCGTCTAGACATTTCATAATTATACATCATTGGTATTTTAGATAAACTTCGATCAATCTCAAATTAACGGTGTTAGCTCTTTCCCTCGGAGTTGACACTGTGACATCTTGTACCTGCCAAAATTATATCAATCAAGTATACGTTGTATGCCAATGTCGAGTATGGCATGAACGTGCATATATGTACTTAATAATTGATTGGTTAATTCTTTGTTTTTTGTTTGATTGATTTAACTGATTCACTTATTGTTTTTCAAATTAGGTGGAGACCGCAGTGATGCTGAAGCCGTTCATAGGGAAACTTACAAGGTCAGAACTGCACGCAGTCATGACAGGGGGCTTCGCAACCATTGCTGGCACGGTGGTGGCCGCCTATATAGAATTCGGTGTAAGTGAGTGCAAAGAGTACGACGGTTGTGACCGCACGGTTGGGTTCAATTTATGTTGCTGCACATGCGGTTTTGAATATTTTACACAAATAATGACGATCATTAGCTTTACTATGTGTTTTGCATCTGAGATCAATCTAGAACAAACACCGCAAATTTACAACGTGTGTTTTAGCCCTTCAACTTCTTAGTGTACTGAGTAGTTAATTTCGATTGATTAAAAAGAAGTTCTAAACTGTTCTTTCCGATGTGTAAAGAAAGATTGTCCTACTATGTCACTTGTGTATTTGATGATGTACCTTGTTTTGTGAATACGTCATTTTTCAGTTTCATTTATCATGAATGAAGAAAAGACTCGTTCTTCTGTTCTGTTGATAAAAAAGTGTATTTTTCAATTTATATTGAAAAATATCAGTCAGAAGGACTATGCATCAAAACGTATTCGATCGCTGTTTGGCAAACGAAACAAATTAAACATTATTATGTATGAGAATATGTGTGAAATAAACACGGGCTTTTTGAAAGCCCGTGGTGTAATGTATATATAAAATACAATTGTTTCCGTTCTGTCGCAGGCCCCCGCGGAACACATCCTTTCTGCCGCCATTATGAGCGCCCCAGCCGCCCTAGCCATATCCAAACTTGGTTACCCAGAGACTGAAGACTCTCTCTTCCGTCGCCAGGATGATATTCAATTAGATAAAGGGTGCGTATCAACATTTATGTTTGCATATTGGATCAGTTAAGTAAGGTCAGTTTCGTTTCCAAAGCCAAGGCCATTCGAAAAGTCGGTTTTGAACTGATGGACTATGAACATGTCTCGAGGTCAAGGTCAAACCAGGTCAGCTCATCTGTATTTTATTACATCATCTTAAAGAGGAGACCCTGTTGTCTGATTACTTCCCTCAATCTTCAAATCACCGCCCTGGTTCAATAGTCTTGCCTCAAGACTGCCCCCCCCCCTCGTGTACTTTACCTTCCCAACAAATGATGTGTGTACATGGGTATACACAGTCTTGAAGCAAGACTATGGTTCAACTTAACATTCGCTTTATTTTACAGGCCAGAAACCAATATTATTGAAGCTGCAAGCAATGGTGCGATGAATTCAATCAAGCTCTGTGCAGGAGTTGTCGTGAACCTAATAGCGTTTATATCCCTCCTAGCGTTCATTAATGCCTGTATGGGATACCTTGGTGGTAGAGTCGGATACCCAGAGTTAGACTTTCAAGTGAGTTCTATATCCATTTTGTACCTTGGTGATGTGTTGCCCTTATAAATGTGTTTTGGGTGTGGTGGAATATTGTTTTACGAGATATAAAAAATGGGGAGAGTTGTGATGTGATGTAGTTTGGTACAGTATGTGATGTAGTGTAGTGTAGTGTGATGTGATGTGATGTTGTGTGGTATGATATGATGTGATGTAGTGTAGTGTGATGTGATGTAGTGTGGTATGATATGATGTGATGTATCGTAGTGTGATGTTGTGTTATGTGGTATGATATGATGTGATAGTGTAGTGTGATGTGATGTGATGTAGTGTAGTGTGATGCGATGTGTTGTTATGTAGTGTGGTATGATATGATGTGATGGAGTGTAGTGTGATGTTGTGTGGTATGATATGATGTGATGAAGTGTAGCGTAGTATGGTGGGATGTTGCGTGGTTTGATATGGTGTGATGTGATGCTGTGTAGTATGATGGGATGTGTCCAGTATTGTGCAATATATTGTGGTGAAATCCGATGTAGTATAGTATGGTGTAGTGTGGTGTGATGCGGTTCGGTGCAGTATAATATAATGTTGTGGTGTGGTATGATATGATGCGGGGTGGTATATTGTGGTATGGTGCAGTATGGTATTATATGATGCGGCGAATTGATATGTCCACAAAAAAGTATACCCAACTTCAAAGCCAGGATACCAGAATTCTGAGCAATTTTTAAAAAATTTAAAGGCTGCAGTAGAAGGCCTAGTTTATTCTCCATCAAATGGTACCTAGATAATTATGTAACTGTCATTAATGACTGAGAAATCAAGACTTTTATGAAAGGTGGTAAAATTAGCACTGTGCCAAGTTAGCATTGACACAATGAATGTTTTTTTGAGTTCAAAACATTATTAATGTTCAAATTCAATATTGTCCCATGTTCTTCAACCTTTTTTTATTGCTACCTCCCTCTTAGGAATTAGATCACAAGAGCCTCTTGAACAGCAATGAAACTTCTACTTGATGATATGCAGCCTTGAAGTCAATTATACCCCCATTCGAGTCAATATACCCTGGCTGAAATCCTCATTGGAGAGGTTAAGCTAACGATGTTTTTCACAACGTAACCGTGAACGCAAAGTACAAAAATTAACAAAGGAATGTATCGAGCGCTCATAGTTTTATGCGCGCTTAGTCTACTTCAGATACGCTTTCAGCTTCAGAGTTTCGGGTTTAGAACGGGAGATTTGAAATTTGACGTTGGGTCAACGGGAACCATTTTACTCGTGTCTATTGAACACTATGCTGTCAATTTTGATTTCGATGCACAGTTGAATTCTTGCTGAACACGATGATGTATGTCATGCATGATTTAGCGCAAAAAATCTTACGAAACGAGCTCGTTTAAAATATGTATTAGAAAACCAGCTATAAAACCGCATCAATGACATACTATAGAATCATTACACGCTATGGTGTAGTCTAAACAAACACTGGATTTAAACGGCTATTTATATGAGAAGGCTACATGAATTTGTATATGGTCGAGTGATACGTACAGGTTCAGTTTCGATTATATGCAAAGCTTAACCTCTCCACTTTCTCACCAGAACTCAAGTTGATTGAGTCCCAACAAGTAGATTTATGTTGGACAGTATTGCTAGAATCCATTTTACAATAGTAAGAATAGGTGTTCTTAAACAGTACACTGGACTTGCTTTTTGTCGGCTCTACTGCTCAGGTGTCAGTTGAACCATGTTTGCAGGCCTATTTTAGAGTAAGTAAGCTTTTTGCAAAATCTTTTGTCATAAGAGATTTACTCAGCCCCCAGTCCAGTACATTATGAAAGTCCTGTCATCTAATATAAAGTAACAGAAAAAGAATACTAAGCCAATTAAACATCGATTGCAACACAGGAAGATAACTTGGCACAGTGCTAATTTTACCACCTATCAGAATGGTCGTGATTGCCCAGTCATACATGATAGTTACATAATGATCTAGGTACCATTTGATGGAGGACAAATAAGGCTTTTTGCTGTTACCTTGGATTTCAAAAAGATTGCTCAGGATTCTAGTAATTCGATTTTGAAGTTGGGTATACTTTTTTTGTGGACGCCCTGTAGAGGTGGTGATGTATGGTTTGGTGTGGTGCAGTGTGGTGTAGTGTAATGTCGCATATTGTGGTGTGGCATGATATGGTATGATGTAGTGCGATATGGCGTGGTGTTATGTGATTACATGGGATGTGGCCTTTATTGGTGTTGAGTTGTTTTGTGTTGTGTTGTGGTGTGTTATGTAATTTTCCAAATGATCTTATTTTGATAGAACTGTCCCTTACACAAAGTACTTTACCGGTGTAAAAGGGTAGTAGGTCCAATTAATTTATGGTCCTACTCTCCATTGATTTATATGGTGACCTCTTTGTGCTCTTTCCCTTATTATCGTATACACAATCAGGGCCAGTAATTAAGGGCCTTTAAAAGGGGACCATAATCCCCGGGGGACCATAATTTCTTTCACATCGGCAAATTATATTTCCTATTTCAGACAATATGTTCGTATCTGTTTGTTCCATTAACACTGATAATGGGAGTACCCTGGGTCGATGCAAGAAAAGTCGCCCGATTGATAGGAACAAAGATCTTCCTGAATGAGTTCTTGGCGTATGCGGCTCTTGGGCCTATGATTGATGGAGGTGAACTACAGGTGTGTAATGAAATGTGAAGATATGTCCGTTCGGTATTGAGCTTACGGTATTGTAGTCTCTATACTAATAGTCACAACACAACAATATCACAAAACATACTGACACCTCTTAAATGAAAGATTGATTTAAAAATAGACACTAAACATTGAATTTCTGATTTTGGAGATGTACATGGTGGAAAACCGACTTTTGAATGACCATATTTTTGTCTTCGGATTTTAAGATCAAAATAAACTTTCATTGTCCTTAATCGGCGACATTATCGAAGAAGTTCCGTTTGTTAACATTGAAAAATTGCCTAAATCAGTGGAGTGCATGGGATGACACGGGATACGACCGTGACTGATAAATTGTGGTTTCATCTTCATTCTTGGCACTGTAATAAGGTTGAAGTTTGAACAATATATACAATTCATATATGTAACCTATGCTATGTATACGGGATAAGTATTATGTATGGATGTATGATGTTAAAGTATGGCAGCATTTCAAAAACTATATCCGTACGTAATTCAGCGCCATCTTTTCTTTCACGTTAAATTTTTAAATACATGTATATGTATCTTTTTCTGTGTTGGACATACCATATTTCCTTTCATTGGCCTTATTTTAATTGATATAATTATCAAGTTCCCAAAAATGTTATCTTGTAACTACCAACTGGCACCTTGGTTAAAATATTGAAGGAAAATGTTGCTTTTCAGGAGAGATCTGCAGTGATAGCGACTTATGCCTTGTGTGGCTTTGGAAGTGTGGCCGCCCTTGGTATCAACCTCGCTGCACTCGCATTGCAGGCTCCAGAGAGAAAAGGGGTGATTGCAAAGAATATGATTCGAGCCATGATCTCTGGCAACATAGCTTGTTTCATGACCGCTTGTATTGCAGGTAGTTAGAAATGTTTTAACTGTATTCCAGATTGTATCGTTTAAAGTGGCAATGAGTGGACTGCAATGTTTGTAAAATGTACGATTTCACAACAATCTAAATGCGCATTGAAGAATAGTTTATATAGTATTTATTTCATATTATAAATGATAAATAATATAGTGATTCTAACAAAGTTAGGAAATTGTGATCACAAACTAACTATACATATGATAGTATACTATACAGTACAGTGATTGTATACTGTATATATAGTGATTTTATTGATACCTATTCAAAATTTCGGGTCTAACTCAATTCATTTTATTTCAGGTATATTGTATCAGGGACAATCATTCACCGACTTGTCTGTTGCTAACACCACAAGTACCTCAACTACCGTGATGACTGTACATTGAGTCCAAAACGAGGCAATCATGACGACGTTCTCCTAGAAAATAATGTAAAATAACAATACAAAATACAATGTAGGCTTACTTCATACACGTGGACGCTCAAATGGAAAGCAATACTGTTTAGCACGAGTTGTACCTAAATGATGGAATAGACTAGAACCACAATACACACATCTATGCTATGTATTGAAATGCTATGAGTCTTTATTTATTTAACATATGACTATTATCACACATTCTTTTTTTAACACGTCGTGCAACCGGAAGTACGGTACACGGCGTGTAGCAATTATGTTGGCGCCAAGTTTTAAACGCTCCTACATGCACGACGGAGCGTTTCATTTACGCGGAAACGCTCCGGAGCGAAATAAAATGGCGGCTAATGAAGATTTCACTATGACCGTAAGTATTGTTTCTCTCGTTTCTCTTACATATCATATGTTATGGTGAAATATTATGTACCATTCGATGAACAATACCGTGAGCAAAGATCTTATTTATTCAACTTCTGGTGGTAAACTGTTATTTGCTTGATCAAAGCTCCGTAGTGTAGATCGAACGAATCTGAAGATGACGATTTGACCACAAATTACGAATTAAAGTATTTCTATGAAAACGTTAATATTTCTGTTAAAGTAGTAGATCACAAACTCGTATATTCTCATTTCTTAAAATCCCAGTCCAAATCCATTACTTGTTCTCAGTAATCGCTTGTTTTCCTCGAAACGCTCCGTCGATTTAGAACACAATTTTAGAAACGCTCTTACCATTTTGTTTTGATATCATTTTCAGATTATTAGAGAAGAGTTCCGAATAGAATCTATCTTTCAAAAACGTGTTGTACTTGTTAGGCAAATTGAAACATCTGAACCTGGTGGTGCTAAACGTGCAACTAGCTGATTTAAGCCTACATTAGATGATGTTATGCCTACATGTGTGCTAGATCATAAAACTATAGAAAAAAACGAAAATTAATATGTGAATTAATCTTTCTTCTTTTAATGCCAAGGGACATAATAGATCTTAATTTCTTTCTCTTCCTGAAAAGGAAAGGTAAGCTATATATTTCCTAAACAGATCTAGACTACCGGAGCGTTTCCAGTTCACTGTGTTAACCAGATCGGAGCGTTTCTTGAATATGAGAATGTCATCATTTTTAAGACTGGATTTTCGGTCATCAAATCACTATTACGATAATGTATGGTGCGTTGAAGCATTGGAATTTGACTAAAATATACGTTGGTGCTCTAATCTTGGCTCAACTAATCACATGTATCGACAAAATGGGTTTTGACCGGTAGAATGACAAATACGTTTTTGGATTTTGATAACTATACTGCTTCGTACAGCTCTTCCTAATTGCTTCAAACGTCAACAGCCAGCCAAGTACAACATGAATATCACACCCATCGAATGGTATACTCGAAATATGTAACTCATACCTCTTATTCCCATTATTGGGGAAATCGTCAGACGGCTCATCATTCCCGCCAACCAGTTTTCCTACTCTGGAGCGTTTCTTTGTTTAATTTCAGTAATGAAACGCTCCGTCGTGCATGTAGGAGCGTTTGGGTTATACACCGTGTCATTTATTTCGACTTTTTATACGTTTTTCCGATCGGCCTTGCTACACAGTGATATTTCTAGTATCATTACATCTCAATATTTCATCTGAACATGATCCAAAACGTCTCACATCTTCTAGCTTAAAGTTGAGGCTAGAAGATAGGCTAAACATCCCAAGGGAATGGAGCATCCCGCCTTGACCCCGGGAATAGAGCCGAGCATCAGCAATGGACCGTCCTAATAGAGATCCTAATACTGATCCAAATGACCCATCCAGTATTTCTCTCGGGAAATCAAATATTTGAAAATCGAAAGACAAAATAGTCACATTTAAGTCATGAAAAATAACATTTGAAAGATTAAAAAAAAATTTTACTTTGCATGAGGCCTTCATGACCAAAGCTTTCACTGATCAACGTAATTTGTATAGAAACAATTGTGTTTTATTTTTTACAAAAGGAAACGTAATAAAATTGTTTGGTAAATACAAAACGTGTGATATATAGCATATTAAACTCTAAACTATTTACTATAATCATACATGTAAATATTTCTAACATCATGGAGCAATTTTATGCAAATATAATAAGTTTTCTCTGAAACACATACTGTACTGCCTGTTTACGGGATATTATCAAAATGAAGATCAGGAAAAACGTACTGGTTTCAACAATATTTGTACTTATTGGAGTTCATCTTTCGCTCTGTAGGACTAACAAATGTCTGAAGAAGCAGATCGACCGCTGCAGGTACTCGGCCTACGTATACAATACTATCATAATACAAAAGGTGACTGCCATTGAGGGAAATAGCCGAGGGAACATGTCACTGATTAGAATATTCCCGAGGGGAAATTTTTATACTATTTCCCGAAAATGTGGCAGTCACTATTTGTTTTATCATATACCTCATATGTACTCTGTAAACGAAAACAAAATGAGAAGTCTTTTCATTTTAACATTTCATGTTGACAGGTTCTCATTGGCATTTAAAGGTATTTTGTCTTTCAACTCCTATAATCTCAGCTATCAGGGAAGATAAAACATACTAATGACTGGTCACATGACCTAACTGGTGATTAGTACATTTCATCTTCCCTGATAGCAGGGATTTAGAACTTTGCAGGGAATTAGTTCATTTATTTCATATCATGTGACCATGAATAAGTCAAAGAGCATCTAGAATACATATGGGGTATATAATATTATATATTATTCATTTAAAGGGAAGATAAAAAGTACTAATGGCTGGTCACATGACTAACTGGTGATTAGTACTTTTCATCCTTCCTGTTAGCAGAGATTTAGTACTTTTCAGAGAATAAGTTTATCTATTTCATATCATGTGACCATGAATAAGCCAATGAGCATCTAGAATACATATGGGGTATATGATGATATATATTATTTATTTAAAGGGAAGATAAAAAGTACTAACGGCTAGTCACATGACTAGTGATTGGTACTTTTCATCTTCCCTGATAGCATAGATTTAGGACTTTTCAGAGAATAAGTTTTTTTTAATATTTATTTATTTATTTATATGATATAGAAAGTACAATATAGTGCTGCGGCTAGGCTTAACGCATTATTAGCCACATATAGAATACTTATATAAAGGGTAAACATAAGAATTGTAAGCCTAAATGGTAAAAGGCTTAAACTGCCTGGGGTCTTTCGAAACACTGTCTGATAAACAGAGCACTGGATGCAAGTATTTCATGGTTCTTACTAAGAGAAAGAGATGGGTGACCGAAGAGAAATAAGTCAAGTTTATCTTGTCTATTTTTGCATAAATGCCTGTAGTAAGTAAATCAAAAAGCTTTTGTTCAAAGCTTATGTAGAATGGTTGTCTAATGAGACAGGAAAATATTACATGTTTTGTTGTTTCACGTTTGTCACCACATATACATTTAGGTGAATTTACATTGACAAAGTTATGGGCATGAAGGTGAGCATTAAATATGAGGTCAACTCTTATTCTATTCAAATATATCTCGTCAGCCCTATTTATGCCCAACTCTGAGGCCAATATAATATCATTATTCAAGAACACTTGACTAATATTATTCTTAAAAGTATTGATTGTATCACAGTTTCTAATCTTGGAGCTCAATCCGTTGAACTCAGTCATGCACAAGAAGGTGGGGAGATCTAGAGCGTATTCTTGAGCGACGTAGTGGAACTTGAAAAGGTATTACATTACGAATATCTCTGATATTTGGCTTTTTGTAATTGTCAAAAATTGTTGAAACATAATGAGGTACATTTCCGCGTTGCACTTTGAACATAAATGTAAGTCTATGTATCTTTCTACGAATCTCCAATGTTGGCCAATTCAATACATGAAACAGTTTAGTAGACGAGGTTCCAGCAATTGTACCTGCACATATTGTTGCAGCTTTATAATAAAGCCTATCTAGACTCTTCAGAGTTGTTAGGTTTGCACATCCGTACATAATATCATATAAATCAAAATGAGGCAAAATATAAGAGTTGAACATAAGCTTTAGATGTTTACCACCCAATTTTCTTGATATACTTTTCAAGTGGTTTAGCAACTTATCAATTTTATTAGCTGATTGGATAATATGTGGTTCAAAGGTAAGCTGGCTATCAAAACTAAACCAAGATGCTTGTGGTTATTTACCTTTGGAATAATGTCACCACCCAAAGACAAAGAAGGAATAAGCAATTCTGCTTTCCTATAGGGTCAAAGAAATTTAACTCAGCACTTTTTACTCGCTTTGAACTTTAATTTCCATTTGTCAGACCAATTGTAAATTGCATCTAGATCATTTTGTAATTCAGTCATCTTTATATCTATATCATCACCTTGAAATGGCTGGTAGATGGACGTATCGTCCGCATAGAGATAACATCTAGAGTCAATATGGTCAGTAATGTCATTGATATATATAAGAAAAAGAAGAGGGCCTAATATTGATCCTTGAGGGACTCCAGAGTTGATGTAACTTTCTTTTGACCATTCAGAACTTTGACCATCGATGACAACTTTGACCCTGCGATTAGTTAAGTATGATCTCAACAAAGAGCATACATCAGGACCGAAACCATAACTAGGAAGTTTATTCAAAAGAAGGTTGTGAGGAATTGTGTCAAACGCGGCCGAGATGTCAAAAAATGCCGCTTTTACATTAAATCCAGCATCTAGATGCTCAGTCAAGTAATCAATTATTGTCAGTAACTGAAATTGAGTACTGTGGCCAGGTAAAACCCACTTTGTAGATTATATAATAAATTCTGATCCACAAGAAATTTAAAAACCTTATTAAATATGATTCTCTCAGTAACTTTTGAAAGACAGCTTAAAAGTGTAATTGGCCTAAAATTTGATGGAGTATTTTTGTCACTTTTCTTATGAATAGGAACAATGTTTCCAAGTTTCCAGCATTGAGGGAAACAGTTTGTCGCAAAAATCTTGTTGATAAGTTTAGATAATGGTTGAGAGAGAGCAGGAGCTGCCAGTTTGAGCATTTTATTACTAATTTGGTCTGCTCCAGAGGCCTTATTTTCATTTAAATTCATCAACGTTTCAAAAACTATCATAATTTGTTGACAGCATGTTGATTGACTCATTTGTACGAAGCTGTAAAAAAGCATTATCAATAGGCCCTTCAAAGTGAAAACTTTTAATAAAATGATTCAGGAAAATATTGGCTTTATCTTTGCCTGACTTGACAGTATTACCCAGATCGTCAACAAGAATAGGTATTGAACTAGATCGACTGTTTGAAAATAATTTAGATGTGATGTTCCAGTAAGATTTTGAACCAAAATGTTGTGTTTCCATTTTACTAATTATCCGCTTTTCATGTTCGAGTTTTGCTTGAGTAATGGCATTATCTACAATTGTGCACTGGGCAAGATATCTATCAAATTGTTCAAGTTTGTTAGAATGGCGAAATGCATAGTGACATTTGTTCCTTTTGTTGATTAATGTTCTGATTTTGTCAGTAAACCATGGCTTATCATTTGATTTTACTCTTATTTGTGTATTTGGAATGCAAGAACAAAAAATATCGAATAATGAACTGGTAAACTCTTTCCCAAATTTGTTCAAGTCATTTGAGTCTTCAATTATATTACAAAGTCGCGAGTGACGAATTGAGTTATTCAGAATGGAAACATTAACATTGTCGTATTTCCATACCCTACGTAGAAAAGATGGATTTTTTGTAATTCCAATAAGGGTCTCAAAAACCAGCGTACTGTGGTCAGTATTACCTACTGGTGGCGTCACCATGGGAGATGTGACCAAGTTTGGAATATTGGTAATAAGTAGATCAATGCATGACCTGCTTGTCAAAGTTACACGTGTTGGTTCATTAATCAACTGTATAAGACCTAGATTTTGACATAATTCTACGGTAATAAAGCCCATATGTAATCACTCTATGATTAACTCTTAAGTCAAGCCAAATAGCATCATTATTATCATTCATTAGATCATGTCTAAGTTTAGGTTGAGTGATATCTTCACTTACATAGATAAGCAAACCTCTATTTTCATTTATGTAAATTGGTGGATGAAACCCATCAATATTAAATTTGTTCTTAATATCATGCTGTGAGTAATTCCCAACTTCACATAGACCAACAATTTTAAAGCTACCTATTTCAATTCGTTCTTGAAGTGCATGAATTAGCCAATGAGCATCTAGAATATATAAGTGGTATATAATAAATCGTATCTATGCATCCTACTCGATTTTGCGGTTAAACCATCATTTAGAATTTTTCAATAGTTTAAGTATGTAGATCATGTCAAAACAAAAATTCGAAACATTTTGGTGAGTTTTCATGTTCGAATCGTAATATAGACCTCAACGCAGGTGTAATATCGTTGAATACACCCCTTAGGGCTAGGCACAAAGGCTTTCGAATCCCTCACTCCCTTTGGTCGTTCGGGGTACAGGGAACGGTTGTACCTAGCCCTGCGGGGTGCATTCGACGATATTACCCCTGTTCTTTGATCTGTATTTCTTAAATATAAGCTGTAGTATTATGGCTATATTGAAATATATAATCCCTGGTGACATTGTAAATATGGAAAACAAATTGAAACATTTTGTCATGTGTTTAAGAAATACTGTCCTCTTGCCATTCTTCGGTGAATTAAAAATAAACAAATGGTCCATTCTATGGAAAACAATACGATGTGTGCCAGTATCAAAATATTTTTTTCAAAGTATGTACCCCTGTTAATAATGACATGCAGAATTAACACTGTAAGTATTGTGCAGTCGAGTGTGTGCAGTGCTCTAAGTGTTTTCCTGATTTTTAGGAAGGCATTTTATTCGGCTGAGATATACTGTTCGGCAGCAAAGAAATGCATAGATTATAAGAATGGTAAACCTGCTATTTTACAATTTGAGAAACTCGTTCACAACACACACCCTGGACTCTTTACCACAGTACAGGACACAGACATTGCACTGAGACAAATGTACGATCATGTCGGACGTGTGGTACCGTATCCATCCGAAGAATTTCCAGAACCGCCTGACAGGCGCCCAGGGCAGACCGTCAAAGGAGTTCCTAGTTTAAAAGTCTACAAACCCGTTGGTTCAACATGGCATCCTTATCCTAGAAAGGACTATACTTGCAAGGTCCTCCATCCATTGGATCCTGATTCGGAGTCGACGCGAGGAAAGTCCGAAACAGATGATTCGGAATGTTTACCATGTCACGCAAAAGCGTAAGTACTACATTCTCAGTGTTTAGTCACTATGTTACCATCCTGTCAGCACATTAATTGGTAGAACTCAATAACACTTCATGGTAAAATCATTATATCCCTCTTTCCACAGTTAACTTTATGTATACTAACATACATTTGATTCATGACTCTACATTAGTCGCGTAGCTAAAATTAAGTACACTCCTGATTTGCAATATTTGAAAATTCAACTTATCAAGTGAAATTGAGTTGAGATAGCCCATGGAACAAATGGTTTACACGGCTGACGCATGCGCAGATTCATTTTGTGTTTTTGCGAGGTGTCCCGAGATTCAGACAGAGAATTTGTCTTGCACGAATCAGTCTCCTCGTACAGTCGGTCTACTTAACAAAATTGAATCATTTGCATTTAAAACATTGTTCCATTTGCCAATCATCTTTAACTACCATAATGTTAGCAATGAAATGTCTATTTCAATACTATTTTTTGGACTATAATGGTATGAAGTTTCCATTGAAAATCAAACTGGTAATCGAGTATGATAATATCGGCGTAGATACAACTTGAAGTTAAAGACGTGTACAGTGTTTTGATGTTCGAGATTTTGAAATAAATACAAACTATAAACACAGAATGCGAATACTATGTTGTGACATCTTGATTAGTAGTACTTGTTGTACCATTTTCTCTGACTGGGCTTGTGACCACAATTAGGATAATCTCTTCTTTTCTTTCAATCGTAGTGTTTCGTTCTTTACAAAAATAGAAGAGGTGTATGACTTTGACGGAGAACAATGGACTCCTGTGCATTTAGATTCGCTCGAACTGTACCAGATGGTGCATGTTTGCTTGTGCAGGTAACTCAGTTACTTCGTTTTCTTTTTTGTCAAGTTTTTACATCTAAGATATTCTTTGATTATTGTTCGATTTATTTTAATACGATTTAAAAAAAGAAAAACTATTAAACTAATTTTCATATCACCACCATACGTGGTAACCCCCCTATCACACCAAACTAGTTCTTACCCGTTCTTGCCAGTCCTACGAAAACGTCGTAAAATGGGCTCAATCTGGCTGTGGCCGGGAATATATGTCTAAAACAATTAGCTACTTCGTTCATAAACAGTCTTCAATACGTCCATCTCATTCGCAGTTCGTTCAGGTCGCACCACGTCGGTGTGCAACGTCGTATAACGCGTCCCTTAGTCTAGAAGGTCATCATGACCTGATTACAGAACGGTATCGTCGCCATCGAATTTTGAATCAATTCAAAATTCCAAATCACATTCTCCGTCCGGGAAAGTCCATGAAGTTCGTAAACAGACCGTAGAACGTTGTAGCTACGTTCATTCAGTTCGCACACAGTTTAAAACCGATTCGGCAACGTTTTGAGTAGTTCTATGAAGTTTGTAAACAGATCCCAAACGGTTCTTAGTGGGTTCTTAGTACGTCAAATCCGTTCGTGCACAGTTTAAGCCCGTTTTCGAGAACGTAGTGAAAACTAGTTTAGTGTGATAGTAGGGTTACATATTTTTATCGTTAACCCTACTATCACACCAAACTAGTTCTCACTACGTTCTCGAAAACGGGCTCCAACTGTGTACGAACGGACTGGACCTTCTAAGAACCGTTTGGGATCTATTTACAAACTTCATCGAACGTAATCGAACGGGTAGGTCCTCTAGAACTTAGACAATGCTCAAAATGTTCTCGTGGTCGTCACGTTCTACAATTAGAACGAGTGACAACGTACTAACGACGAGCTGGACGTACTACGAACGGAACCGTCGTACTTCAATCCTACTAGGGACGTTTTAACAACGAGTTGAACTGTCTGAGGACGTGTTGAGAACGAGATAGAACTAATTGCAAACGGGTTTAAACTGATTAAGAACGTATTTAACACTGTTTATGAACGAGTTAGCAAAAATATAGCTATCACACCAAACAAGTTGCCACTGCGTTCTTCAAAACTGGTTTTAAACTGTGTGCGAACGGAATGAACGTAGCTGCAACTTTCTAAGGTCTATTTACAAACTTTATGAACGTTCTCAGACGGGAATGTGATTATAGAATTTTGAATCGATTCAAAATTCGATGGCGACCATACCGTTCTGTAATCAGGTCATGTTGACCCTCTAGACTAAGGGACGCGTTCTACGGCGTTGCACAACGACGTGGTGCGACCTGAACGAACTGCGAACGAGATGGACGTATTGAAGACTGTTTAAGAACGAAGAAGCTAATTATTTCAGACATATTTCCCGACCACAGCCAGATTGAGCCCGTTTTACGACGTTTTCGTAGGACTGGCAAGAACGGGTAAGAACTAGTTTGGTGTGATAGGGGGGTTAGGTGGAGGGGTTTCAGCGTTTTGCGGTCGGAGTTCGGCGTCTGTAACGATTTGCAATCACTGACAAGGTGGTGACATTTTGTGATGTTAATGCCTTGTTTATGTTGACAAACTTGTTGTCTTTTAGTGATGATAAGGGGTGCCCTAATGATGATGAAGGGGCGTGTGGCGAGTCCTATAGATACGTGTACATGTACATGAGGCGTACAGATTACTCTAAAGTCGGCTTCAAGAGAGTTCAATTCCCATCATGCTGCGAATGTCATAATGTTGGGGAAGATAGCTAAAAATCATTATTCAAATTCAACTGATTGTTGTATTTCATTAAAAAGTCTATATAAACAGAAAGCATGAGATATGTTATTTTATGTTCATCTGTATTGTGTGTCTGTTGAATAAAGACCGACATAACGAGTTCATCAACACAAATGAGACTATATTTCCAATGATCATGGATTCATTGCACATTGATTCAAACGATATTTTGTGAAATAAAACAGCAGTAATATAGGCTATATAAAGATAAAATTAACAATTACAAGCAGCGATTTCAAATTAGTATGAAATAAGATTTAGATTCCAAATTCATACATTGCAAATAGCCCTGTAACCTTGCTTTTTGTAAGACAAGACCTTGTTGCTTAAAGGACCACTATACCTAATTTAGAAGAAAAAATTTAAAAAATCATTGAAACATGTTACTCACACACTCGCTCAAATATCTGTCCCCTCAGTTTTATGCGATTACGCGCCCGCAGCATAATTCCGCATATTTTACCTTTGCTCGCATAATCCACACACAAGCGCATAAAGTTGCATAAAAGACAAAAAATCTCCACTTACTTGCAAAAAATACCAACTCGGTCATTGATTTACCTGGAATGAATATGTGTTACTTAAACAGTTCCTTGTCAAAATCATGACAAAATTAAAAGAAATCATAGTTCTACGTTCAAAACTTTTTAGCGGAAGCTCAACGATGGGGTGTATTTTGCGGACAACGATTCGGATCCGGCAGTTTATCTCACTGCACATATGCCGTGTCTTTGTTCAGTTATATATATCTATCTATATCACGAGAATATATGTTATCATTTCGAAACAACAACTATTAACGGTAGCTTTATTTTTAATCTATGAACTGCTGATATGACTATGATACTGATCCTAACTCTTGACTCTGAAATGTCACTACTTTAGATGTGTTTCATTAAATATTTGGAATAAAAAGTATTATGAAGCACTGAAGCCATCATTTCATTCAATTCAACAAAATGAATATCGCATCAATTTGCATAATATCCAGAATTTTAAAAACTCTATCGCATAATTTGAGATTTTTTTGCATAAAACTGAGGGGACAGAAATATGAAACAAAGTTTGGTTTGTCCTAATATTGAATCAAAGAAAAGATAACTCACATTGAAAAAAATCATTTGAAGTTCAGAGATCATTAGTAGTGCATGCACATGCTAAACTAAGTACATGTTTTAAATTACTTTTGATTTAAAAGGTGGCGGCACTTCTATAAAAATGAATGTATCATGTCATAAACAACTTCGCCATCTTTCAATGACATTGATAAAAACTTGATATATAAAGCTTGACAGATCGAAAATATTTTATGATTATTTTTTGAAATATAAAATTCTTATCAAAATATTGGACATTCTATAGAATTCAAACAAAATTCTCATTTTGCCCAAAAGCATTGAAAATACGCAAAGCGAGCCTTTAATAAGAAAAATATAACAATTACTGCATTCTTGACTCTTGAATCTTGAAATTACAGACAATTATTTTGTCATACTATACGTCAACTGATTAGTCGTCTCTTTGCAAACAAATGGTAAGCAGCAAGATTGGTTCAAAAAATGGACCGTTGTCTTAGAGATTAACAAAGATCTTTTTAACAGTGTAAACTGGTAAACGTTTGCTTCGGAATTATTTTGACAATAAGTATATCAATCTTTATGTACTCGTCAAGTGGGCAATCCAAGAAATTAATGCTGCAAAATAAATACCAAAAAGACCATACAATGTACAGTAAGTTCCATAGTTTCTTATATTTTAAAAGATAAAGCCTAAACCACGTGAACATCATTTTTTTAATAATTACATCGTACACAATTTCTTTAATTACAGTATATAGTAAATGATTGTAAATCCTTTAAATTATTAATAACATTGACGCTAACTCATTAAAAAGTGTGGAGTGTGTTTAAGAATAACCCAATGAGACTTTTCATACATTGGTGCATTATTTTTTAGATTTATTCATCTTAAAGTTTTTCAATTTCTGTCAAGTTAGATAAGAGCATCATGACATTATAATCTATAATAACATGATCACAGTCAGATTTATTTTTCAATTGTTCCGATCCGACAGGAATACTATTCTATTATTAGGATATTCCCATTCATAAATTTATCTAGAGCTGCTGATAGTACGAGTACTGCAATAAGTTCGATATTACCAACTAAGATGTTTCTTGATATGTGGCAACGTTATTCCAGTGAAAGGGATTTATAAATGTTCAACACTACGTTCTCATTTAATGCATTCAAACATTAAATCGTGATATTATTCTCTTACTTCATAAACAAAATAAAACAATGATTGATTTGGCATTTCAAACTGTTGCTATTTTGCACATCAAACACTACTCTATTGACCCTGACTTTACGATATATATAGCTCTTTCATGTTAATGGCATTGCTTGTGATGTGAATCAGAATCAATTTAAAAACACAATCATCATCAATAACGCATACGCTGCTTGGTTGCTGATATTTATCAAAATGAAGATAGCTGGAACAAGCGTACTAGTGTCAACAATACTCGTTGTCATGGAGATTCAAGTGGCGTTATCTAAAAATTGTCGATTTCAAAAAAGATTGGACAGTTGCAGGTAAAATTTTCGCTGTAATTTTAAAAAGACTTTAGTTCAGTCTAGTTACATTTCGGCTGATGATGAGCTCAATATACCTTTTGTATTTTAGGAAAGCATATTGGAGGGTTGAAAAGTACTGCTCGGCAGTGGAAAAGTGTATAGATCATCCTAAGACAAAATCGGCTATTTTACGCTTTGAGAAATTTGTCCACACAACACATCCTGGACTATTCGGCAGCAAAGGCAGTTCTGAGATTGAACTGAAAGAAATGTACGGCCATGAAGGACATATGGTTGACTATCCATCCACGGATTTCCCCAAACCACCTGACAGGCGAGCCGGGGAGACTGTCAAAGGAGCTCTTAATTTAACTGCATACAAACCAGCTGGTTCAGTATGGAATCCTTATCCTAAATGGGATTATGAGTGCAAACGTCCACCATCGAATGACAGACAATTACCTGTGATCGATAAAAGAGATGTAAAAGACCCAGATGATGGCCTGGACTGTCTACCACCTGAACCGTGCCACACAAAGACGTACGTATGTTCAACCTGTAGCGTAGCCCAGCCAGGAAGAGGCATCCTCGTTACTTTTTGAAATACTCTTTCGAGTTAATTAAACTGTTGTTGATGTATAACTTTAATTGAATTTTAATTTTATATCAACAATTTTTGAATCAATTTTGCACAGTATCATCACGTAAGGGTTAACATAATGTTCTTCTATTGCCATCATCGAACTAAATTTTAATGGTAATAATTCACGTTCGTATTTCTGAATGAGTTACATTGATGCTAGTTTAGAATCTGAATAATGGAAATGTAGCGTGGCGAGGGTGGGGCAGACGAGGCGCTTTTTGCCTCGTCGCTTTTTTACAGTTTTGAAAATATTTTCGCCTCGTCTTCTTTTTCTACCTGCTGGCTACGTCATTAACAGCCATTTGGTTATTTTAGTGTATAGGAATGGCGCTAGCGTATTGTGGGGTCTTCGATTTTGCTTCAGAGGAGGGGTTTATTCAGACTTCATAATTATGAATTATAAATATATTTCAAAATATGCCTCGTTTTTCAAAAAAAAAATTACAAATTAGGAAAAGAAAATATTTTAGAAGTATAATTGCATACCAGTGAACCTAACTTAAAAGTCAGAATTTCAGCAAAAATAGTTATATTCATGATCTATTCTTTCTGTTGTAGCGTTTCCTTCTTTACACTATTAGAGGATGAGTTTACTTTTGATAATGAAACATGGACTCCTGTGCATTTGCCTTCATTGGACCTGTACCAATACGTGCATACAACGATGTGCAGGTAGGGGTTTTCAAATAGTGAGGTCAAATTATTTAAATTTATTCGGCCCCCAGGTACACACAAACAGAGCGAAAATGTATTTTAAAATGTGAATTCACGGGTTTAATAATAAACGGTATATACTAATTGATAAATATACGTGAACTTGCATTGGGAGCTAGTTTTTCGCTGGAATACACAGATAATCTGAATCAATACCGAACGGCACCTAACTTAACGTTACCGTGTGATACCATACTCCATATGATCGAACCACACAGTATAGTGATTCCAGGATGCATATGCAACTTTGTGAATTGTACATTGTGTTTAACAAGTAAAGTCAAATTAATTGTATTTCATCTTCCTACTTCAAGCTCATTAATGTCTTCAAATATTTTAGAATAATATTTTGATCAAAACCAAATCCGTGCAAATATTTCATTGTTCCCCCTATTGTTTGCGTATTTTTAAAAAAAATTGTATCATTTTTCGTGTAATCGTAACGTTTTTCTGATACAGTGGTGATAACAGTTGCCGTGCCGATGCGAATGGTGCGTGCAAAGAGGCCTACAAGTATGTCTATATATTCATGAGACGTACAGACTACACTGAAATGAGTTTCAAAAAAGTTCCCATTCCGTCTTGCTGTGAATGTCGTAATATTGGCGAAGATGATGAAGATGGATAAACGAAGTTTCAGATCAACTCTGTGATAAAATTTGAACGCTTGAAAGAGCCACAGGAAATATTTATTTCAATAGTTATTTATTTATCTTATAGACATTGCTACGTAATTAATAACTGTAACCACAATTAGAAAAATATATCATGTATTTACATTTGTCGGTTATTGCATATATTACTGAAGTAAATTAACCTTTTTACAATCGATAACAATAAATTCTCTATTCATTTAGTATCATTAATCACGTGGCGACCAGAAATTGTCATTGCATGGCAAATTTTGAACGTTTTTTGTTCCTTGATTGCAATTGTTGAGAAAAGTGCAAAAATGAATTTTTATAACTTAAACAGGCTTTGGCAAGATCAAAAGGGTACTCCCGATTGCCAAACTTTTGGAGGGGAGTATACAACTAAATACATGTCAATAGGGACTTCCTTTTGCCAAACTTTTGGAGGGGAGTATACAACTAAATACATGTCAATAGGGACTTCCTTTTGCCAAACTTTTGGAGGGGAGTGTACAACTAATTACATGTCAATAGGGACTTCCTATTGCCAAACATTTGTCCAAAGGGTCAAATGCAATTTCACAGTAATCACTTCTCGGATTTTCTAAATTATCTACTTTCCAAACATAATTAACGAACGAGTCACGAAAATGAAATAAAATTTTATTTCAAAGTTAATTAAACAATAAATGATCGTTTAAGACCATCATCTGATTTTCAAAACCAAAGTGGTCTATTGTTTCATATGCAACATTTCGCGTTCCTTTATCAAACGCTGTCTGAGCATAGTCTTCACAACCCCATACAATAGCGGAAGTCATAAAAGCCGTTCTTGTCTCTGCCCATGGTATACGCTGTCATCTCACTTTCTAATCGTCCATCACAGAATTTGCTGTCGGGACAGGTACACATCTCAACCTCACCCTTAAAGTCCGTAACTGGAACAGGGATGGGTCCATCTGTGTTCATGCGTGGATAGTACTTGGAGCAAGGTTGAGTTTTACCATTTCGTCTGATAGTCTGAATATCGCACTGACGTAACTGAAATTTTGAGGAATCACTGGGAATGGTCAAATAAGTACATGTAGCTGAAATAATTTAGTTCATTTAAAATTATCTGTGATTTAAAGAATTGATGATTCGAGAGAAGAAAGAAATGTCTCATAGTCTCAGGCGATTGAAGTCCAGAAGCAAAGCATAGTATGCACAATTCAAACAGTCTGAGACGATACCTTATTTGATATATATAATTCTCCCAAGCGGGTAGTGCCAAAAGCACACAAAAACACAATTTCACCCAAAAGTAAATATTCGATAAATCACAACGTAAAATTCACTAACCTCTCCGCAAGTTGCATGGTTTGTGAATGGGAAAACTGGGTTATCGTACGTCCATTCGTCTGGCTTCCAGGTGGCGTACACTGTCGGGACTTTGCCTCGTCTACACTGGCAGCGCACTTCGACAACCTCCTTCTGTCCGGACATTGTCAGGGCGCGTTCACTACGTCTACATCTCCTCGTGGAAGTCAACGGGGCACATGTCTTGTAATATAAACCTGAAATTACATTTATGGATACCATAGGCCGGACAGAAGATTTTTACCTGTCTATATTTTTACCATCTTTAACTATATGCTCAGTGAAACAGTTCCCAGTGTTCATTAGGCCTTGTTTATCTTGCCATTTCAAGAAAATGATACCGTGCTCACATGGATAAATGAACCTGGTGAGAGCTACCATCGCAAGGCTGCCTGCTACAGAAAATTATTCTGCTCTAAGCAGTCTCGAAAATCACTCCACCATCTCAAGAAATTCTGCCTCTAACCAATCTTTGAAATGTTTCCTTATAGACTATTACCTACCCTATCGGAAATTAATTTCAAATTATTTATTAAACACTAGATGGCTCTGCGCTGGGCCAGAAAAGGAGAAAAGGCCTTTTTTATACAGGACACCAAATTACCTATTATCCTTACTCAGAACAATACTCTTACCAAATTCTGCTTTTTGGAGTCTGGCCATGTTGAAATGAAGACATGATGTTTTCGCGTTTCCAGTTAATCCCCAGTGACATCGTCGCTTTAGATTTTGATTGATTTGACGGTTTATTAATATATAGAATCCAGACACCACCCACCTCCTTTGATGACAGTATGTCCATCGTTGGGGTCGAACCTATCACTCACAGGGCACTTGAGATTCCCTTGACAACCACATTTCTTTGTTATGACCGTTGTAGGGAGTTCACCATCAAACGCCTCCCAATGCTCGACGCTTGCACATATTGACATATCAGACGAACATGGCTCATCGTCGCTACCCTATAGAGAAATGTTTTGTAAATAGAAATAAATTCGGGGTCTATCAAGATACACCTCCTCCATAAGTGCTGTTTATGTTCGAATTTTTCTCCTCAATTGCAATCAGTCGATTTTTTAAATTCGCCAAATATAACTGGTTTTAATTAAATGAATAAGAAGGGATAGAGAATGTTAAATATCAATCTTTTCAATAATGCCAATTGTTAATATACTGTACTTATTGAAGATACAAATATATCGAAATAAATACTGACACCTGGAGAATAGGCATGACATGGAATGGTGAAAAAATGTAAAATTGCGACAGTTCTTTTACTCCAAACTCATTATATCTATCTCTTCTGATCCCTTTAATAACGCATAGTTCAAAAGAAAACGTCCACTCGCCATGCAAACTTCTGTAGGGGAGAGTAGGTGGCAATTCATGGTCAACAAAATGTATGGTGTACGACGTTAATAATAAAAACCTACAATCAACAATGTGACCTACAATAAACATAAACATAATCACTGTTCCATCATTAAATGAAATTTTCGCTCTCGTCATAATTTGCCCTTCATGTACCTATTTTTATTTTGTCATGGTCGTGATGTTTTTGAACAAAGTGAGCTAAACATAGCAAATACTGAAAATCACTCACTACAAAAAATAAAATTCTTTAGATAAAATCATGAATATCCATCCTAACCTAAGTTAATATATTCAAATACTTACGTAATGATGCACTCCCGGTGGGATTGGTTCACTTGTACTGTACGCCGAAGCTATAAGAGCCACAAATATTGTTAAAACACAGGAAAATGTCGCCTCCATCTTGATCGTGAATTATTAAAATGTTCAATCATTTATAAATCAGAGTCCATAGATCACCTGTATTTATACCTGAGATTGAAATGTTGAAGTACACAATTCCTTATCTATCTATCCCCTTTGAGTGCCCACATCCACACGTGAAGTCATAGAACACAAATAATGATTACGTCAAAGATTATCGTTAAGGAATGATAAACGGAAAAAAGAATGGTAGAGGAAATAAAGATCTAAAATACTCTTATGTCATAGCAAGAACGGAAGCGGTTTCTGTCAAAGGCATTGATGTTGTATTTTGTATAATTCAGATTTTACAAGGGTAAAGTATGAGATAATCTATGGTTTATGATGTGAAACATTATTATACATAGATAAGGTTATGATCAACTTGCACTTATTGGTGTTTGTGATAGTTTATTTAAGTACCTTAAAGTTCCCGTGTTAAGTTTGAAAATATAGTTTAATCATTCAAATATTACTATTTGAGACATTGGTTGAAAAGTGTGTATTTTGAAAAAAAGTGTTTTTTCACTACCAAAAGTCGGTCGTTCAGGGTACAGAAAACGTTTGTACCTAGCCCTGCGGGGTGTATTGGACGATATTACCCCAGCTCTTCGGTCTATATTTCTTAAATATATAATATTATCCAAATAGGATTACACTTTATATAGGGCTTTTAAAAATCGAACAAACTGTTGCAATAGTACCCTTTGCAGTCGTTTGACTTCACTTCTTAAAAGAGAGCTCCGTCTTCTTGTAGTTTAACTAGACTCTGTACGCAGGGTATTTCAATAGATGTCGGTAGTCGCATTAGTGTTTGTTAAAGCGTCCGCATAACTTACATGCAATTAGTTATCTTCAGAAAATAAGCTTTGAGGCATAATTGTGTTGGTGAACATTGACGATCTCTTGCACATTATTTCTTTTTATGGCAGATTTTCAGAATTGAGTGTTTTATACAGGCTCTTATGTTTCAGATATCTCGGGTTTTACCTTTGTATTTTTATGTTGAAAAACGTCTGAGCATAAGAAGTGAATATTTGCAAAAATATCTCGAGAAGATGTCTCAAAATTACAAAATTATGAATTATTTTAGAAAGATACAGTAAGATGTCTCGGCCACTTTGTATAATGGTATAAGTTAAACAAAGCTCCTAGATTCAAGTATTGTCTATGATTATAAGAACAACGAAAACATAACTAACGACACATGATTAATATATGCCATGCCCTTATTTGGTCGTCTTCCGATTGTAATGTTGAATAAAGGTAAGTTGATATCCTATGCGATTTTCTTTGTTTTGATAATCGTATTCTATTATACTTATTTTATTATATCAAACTCAAAATGGTATACTATATTAGAACCACATCGTTAATGACCCGTAACTTATGATGTTCGACCATCCATTCAAAAAATATCATCTTTCTAGCGAAGACCTTTATTATCAAATCCGAACGGATGGCATTTTTAAGGCCAGTGCGTTTGACTGTACATGTACTACTCCACGTCTTTTTCCACCTTGACCTGTCAATCAGAACTAACTTTCTAAAACTAGTCAAAGTATACAAAGATGTAGATGCATGTGCCTCTTTTATTTGTGCAATAATTCATTTTACTATTTTTACAGGTTATCAGCGTCCAAGATACCTTCCAATGAAAAAGGTTTACAAAATCGTGTGGATTGCCATTTTTGTTAGTTTTGCAGGCTGTCTGTTTTATTCAGCTAAAATAGGAACTATGAATCTATATAGAGAAAAATATATAGTTGACAATAGTATCCACTCAAATACAAACATTTTTATACATGGAAAATCTCCCGATGAAAAAGCTAAAGAAAAATCGTCTGCTGATGACGTAGAGAAAGATCACGTGAACATGATCAAGGATGAAGACATAGTAGATGTTGAAGACCATAAACACGATGGGGATACGATTAATGACATGAAAAATATTTATGATATTCCAACTTCTATATTTAGGGAGAACTGGGTTGACGATGAAGAAATTCAAAATGAAGAAATCATCGACAATAACTGGGTGGAAGACGAAGAAAAACAAAACGAAGAATTCATCAATAATGCATTTCGAGACTCCATTGAAAATGTGGCGGTTAATAACTCGATAATTGTCTCAGTGGCGGACAAGGGCTTCCTGGACACAACTATCAATTTTTACAGGACATCAATCGAACCCTATGGCATCATAAACTACCTTGTAATCTGTATAGATGAAGATACAGAAGATGCTCTCAATTCTGAAAGTGTTCAAACGTTCTTCCTGGGTCAGGATATCGCTGGAAAGGATTCTGCAGAGAGTAAATATGATAGTGATGATTTCAAACGCAAAGCAAAGATGAAAACGAAAATTGTACTTGGTATTCTTAATATGGGATACTCTGTCTTAGTAACTGATACTGATATGGTCTATTTTCATAACCCTTTAGAGTACTTGGGCCAGGATGAATTTGATATGGAAATTCAAGATGACGCCGAGGCGGGATATAATTCTGGCTTTATGTATGTTCATCCCACTACCAACTCAATAGCGTTATTTGAAAAAGCTTGGAAAATGAGTGAGCGAATTCCTTCAGTTGGCCAGCAAGATGTTCTTAATATGGCACTGGAACAGGCAGAAATGGGCTCAAGGATAAAAGTTAGGGTGCTTCCTCCACAATTGTTTCCATGTGGAAAGGAGTATTTCATCCATGGTCAGCGCATGTTTAGTGGTGACAATGAAGACCCAAACATTGTTGTTATGCATAACAATTGGCTGGTCGGCAATGCTGCAAAAATATATCGTTTGAAAGAACATTGTTTATGGACAGTTGATGACAATGACTATTATAGCGATGCTGACAGAAGGTACTTGATGTATGAAAATCCTTACCCATATCTGAACATTGATGATGAAATTGATGCTCTCATAAGTGCTTTGGCAATTGGCATGATCCTAGACAGGATTGTCATTTTACCAAAGTTTCAATGTGACTGTAAATCTGACCCAGATTGTCTGGAAATTAAAGACAACCCCAGTCAAGCGTGTGCATTTGGAGCGCTATTCAGCGTAGCCTCATTCGATAAAACATTCGAATACAGAGAAAGTACATTTTTGCTAAATCCAAAAGTCCCCAATAATATCAAGAACTCGATTTCAGGTAAAATAGCCATCCAAACCGATTACATCACAAGGCAGGACTTAAACCACATAACGCATCGTTTCATGCCATCTAACACAGAACATGGTGCAACGGCAGAAGAGATTCGACTTTGGTTGGATCCTTTTGATGATATCTCAGTATTAAATTTCCATTCACTCTACGGAGCATTTTGGCAGTATGGAGACGAAAGAGATGATCATTTAGAACTAATGGTTGAAGATGGAATTAAGCCTGGTTATTATCGTCAGACACAAGAAATAGGGAGAGCTCCTGCAGTGTTTGTTTAATTATCGATTAACCCATTTGCAGTAGAGTCGTTGAGTTTTGGTATAACTTATCCCATTCAATATTATTCCACACAATAGACTAGATGGGAGTAAAAATAATCTTGATTTACGTCATTAAATATTCAAAATTCAGTCAAAGTGATGTCATATTTGAAATCTGCATGTAAAAGTACATCTAGAAATATGGTTTCGAAAATTGTTTATCAATTTGAAAATTTAATTTTTTTCAAAAACTGACTTCTTGTTCGGGTTGATTCCCCATAGACCCCATGTTACAAAATCACAAAAAGTGAAATATCTTTTCTTGTTTAGGACAGATAACATTTTCTTTTACTGGACATATTTTAAAATTGCATAACTATTAGATACATAAGGGTTATGTGAAAATTGAACCACGCAAATATGTAATTTAAGTTAAAGGGAACTTTTTACTATACCCGCCATGCTATCTGACCCGAACGAGCAACCTGGTGGTGAATCTGGTAACTACCTACTCGCATCTGCGTTATTCAATTCATGTATTTCCCTAAGTAAAAATTATTGACCTCATTGTCCTAAACAAAGAAAGAATTACATTGAATCAAATAACTCATATGAAATAACATGAAGACCAAGCTACATAGTGACCAAACCATTGTATACATATCCATTATCGATACAGTGTGCATGGGATGTCCCAACATTGATAAAGTTCTGTAACAAATGAAAATTGAAACTCGCACATCTTGTACCAAAACTATTTATTTCCAAGTAGCCTTACATTATTATGAGAATATTTGTTTGTTGGAGCAATCAGTGACATCACCATGAGACAGACATGCAAGTCATTACTTGCATGTCTGTCTTATGGTAATTATATCCTGGGTTTTTGACCGATATAAAGATGGCAGCAGCGTTTGATCTCTTTAGAGATAGAATAGACAAGTATAACATATTCAATAAACACAGATTGATTGACCTGCCCTGTTTATATCTAAAATTATTGAAATTGTCTCCGAGTAATGTAAGTTAGGAAACTCTCATCCCTATTTATAACAATCAAATAATCAAGTACTCAGATGCGAGTAGGTAGTTACCAGTTTCGCCACCAGGTGGATGATTCGGGGGAATTAACATGGCAGGGTATTACAAAATTCCCTTAAACTTGAATATGCATCAGTTTTAGTGGTTCACTTTTCATATTACCCTTATGTATCCGAGAGTTATACAAATTAAAATATGTCCAGTAAAAGGAAATATTATCTGCCCAACACAAGAAAAAATATTTCACTTTTTGTGGTTTTACAACATGGGATCTATGAGGAATCTCCCCGACCTAGAAGTCACACTTTCAAAGAAAATTAAATTTTCAAAGTTGATTAACTCTTTTCAAAACCACATTTCTAAATGTAATTTTACATGTAGATTCAAAATATGACATCAGTTTGACTGAAATGTGAATTTTTAATGATGTAAATCTGAGACTAACATAAAATATTACAGTATGTTAGTCTCAGTGTAAATCAAGATTATTTCTACTCGCATCTGGTATATTGACTATGCCAAATAAACATACAAGGTATAGCATCACAAGGTATTTTGTGAATGTTTCTGTTGATACACACATTTAAGTTCAGCAATATAAATTTCATAGAGGCATTTGATTTCCCTAAAGTGAAGGACAAGATATCTGCAATAAATATTCTAAGAGCAATGAAGTGTCAAGTGGGACATCGAATCATCGAATGAGATTACCATAATGGACTCAAGATGAATGTCGGGAACACGTGTTACTTCTCAGAAGGTAACAAGACGTGAAACACAATGTCACTGTACTGCAATAACTTAGTTCTTTTCGGTATAAGCTTTCATATTCCCAACTACAAGTGAGCTATCGCTTTATGTTTCGAGGTCATCATTTTGGTAAGGTCATCATTGAGATTATCCAAACAATTTATGTTGCGGGGTCATCATTTTGCTGAGGTCGTCATTGAAATAGTATAGTGTCCTTATAGCTTTTGAAATCTCGCTAAACCTCTGAGATTTTAAGAGATTTGCATATTAAACCTCTAATGACTTACATTAAATTCTTTTAAATGGCATATTTGAATTCAGTGAAATGTTTTCTCCTACAATAGCTTTGATTTACACAGTTATGTAATTTGAATAATCTTCTGTGACAATTTAAAAAAACTTGGGCCAAATATCCATAGATGCAATGCTAAAATTCTTTAAAACCTTGGATTATTTGTATGTCAACCAACATTTGTATGTTTAATCACAACATGTACATAAGCAGGGTCATCATGTGATATATCATTCAACTAACGCTCTTTGATAAATCATGAAATTAAGCCACTTTTCGAAGATTTTAGCATGTTAGTGAATGGAACTCTAGCCCAAATTAAAAGCTAAATAAAAGATGGCAGCACTAGATTTCATTGCTTTTTCCGCTATTTAGAAACTATCCTATTATCCAATCAATTTATGTTGCGAGTTCATCATTGAGATTATTTAATCAGTTTATGTTGTGAGGTCATCATTGTAGTGAGGTCATCATTGAGATTATCCAATCAATTTATGTTGCGAGATCATCATATTGGTGAGGTAGTCATTGAAATTATCCAATTAATCTATGTTGCGAGGTCATCATTGAGATCATCCAATCAGTTTCTATCTTTTTTCAGTATGAGCATTAGCTTCAAGTAACATATCACTATATGTTTTGATGTCATCATTGTGGCAAGGCGATTTACTGGTCTAAGCTCCAAGTCGAAAAAACAACATGTTAATCGTCTTTTTTAAATGACCCCAAAACTGAAAAAAAAAAAACATCATCCTCATTCTGTATCTACAACTACAACTATTTTCTACTTGCAAATTATACTGTTTGGTATCTATTGGATGACCAAATGATACCTTATTTTTGGACCATTTACACTTCATGTCTTACAAAGCTTGTGTTTTACTCTATCTAAACAGCCCACTTTCATTAAATTACATATTTTGGAAGATTTTTTACTACAATTATTGATGAATGTAAAATACACTCACCGAGTAAGTTGAGCATCCTGATAGATCTTCAGCATACCAACCAGGGAGATCGGAATAAACTTGAGCAGGTAGGGCAGGGTTGTTCAGGGCCTTACATAGATCACAACCCCATTGACGGAGGACTCCTGTGTGAGTATTGGTGTCGACGATCCTATAACTATGGCGCCATTGCATATATTTATTAAACAGATCTACATCATTGGCCACTCTGATAAGATATTTGGCAAGGGATTTGGTTGAACTGAAGCTACGAGTGTCAATGTAGGAGAATGGGGGTGCTTGCTTTTTAAACCAATCCCCTCCCGTAACTACTGGAATATTTCCACGTTCTAAAGCATACCAAAACTTCTCCGTTATATAGTCTCGACAGTTGTTATTTTCCAATGCTAAATAAAATTTGTATTGACGGAGAAGATGGTCACATTTTTCAGTGTTTTTAACACATGAGAGATCATTATGTTTGTATAGCTGACTTACACCACCGTATACGTCAACTTCCATGTGCGACTGCAACTCACGAACTAATCGCATCCGGTTGCTATGGGCTAAAGGATTACTCGCAACCCAAGCAACCAGACGTGGTTTTTCCTTATCAAGTATAGTTTGGTTTTTGTATATCAACTCTAGGTTTGTGTTATTATGTTCAACTTTACGTCCATAATAAACTGGTATGTCAGAATCTGTACGAAAAGTAGCAGTCCAGTTAAATATATTGTTATAGGATGATAGGTCTGTTCTCATATTTTGTGGAGGCTCCATGGTGAACAATACCCAACGTTGATGATGATGCCTTTCACCAGGTAACACAGGATGAAGTTGGTCTATATGGGGATCAGAAACATGTATAACTACAGCAGCGCTCTCCAATAGTTTGCTTTTATCAAATGTAGATACGCAGTTAGTGACAGGACAATTGTCCAGTGATCCTTTGGATAACGTCCATAAATATGGCTCCTCTGAAAAGAATGGGAACCATAGTACAACCAACTTAGTTCCTACAACCTTGGGATTTTCAGTATTATTGGTGGCATTTCCCCCTATAGAGTACATTCTTGTAAATGCTGATTTGTTTAAAAAGTTCCGCTTCTTGAGGTGTGGTATAGCGTAGGAATCAGTTGTGATGTAGTATATAGTGGTAACGAGAACCATTAACAAAATGACGACGAGAAAGCACACTCTCCTGCAACAAGGGAACGAAGCACATCGTCCACGAACATTATAAATTGCTTTCATCAAGTTCCCTCCACTTTGAGTCTCAGTCATTACGCCTGTCTGTCTGTAATTCTTTCATTTCAAGCGTTTCTGATACTGCAACAAAAATCATATTATTTAGTTTGTGCTGAATGACACTGGAAATATTTTCGCATAAGCCTTGTTGTAGTGTATATCTATTAATCAGTGTAATCTTGTGTTATGTCCAATAGGGCAAGTTGCAAATTGCATGTACTTGTATAGCATAAACAAACCAGAACAACGGCAACGCCAAAGCGTAGCGAATCCCATCGAACAGAAATGGCTGGCAATTTTACAAACGAAATATATAGCAAACATCATAAAACAACACACCAGAAAGGCCACCATTTTCAAAATGGTTGCTCACTAGCCAAGTTGTCATCAGAAGAAATAATACGCTTTTAAGTAGCCACCTATAAAATCTTTGAAAAATCGCATACATGTACTTGTAAAATAACACACATAAAAATGGTGGCCATTTTTCAAAATGGCTGACTACTCCCCAAAGTTTTATTAGACAATGTGCCATGCTTAAATTGTTCACATATCAAATATGAACAAAATCGCTCCACTACTTTTCGAGTTATAGTAAAAAATGTAAAAATGACAGCCATTTTTATAAAATGGCCGCCTACTATCTGAAGTGTCATGAGACAGTGTGCAAGGCTCATGAGTATTCACATATCAAATATGAACAAAATCGCTTCACTACTTTTCAAGTTATAGTAAAAAACGTAAAAATGGTGGCCATTTTTCAAAATGGCCACCTACTACCCAAAGTGTCATTAGACAGTGTGCCATAGTATTCACATATGAAATATGAAACATACCAAATATGAACAAAATCACTTCACTACTTTTCGAGTAATAGTAAAATACGTTAAAATGGCGGCCATTTTTCAAAATTTTTTTTAAAATGGCCGCATTCTACCAAAAGTGTCATAGGATGGTGTGCCATGCCTTTAGTATTCACATACCAAATATGAACAAAATCGCTCCACTACTTTTCGAGTTATAGTAAAATACGTTAAAATGGCGGCCATTTTTCAAAATGGCCGCCTTCTACCAAAAGTGCCTTTAGACAGTGTGCAATGCTTATAGTATTCACATACCAAATATGAACAAAATCGCTCCACTACTTTTCGAGTTATAGCAAAAATCGTGAAATAACAAGTAAAGGCCGCCATTTTTCAAGATGGCTGCCATGTGCTTCTTTAATGTCTACATTTGTAGCTTTATTAATGTCCTTCATAATTTTTTTACATTTAAAACATATTGCTATTACAGTTCTACATATTGCACCTAAATTACTGTAAAATCGGCACTAAAATGGCCGCCATTTTGAAAATCGGCTTTCGAGCAGAACTTCTACCCTCATAGGGCATGTGTGTATAAAATATGAACAAAATCGGGCAAACGGTATTTGAGTTATCGCCCGGACAGATGGACGTACGTACGGACGTACGTACGGACGGACGGATGGACGGAGGCGTTCCCTTTATCCCTCCGAACTTCGTTCGATGGGATAATTAAATGGCCTATTTATTACATAAATCCCATAAGTTGAATCAGCATTCAGACATCATCCGATTACTTACCGAAATCCAATGAGCTGTGTAATGGAGCCGGGGAACTATAAGAACACACTCTAGGTTTATCAAACTGTTATCATACGAATGTTTGATTTTAATAATTGACTTTATCGCAGTACACACTTGGCGTTTACTCAAACATGCTATATATATAAATGAGGGGCGGATCTGGGAACCAATAAGGGGGGGGCCTAAATTTGAGGTCAAAGAAAAAAAACGTCCGCGCTTGCGCGGAAAAAAAATTTTGGCCCCTAAAACGCAAAAGTGGGCCCAAATTTTGAAATTTTGACGCCCATTTTCTTCAAAGTTTGGCCTGAATTTAAAAAATAAGGCCTTAAAAGGCCCAGTAATGACCAAAAAGGCCGACTTTTTGGGGGCCTTAAGGCCTTTTTTGGCCCAAAATTTTTTTTGGGCCCAATTTTTTTTTCTGGGCCCACCCAAGGGGGGGGGGCCCGGGCCCCCAGCCCCCCCCCCCCCCCCCCCCCTAATCCGCCAGTGTAAATTATAACACTACAGGATGGTCCAAAAATTGGAACATTACTTTAAATTCTTTCTCTCTAAAGTACACCTAAGTGGTTCATTCTAAAGTGCATTGGATGTAAGTATGGTGAATGTCGCCTATCACGATAATGGGCCGGGTTTAACATTGTTTGATATGACCTCTCTTCAATTCTGAATTTGAAATTCGTTGCCTCATGTGCCTGTGCCTCCTTTCTGAAATAATACATTCGAATTGCTGTTTGCTGGTCTGATCCCCAAGCTATCGTGTTTAATAACTTCAACTTGGCCAAACTTCCAATATGTTTGCCTTGGAAGATTAACCTGGTAACATGATCAACATTTTGTTTCCACATCGAAATCACACGTATTTTAGTGGTTAATTTTGGTACTGATTGAATATTCTTCTCCAGAAAGAGGGTAATCTGGTCAACTGGTAAATCAGAGACATCTGGGGTAAATGAAACCCCTCGCCCTACATCAGTATACAGTATATTGATGCAATACGAAGTAATCACACTTTTCTTCTTTAGTACCTTTAAAGAGTCTCAAGATTTGGTCTTTTGAGCTTTGTAAATATCTGATTATAGTCTATTAGTCACTGATAGGTATTTGAAGGTGGAAACCTCCGACAATTGCCAAAACTATGCTTAGTAAAATCTTGGTGCATTTTGGAGGAGAAATAAATGTTCTGCATACAGCTAACAAATGTTTAAGTTTAATTTTTGGCCCACCCTGTACATGGTAATTACTTTACTCAGTAAAATGAATTGATGTATTTTAGCGGAGAAATATTTTTTAGCATACGAATAACAATGTTTCAATTTTTGGACCACACTCTCAAGTATATGGCAGTTATCTGTAATGGCAAAGGCCTGTGAGGAAACATATTCTGACAAAGTCTCTGTTACTATATACTATACACTAATGTTATATTTTTTCTTTAAGACTGTATTGTACAAAGATTATTGCCTCTACAGTACCCTTGGTGTCTAATTAATCTCAAACATCCCATATAAGGACCGTGCATACGAAATGTCCTCTCAATAACTGGTAAATCTTGAATCCTAGAAACATAGAGGGCTTTGATTACACCAAACAAAACAGTGACTAATACAATAATATTCTATGGTGTACTACAAGGTCACTAAAATACAGTAAAGAAACTTGATTATTTTATATCTCAGTTCTAAGTTACTACTTTTTGCAAGGCCTGACTTCGTCGCTAACATGCTAAATATAAGAGTTAGCTGACGTTTGGGAGTCTGACTTACCTTCTAAAGGTTAGAACCCGAATCTTAATGAAACCATTACTTTTTCATTTTTCATCAATGTTGACTTTCGGGAAGGCGTTGTAGTTATCACGAAATAACGCATTGACCCTTGAACTTTACTTTGTTGACGTGTCAACCAAGCATGTCTGGTGTGAAAATTAAAAGAATATTAAGCAATGTTCTACATCCGCCAAGCTAAGTGAAGTAGCCAATATAAAATTACCAATTTCGAGTGAAGTACGCAACGAACGAAACTGCGTGATCTACAGTCCCACTATTTGTCTGAACGAAATGCTACGTAGAAATATGAGCCGTCTGCTGTATTAGTCGATTAATAGAGTAAGACCTGTTGGTGATGCTTTATAATTTAGACCAAAACATTGAAGAACATACGAACCTGTAAATCGTGAAAACAACGAACAAATATTCGGTTTTCATATATGTTCGGTAATTTTTCGTATTGAAACTTCCGGAACTTACAAGGAAATCATTCATTTTCTCGGTCCATGATTTACCTCTTGGATGTTGTGGCAAATGCTCCATGGTTGACAGAACAAAGGTGATATGGTTTCAATAAGATTCGGGTTCTAACCTTTAGAAGGTAAGTCAGACTCCCAAACGTCAGCTAACTCTTATATTTAGCATGTTAGCGACGAAGTCAGGCCTTGCAAAAAGTAGTAGCCTAGCACATTCTACAAAACCTCAACCTTATTGATTACCTATTTACTCCAGTCTGTAAATGCTGATTCCAGTTGATATTTACAGTAATTTAAATGTCTCTGACATGTCTGACGCTCCTGTTCAGCGTTCCAACACACATAAACCATAAAACACTCAAGAAAATAATATTTGTGCAATTTATTTTCCAGACAAGAACAGCTCAAGCGACCTATCAGTAGGGTCAAATACAATCAATCACGAAATTGTAAATAGGAAGATACATGTATATGGTTACACTACTGTCACTTGACATTTCAGTTAAATGTTGATGTATAATTCTATCATACAGGATGATTTATCATAGTCCCTGTCCCCATCTAATGCTTGTGGGGGACTTATTTATCATGAGACAAAACATGTTCCATGAGAATTTCTTATTCTCTCCTATTTGTAGACTCGTCACTCAATTCATTTATTCAATTTATTCAATGGTTCTTATTTTTATAATATTTGAGAGTAAATACTTACACTGTATTTTTGTATGCCCGCGATGCTAGTGAATTGCTTAATGTTTTAATAAGGTTAATCCCCAGGTGTCACTAAAACGAACAATAAAGCCTTCAGAGCTCATTACATCCTCATGTGTTTGCAACGAAAAACCTCATCCTAGCGCACTAACATTGATTTATGAACTTTATTACACGCATACCCATAAAGGGTTAAGTGTACACAAAGTAATCACTAATTTTACAATATATCAATACAACAGAAAACAGTATATATAACAACACACACAATAAATACTTCATAATGAATAAATAAGTAAATAAATGAACAAATAAATATGTATCATGGATGAGCACATGAATGGTGATTGTGATACGCGTCCATTGTTAATGTCATACATCACACCCTTCTATGTTATATTACATTTAAAAATTAAATCTGATTCGTCAGATTTATGAACAGCATAATGCCGTATTTTGATTCAAGGACGATAGATGTCTCTGATTGATTCAAGGGTTGCCAATATCCCAGGAAATATTAATTCTCATACCGGAAACTGATACTGAGAAGACTATTATCTCTCACGATAGATAAATTTGACAAAATCACCCATCGACGATTTCGGCTCATCCTTCTTTCAAGGACTTCATTTATGCTTATTTACGAATATAAAACAACCTTGCAGCAAGGATGGTTTTGGCTTGCGTCCACGATCTTACAAGATGAGGTGACAAAAAATTAATTACTTGCATATGAATATGCCTAATAACACATGCATCACTGATACATGTAATACATGGGAACTCACTTACACACGGTTAACCGTTGTATGAACTGCTTATGAACTGTATAACAAACACATGAATATCCGAAACAATAACAGCGATTGACCTACATATAAATAACCAATTGCAACACGTTAATACTAACCTTAGAAATTCATCCTTGGGTGTGAGGGGTGAAAGGGTATTTCATTTCTTCCCATAGCTGCTATAGCATCCAGTGAAACCCGATCTTGAATGATGTTAGTAATCATTAACCGATGTCTCATCTGTATATACAGGGTGTCCCGAAATTATGGGACCCCCTGTAAAATGTAACTTTGGATAAGCTTTAAAATGATATATGACACATACTATGTAGACATTGGTATGTCTGCCTATGGGGGGCATACTTTTGGCCACCCTGTAGTATATGTAGGCAAAGCACCGATATTTGAATAATATAACTAAGAATAGTCTTATACTCGCTTAATAAAACGTATCAGTTATCAGATGTCAGTTATGACAATGCTGGAGTTTTTGTGTGTAGTTAATAAGCACAAAAGATAAAACAACTACAGGAAGTCAGTCTATATTTTTGTATATTTCGATGAATGAATACGATTGCATTGTAATTATTTTTTGTCGTACTATCAATCTTTCTATTTTTATTGTATCTCGTCTACTCATTGCATCCTTCCCCAGCGTACAACAATCTGTTCGGCGTTTTATATTTGCCTTTTCCAGTAAATGTCAGCGCATCGTGTGTCGAACTGAAAAAAAAATGTTGAAATTATTAACTCATAGGGGTTTATTTTGTCAATATCCAGAGAGGATGTCACAAAACTCATGAAATAGGTACTGTTTCAACGCGGATTATTTCGGCTTTCGGGAAGGAAGTTTATTTTGAAAAGAGGACATTATCTTCACTTGTAGTTTCAGGGAGCTGGGGAGTGGAAACGAATAGAGTATTTTTGTTCAAAAAAAAGGTACATGTCGGTGTAATTTAATTTGGTATATAAACCCCACCTAGGTTGCAACACAATATAATGAACTGTAGTTTATTTTAGAGAATGTACAGTTGTAGCAAAGAGTCCATTCTTTTTCCATTAATTTTAAAGTATTGACACATAGCAAGCTATCCACAACCAGTGTGGCACAAGATACGATTGACTGACACATACAGTGCACTAATTACAACATATTCAGTCATTTAATAGTAATTAAGCACAAAAGAAATCAAATTTTGAATTGTACCTGGCCTGTTACATGCAATGCATTTGGAGCTGAACTAATAGCACCCGCTAACTTCCCAACACACGTACCTCATAGTCAATACAAAAGAAATCAAATTTTCCTAAAATAAGATTCAGTGTGGGGTTTAAGTTAGATGAAACATTCGTACTGGGTTTTAAGAGAACTAATAAAATGGCGATTTTTGTAACTTTTTGTTTTCCTAAATAGTCTACGCGTTTCCGCCCCTGAGTTTGTCAAGTGTTTGTACAATACGCATGCTCAGATATTAAGCAGGACATTCCAGTTTTACCTAAAATAACGATCAACAATATTCACATTTTTTGTCAATATACGAAATTCAAAACGGTGAATCCTTATATGAAATCATTTTGTTTATTCTTCTTGGCATTTTAATGTTGTTCTAGTAACGATCGTTTTAGAATTGTGACATATTTTTCAAAGTATCATTTTGACATATTTCTCAGAGAACCCCATTCATTATAAAGGCATTTTCAAACATTGCATTAAGGGGCTATTGTTGAACGCTTTAAATGTATCAAATATCCAGAAGAAATTGCAACAAAATTTTCCCCGACCATCTTCTAAAGCAAGGCGAGATGATGGTTGAACTTGGTTGTAGAATGTGTTCGTTGCATTATATAAACGCTTGTATTCGCAAGTGCAACTCGCGCCTGTCGGCTACCGGATTAACCTACCTATACCTGTGGTACTATATTATAACCAGCTCATATGAATATGAATGGAATATAGGTGGCAGGTTATATTCATAGTTCAATGAGTTGGGTCATCAACTAGTAGGTCAATCCGGTAGCCGACAGCCGAAAGTTGCATTCGTGAATACAAGCTTAGTTACCTTTTCAGAAGCCATTGTTTTATGAGGTGTGGAGAATCTGGCTCTTGCATCATCCTGGCTGCAACCACACCTGTCTACAGAAAAACCCACTTTAAAAGTTCACATTTTCCAAAGAATATCTTTTTAACTTTTTTATTTATAAAAAGATATTGAAACCAGTTACATTTACATTTACAATATTGCTTTGTAAAGCACTATAATAACGTTATTAACATTATTAATACACATTTTATGATAAGAATTTTCTTTGTATCATGTTTTGTGGCATTTACCACACTAATTAAGTCAATTAATGTAGTAATGTATATTGCGCGCATACAAAACAAGCGCAACTCAATCTACTTCAAATACCCGATCAGCTTCAGAGCTATGTTTAGAACGGGAGATTTCCAAATTCGCGTCAGTGTCAACGGGGATCATTTTACTCATGTCTACTGAACACTATGCTGGCAATTTTGATTTCGATGCCCAGTATAATGCTTTCTGAAAAAAAGATGTGTGTCATACACAGCTCCAAATATCTTACGAAACAAGCTTGTTTATCATGGAAAACTAGCTATATAACTATCAATGGCATACACACGATGACGTGTAGTCTATTTAACTAAGTATACACTGTTACTGAACGATAAATTATATGAGAAAACTGCATGCATTTGCATAGGGCAACTTGTGCGTACAGGTTGACGTTTCGATTTTATATGCATTGCTTAAAGTCTCAATTATGTACACTTACGTGTATACATGACATGGTAAATCGTAGTCTTTAGATCAATACCCATGGGCGTCCCCAGGGGGTGCGTTGAGTGCGACTGCTCCCCCTTTTTGAGCCAATCCTCTGGGATTTAGTGTATGGTGCTGAGGATGTGACTCTGGCGAATAAGGTAAGCTAAGCTTCAAATACTGCAAGCTACGATTTGATGGACACTGTTTTTTAGATGTAGACGACCCCATGGAAAAATGTTGGGGACGCCCTTAATAATAGTACTTTGATACAAGAATCTGACGTGCTATAAATCACACCAAATCATTGAATGCTGTTTATAGTACTGTTAAGATTTCTTGAACGTTAATATCTTAGAATTGGTCGATGTTACTTACAACATGGGGAGCAGCAATTGATGTACCTGAAACGTATTTTAATTCATTATAACATGTGAAATTTCATTTCATAAATATATCTTAGATACAGTACGATTTAAAGATGGCAGAAGTCGTATTCCCTCTGCTGTTTGTAACACATTGAAAGTACTGCCTGTTACGCGGAATATGGCATATATTCATGGTTACGCGGTATTTGTGATACGGGTGAATATGCCATATACACCTGCGGTTGTCAATTTGAAAATTCTTATTATTGTGTTCACGATGGTTACTATATGTAATGGACCTACATGTATCTACTGACTATATTTACCATGTCCAAGTGCTGCTCTGTTTCCAGGCCAAACTGTAGTTATAGCCTGACCCTAAAACAATGGATGTATTCCAAATATTATAAAGTTTGAGAGATGTATTCTTATGATTATAAAGTTAGATTTTTATGATAAAATTAACGTTTTTATTGTCAGGGTGTTCCAAGGACAATTATTCTACTTACCGGGGCATATATATCTACGCATGCGCCGTAGTTAGATGGCCCCCACATCTTGTCTTCGGGGGAACTTGCTCCGACTGTGATTCTAAAAGAATTTTAATAACTCCTAAAAACCTAGTGATTTCATAGAGCGAGATGTGTTATTTTTAAATTGATGAATCAATAATGCTCAATACCTTTAAAGGATTTAAAGCAAATGTAATATCTTATTGTAATATTGATAAGCAATTAGGCAGAGAAAAAAGGTGGGAAATTATGGGTACTAGATTAGATTAGACTAGTGTGGTTAGATGCCTTAAAAAGAATATGATGGAAAATTGTGTGACTTCTATGATATTATGTATATTGTATATGTTAATGTAACTGCTTTCAAATGTTTTTCTATGAATAAAAGAAGGAATAAAAAAATAAATTAAAAAAATGCTCAATAATTCAGCCGGACGTGGTCTATTAAAAGCGCTCCCGAAATCAAACATATTTTAGCTATTAGGTGAAAACTTACACTTCTTTCAACTGTCCGGGTGAGAATTCACACGCATCTTTGGCACTATTTCCAGCAGCTGCTACGACAACAATACCCTAAAAACTAAACTTTCTGTATGAATGAGTTAAGAAGGAATCTGTACATGTACAGGATCCAAGAAAATTCATGTCGTTTTCACTCTTTAAAATTGACAGATGGTCATTCTTTAGTTCAGCTATCGAATGCCATGAAAATGATAATTGTGGGGACGTGTGGCAGCTATAGTGTAATGCTACTAGCTAAGTAAATCCATGTTATTACCGAATAACATAACTTACTGCTCTGACCAGGTGCTGCACCATACTATTCAATACTTTATTTGAACCGGGAATTCCAAGTGAAATGCTGAAAATAAAAAATAGTATAATGTTGTGTTACGCACATTATATGAAAATCGTTGAAATGAAATTTCGAAATGAATCCAAATGAATTATAATTGCGTTACCATGGTACCACCATGAAACAGTAAATGAAGACTATTTACAGGGTGGTCCAAAAAAAGTGAACCCCTGCAACTGGCCATATTTCCCTCATTACTTGCAGGAATTCTCTTTTATTTTCACATGTTGTAGAGGAAGGTCTAAAATTTATGTTGGTACCATACATTTTTCTTAGTCTCAAAATTTGCAGAAATTATAAGCCCTAACCAAACATTACTGAAAATGGACAAGTTGTGATTTTCAATATCTGCGATTCTTCAACCCTTTAATACCTTTCCCCTGAGAATTTTTTAAGCCGCAGTCTTAAAGAACTAATATTTTCTGACTTTGTTCAATTTTAAATCCTGCACATTATGGCTTAAAACTAGCATCGTACATTTGTTAGTTGCAAAGTTATTGTGATCCAAAGAGATGTGCTAAGCTTCCACAGATGAAAACATTTTCCAGTGAAATCATGAACATACCCCTATATGATCTTGAAATGTCAATATCTTCATAAATCATGGACCAATTCTAATGATATATGGCTCAAAACATAGAATATTGCATTTTCTTTTGATTTTTTAAAGATATTTGATGAAGGGGTTATCAGATTCCTGGTCACAGGGGGCAACTTCCTTCCATAAGAGGCCCCCTCTAACTGTTGGTGTAGGTAACATACCCCTGAACTGTTGAACAGTTAAAAATGCTTCAAAATGATCAATGAAAGTGTGAAATGTGTTTTCTGCTTGAATAGTGTCCCTTTTGTCATATGGTAGGGTTTTAAAATTGTATCTCTAACTGAAAGCTGTTTAAGATCATCCAATGTGTTTCAACAATTTCCGTGAATCACATTTGTAAAATTTTGTACAATATCTAATTTCCAGGCATGTTTGTTAAACGCTTGTAATTTCTTCAAAATTTAAGACTGGGAATAAATTATGGCATCAACCAAAATTTTAGACCTTTCTCTACAACATGTGATAATGTGAGCCAATTCATGCATGTATTAAGAAAAATGTAGCATGTTGCAGGGGTTCACTTTTTTTTGGACCACCCTGTATATGACCGGAGTGAGCTGGACACTATTCAATTCATGTGACGTGTTGAAAAGGATGAACAGGGTGATTTCTCTCGTGTAGGCGCGTGTTAAACTATTCTTACTTTATTACACTCCTTCTAGATGTCTTCCTAACGTTATTGTGTATCCATGACAACCCCCTCACTACAGACCTGTCACCAAAGAAACATAGTTATTCTATTGCTTCGTTCGGCTAATCGTGTGCATAATTGTGTGCAAATATAATGAAATGATTCGTTCATTAATATTGTTGATACCCCAATCATTTATTTAAATATACAATTATAAATTACATTATGGTCCCAGACTTTATGTTAAAATCATATTTTGTAAAGTATGTTGATTGACCTATTGAACTACTGATACTTAACAAATTGGGTACTGTACATTATGAAATTTGACATACCAGCGTCACCAAAAACTTTTTCTGTAGACATGAAGAAGTGGACTTGCACTGATCGGGTATACAATTATATAAAACCATTACTCACGTACTCGTGCCTCTTGAAGATCCCTTAATCACCTTAACTGAGATTAGTCTCGCTTGTTTGGCCACTCCATACTTGGACGAGCCTGTAACACTTAGCAGAGAATTAGCCAATACAGGGTGACACAAAATCTCATTTAAAAATAATTTATATAGAAGTGTATAATCTCGCGATGAACATTGTTTCAAGTTTTGATATGTGTTCCTTTTTTCGATTTGGCGAAATCGACCAAAATGTCAAATAATCTTGATGCTAAAGTATGAAACACATGTTAAAACTATAATTAGGTAAATTAGACAATATCTAACTCACCTATTACGCCGCTGACAAGTGTACCGTGCCCCGTAAGGTCAACGTCCTGATCGTCCACTGTGTTGGTTCCCCATTGAGCCCTACCTCCAAAATAACTGTGCTTCGTATCTATCCCACTAGTAACCGCAAAAAGAAAAAGACATATATGAAAACGGTGTGTCCCAGAAGCAGTCCTGTTACTTTTGGTACACCCTGTAAAACCACACCCTGATTGTCCGAGTTTTGAAAATTATATCTTTCTAATATGTTAATTTTATTTTTAGAGGCAGGTACATTGAACAGAAGACAACGTATGTATATTTTCAATAATTTCAGAATCTGTTTTTGTTACTGTTTCCGTTTCAAAATCTACATTACCTGCAGGTATGCATTAGACCATTGGAAATATAAGCGTTGGGTTAGTATTGCCATAGTTACCTGTCCAAGACATAAACGTCAACACCGAACCCAGTCCCGTTTATTGTAAAATTGCCGTCTGTTGGAAGCTGACGCTGATCAATGCGATCCAAACCCTGATTCAAAGAATATCAGATAAACGACATTGTGGAATCCACAATCTCTATCCCTTGGAACAGAGATCACAAGCTTTAGGTAATAGAGACTCTGATAAATCAGAATGAATAAACCTAGAAAACTGTCAAATGGGGGAGTAGGAGAACCGCCAATGTCCTTACTAAATTATGTAATGTGCGTATCAATTATAAAATTTGTAATTGCGCTTTATATAACATATCGAAGATATAACATAAGCTCTATATGGAGGGGCTTCTCCTTTTGAGCTTCTGGAGAAAATGTGAAGAAAATGCAAAATTCCTGGACTTGTGTTTTCGGATTGTGGTTATGGATCTTGAATGCTGAGTTGGTTTCTATTTATAATTGTCTAGTAATTGAATAGTTTTATTACGCTGATTTATAACCGGCTCTTGTAAACACGTAATAAATACAATCAGCTTACCCATGAACCTCGAGGGAACGCTGGAATAAGTTGTGTCCTACATGTGAACTCTTCTACATCAACCTCTTGTTCAATGTATGACAGTGCCCCTGAAGAAGATAGTCTGACCGCCATGCTATAAGAAATAAACAAAGTTACACATATTTGTCCAAAAAGGCTGAACTAAGCAAGGACAGAGTTGACAATTTATAGGTAAGACTACATGTTCGGAATTTTGCAGCATTCCTCAAATTGACTCACATGTTATTTTTCGAATATGAATCACTCCTTTCCCACATTGTCTACATCTTTCAGTTTTGCACAAAGATTGCACTTATGTGCATAGAAAAGACTGTAACGAATATTTTTGTAAAATGTGGAGAAGGAGTGATTCATGAAAAATAACATGTGACTCAATTGAGGATTGCAGCAAAATTCCGAACATGCAGACTTACCTAATAGGTATAGATACCTGTCATTCTTCCAAAAAACATTATCGTAATTTTCATGATTTATTTATTTCTGACAGAGGACTCTATCAAGAATATTTGCACACTTAAGGAATTTAGGAAGAACAAATACACATTTTAAAATAACAATAAATGTACATTCCTCACAGAAAATTTGGCAACCGCTTGTTTAAACCAAACTTTATGTGTGGAGTGTTTAGAAGCCCATAGTACACAGTGAATAATGCGCAGCCCTATTTACTGGCCATACAAATATTGCATCTGTGTTCGTCTCTTGGTACTTCTGAAAGCATAATGGAAGTGATTGAATAAGGCCAAAGTACTATATACACTGTATTAACATATTTTGAATCAAACATTGGCAACAACTCCCCAAATACGTTTTGAACACATTTTACAACAACTTTCTGGACAACACTCTTTGTTATCAGTTAGCAATGAATTACTGAGCATGTTTAGCAACTAATACGTAAACAGCTTAGTTCGAGATTGTCATATTGGTCAGTAAGTATAGTGGGAGATATCACCAGCGATCTAACTTTTGGCATTTATAGCACATCAAATAAGCATAAAAAAGAAACAATCAGCATTTTGCGTTACCCATCGTGCATTACACTTTACCAAGAACTCCAAATCACGGAAGTGACTGATCGCCATTGAAATACACATTCATTGTCGAATAAGAGAAAAAGAAAATGGATTTCTCAGGTAAATGTGTAGTGGTGACAGGCTCTAGTAGCGGTATTGGAAAAGCAACTGCTTTGTTGTTTGCAAAGCAAGGTGCTAGTGTTCTTCTCCATGGACGTAATGAGGAAAGGCTACAAGAAGCTGTAGATGCTTGTAAAAGTATTGGCAAGGAAGATGCCAAATTTCCAGCTATTCTAGGAGAAATGGACAAAGATGAAGTCCTGGAAAAGATTGTGGCTACTGTGAATGAACAGTTTGGGCGACTTGATGTCCTAGTGAATAATGCTGGGATCGTGATACCTGATTCGCTTGTACCTGGTAATATATCTGCATTGGAGTCGCAGTTCAAAGTGCTTTTGCGAGCACCGATGCTTCTGTCTCAATTGTGTTTCCCATTGCTTGAAAAACACAAAGGAAATATTGTGAATGTATCTAGTATTGGAAGCACTCGCCCTTCAACTGGTTGTCCATACTATTGTATCGCTAAAGCAGGACTGGATATGTTTACCAAGTGTGCTGCATTGGACTATGGCAAAAGAGGAGTCCGTGTGAATGCGATAAACCCTTGCTATGTTCCGACAAATATAGCCACAAGTTCAGGATTGGCCTCCACAGATGAAGAGCTCGAAATCATAGGTAATTCTTTTACGTAATTGTTATTTAGATCTGGGTTTAGATTGTGACAGTAATCTAGGATATTTTCTTCGGGTAATTTCGGGATGACTACACCCTACCCCCCCCCCCCCCTCTCCTTGGACGAATCCTTTTCCAACAATCATAAAACATTATTGGATCTCCTCCCGGGGGTCTCCTATTATAGTTATGTTAATTAGTCCATTTACTGAAGCTCTAAACGGCCCAAAGGAACTTATTAAACGAATCAGACATAGTATAATCACTGATGATACGACGTCAGATACTGTACATCACGGCGTAACATTGTAATTGTTCATTTTACCGACAAAATGCAAGATTTACGCGATAAATATGCGCAATGCTCCTCCAAGTAATTGCAGAAGTTTTAATATTCGTGGAATCTTCTTAAAAACTTCAAGTTTTGTTCAGATTAATGTGCGCTTCAATAAAATTCTATATTCGAAAAGGTTGTGTCACGATATACAGAATTAGAATCACCAGAAAGTGGACATTTCAAACCCTACCCGTTTTCTTCTTTGTCGCGCTTTTCGGCCCTGCGCTCTCGTTGTCGCACCGTCTTTCTAGACTCTTTCACAGTGCCCCTTGTCATATTCAACTGATATACACAGACGGGAAGATATTAAGGATTGTTAAATGCATTATTTGTAATTTATTTTAACTCGAATATTTAGTTTTATTTATTTAAAGCAATGGATAATAAAGGAGAACATATAATACTCTAACGGCGTAACGTCTTATTTTGTAAAGGCTTCACTTGGGGTTGCGGTGATAAAATGATGTCTATCTCAATATATACTGGTTCAAATTAAATGAAATTAATTGTATGTAGTAAGGGATATATTTCAAAGAACATGCTGAAACATTGGAAAGTTTTGAATGTTTATCCCTTAATTAGAAATATTTGAACTCAAAAAATGAAACGTAATTTTGTGAATTTTTCACATGGCTTCACTTTATATTTCTTTCAATTTATGCTTCTTACAGACTGAATTTTAATCGAAATGATATAGTTTTTTGATAAAAATATAGACTATGATATGCCTTTCAGGAATCAAAAAAGAATAATTCACCTTTCAAACGATTTAATGTTTAATTGACCAAAATATATATCTTGTTGGAACGAAATTATGCCTGTCCACACTTTTTTTGCATAAATATAAGCGTTAAGTTAGTATTGTTATATTATGACGTCATCACACAGAATCTGTTTGTCTTTTCCAGATTGGTGAATTTAAATATTGTGAAAATTTGAGAAAGATCCGTTAAGAAATGAAAAGGTTATCTTCATTTTTCGTTTAAAATTAAAATCATTTTTCTTCAAAATGTTACAGTCCACACCCGGTTTTAGCATAGAAAGTCGCATAATACGGCTTGTGTGATTCTCATTTAAAAAGTCCCAAATCAGTTATTTGGAATTCTGATAGGCAAAATATTTCATGGACATACGTGTTCAACCGATGACGAAAATTTTTTGAAAAATATGATTTTGCTGTCGAGATATTGCGGTTTTAAAACTAAGTACGCATGTAAAAATGCAGTAAAATGCCGCGATGTACAGTATCTGACGTCGTATCTGATACGAGAGTATTTTTGTAACCTTATGTTGGAAATAGTACCGTTGGTTTATAGTTGACTTAAATTGCTTTCCATGGTTTTGACCTATTTCAGCTAAAGCCCTAAAAGCGAGATCTCCTCTGAATAAAAATCTAACGGCAGAAGAATTAGCAAAGATGATTGTTCATCTAGCGTCTGATGATGCGTCCATGATGAATGGACATTGCTTAGCACACGATGGAGGGGTCAGTCTGACGTGTTGAGGGTGAATGTTTCATGGCCTGGTAAATGTGCAACACATACATTTCATTCTAGTATCATAAAATTAAGAAATTCTAATCAATTTTGTAAACATGACTCTTTAATCATCATTAGAATAATCCCATATAAAAATACTATTTGTACTATTTGATTCTGAAAAATAAATTACATAACACACTTTGTTGAATGGATTATGTTGTTTACAAAATGAAATGTTGAAACTTGTGGATTACCACAACCTCTCAAAAGCAGCAGGGCCTGGAGATCAACTTAATACAATTCCCAGATCTCTGTCTTACCTATGCCCATTCTCAAGAGCTAGCCCATAGACCCTCTCTATTTAGACAGTGTTTAAATCCGAGAGTAAATAAATGGTTAAATGTTCTTAGTGTTAAGAACGGTGACCTAATGCAATCACTAATCAAAACTATCACTAGCCTCAGCCCCCCCCCCTTCCCCAATAATCATCCAATGGAATAATATTTGGTGCACAACCTTGATCTCTCATCTCCAAACCGACAAATAAGATATCGCTTAGGATTCTTAAAATATCTGGAGATGGCCATCAGAGACCGATATGAGCTAACATTCCTGGGAATGTCACACAACTATGGGAAGTTAATAAATGCTTAATTTGCCTATTGATACCAAGAAAAAATTGGCTATTAATGTCAAAAATGACACAGCCAAGGATAATATTGCTTAAATAAAAAAAATAAAATAAAAAATTCTTAAAACACAAGTAAGATACCTTTGATTGAGAGCTGCTGTATAGAGGCTGAGATTGTCGAGTTGGCATAGTGACTCGAGATGTAGGTTGCTCAGCAGCGGCTCGGATTTCTTCAACATTGCTACAAAATGTTTAATTCAATATATAGTTCATCTATACGAAGAAGATGAAGGGAAAGCAATACAATCCATAAAAATGTTGGAGACTATAACAATACATGTATGTCACCACTTTCGGTGGTAACATTATTAGTCTTACCTATGTCGGGAACCCCCGTTGCCAGTATATAGTTCTTTTTTGGTTCACTCCCCATCACACCTCCAGAACCTAAAAAACATCGTTTTTGTAGTAGATTTCGGTTGGAAATCTGTTTCCTCATTTAAACCCATGGCCATTTAATTTCTCGTTCGATTTTCTCCATAATCATATGGGTGCAGATGATATAACTATAAAGTAGAATCTATGGATAGGCGAACAAAAACAAACTTACCCAAGCTGATGATGAACACGGCTGTCAAACATGGAAACAAATCATTCGTCATCTTTGTGTGACTTTTCCACTATATTGTCAAACCCAAGAATTTGCTTGTCATCGACATAAAGTAATTATGAGTACTTTATGTATTAAATATTTTACGATTCCCTAAGGTCTTTTTAGAGTTAACTTGAAGCCTATAATTCATCTATGATAATTAATTTAAAGTATGCCCACAGCAGATATTTGCTATACTATATTACAATGTGCCATTTAGAAAGTTTGATTGATATTTGAAAATATTCGTAATTTTAGAGTACCCTAGAATTTAAAGAATTCGGAAACGATTTTCAAAATTTAATTTCCTAATTATTAGCCTAATCAATAGGCACAGGACAGGTGTCGCTCAGTTTCAATCAATATGACGACATCTCAATGGATTCAAAATCAAATGAAACTATTGTATATTTGTAATTTATTTAGAATTACACTCCTAGGACGTGAGACATTAATGAACACACTCAGTGGTTTGGGGGAGGGGGTCGCTCAGGAAAAAATATTTCCAGACTTTTAATTAGGGCCCCTCCCCATGTTAGTTTCCAGATTCACCCTTGATACAGTAACATTGTGTATTGTTTTGCTTACATTTTATTTTTGTCATATCAACGTATAATGTCAAATATTACAATATTTATAACATACATGTGACTAGTACGTACCCGGGTATACTTTAATTAAATTGGAATGTTCATTTCAGTCATTTCTTACAATGTTGTCATTTAATTCAGCCAGACTTACATAAAGTATATATAGTAATATACTATGTAGTAATAATTGTGTAGTTATGTACATTTGTAATACTGCTAAAAGATAAGCAAATGCATATTTACAATTGACTAATATGGCATTGGGTAGCACGCTAACATTCATTACAAAAACAGTATGTCCTTAAACAACATCTTTGGTGGTTGCTAAGCGACAACAAAATTAATATGAGAAAACATTGAACAATATTTACAGTTCTGGCCAAGGTTAAAAAAATGTTACCTTCCTGCGACATCTAAATTTGCTACAGATACAGATTTTTTCAAAATTTCTTGGGGTCAACGTTCACACTATTTTTGTCCCATAAAAATAGTGTTGGCGTTCGGCTTTTTCAAGTAGAACGTTCCTCGAGCAGTGACGCGCCCTGAAAGAGCCAGCAGACCTCAAAAGACTTTAAAATATGTGATTATGACTGTTCACAGCTCATGATATTTTTGATATTTCCCATTTGCCTCTTCGAAATATATTTCAAGCTTCCACTGGCAAATAATTTAACCTGTTTTCGATGGAAGTATTGTTCATTGACTGACTGAAAGATGGCAGTGTAATCGGAATAATATAAATACATCAAACATCCCTGCCACCTGTCTTTCAACACAAAAACTTTCCATCGACTCAATATTCATGTAAGCAGTATGTATGATCTTAATAAAATGATGCATTTCCATAAAAACATAATATGTTTTACCATGAGCCATGTCCCCCGTAGATGTGTTATTTTACATGTTTCAATTTTATTCTTTTTCTCAAGAAAATTATCACTTTTTGTATGTCCATTTGGAGGGTAACTTTTGACATTGTTCTATTTACATTGTTCCTTCTACTTTGCCACCATGGCATTTCTTTCACAGATGGAAGAACTAATACTCTCCTCTAAAAGTTTGGCAACACCAACTCCCTTGTTGCATGCACCACTGCCTGTTAACGTTTTGTGAATGTTAAGAATTTTATCGAAGTTCTTGTCCGATAAAAACATTGGAAATGAACAATAACAGTTTAGGGTGTTATCAAATGGGGGGAAATCAGGCTTACCAAACTTGTGGAAGGGAGCGTAAATGGCACATTTTACTAATTTTGTTTGTAGTTTGAGTGTAGTTTACATCAATTCAGCCTCTTCTCACAGTGCCCGTTCAGCCTCTGTAGCTATTTAAAAGGCTTGGGGGACAGAACTAGTGGCTTGGTATTACTAATCTGCTAATGGCTGTTGTGTGGCTCAGTTTCTCTAAAATATAGTGTGATTCAATTACCAGTTAAAATGGTACACTTGTGACAACTGAAATCGTATGTATCCAATGATGTATTTGAGAAACCGACAGCTGAAGGGCCCTTTTAGGACTTGAACGAGGAGAAGATTGAACGACCAGACAGTGCCTGTGGTGCCCGGTAGTTATTCTGCATGAACCCCTCGTCTTTACCATATGTCAACAGAGATCTAAACTGGCGAATCTGAAAAAAATGAAGACATCCCATAAGTACAAAATATAGAGAAACCGGACATGGGATTAACATGCAAAATGTCACCACTTGCCATTCGTTATAGACGCCGAACGCCGAACACCTACTGTCGTACACCGTTCACAAAAAGTTGGAGTCCAAGTGTTTCTCTCACAATCCCCATTCATTTTCCATAAAAGAATTGGAGCCAAATAAGACAATTGCAGGCGATACAGAAATGTCAAACTTCATTAGAATCGAAAATAGGGACGTCCCCTTCTAATAAGTGACATCGTCATCAACACAAGATCCACTTCTTACCTTTTCGAAATAAGACACCAGAAATAAAAAAGAACGAAAATAGACCTATTAGCAAAGGTCACCTAAAACCAAAAAGCCTTTGTTCCAAGCTGTACCAAAGGGAGGATTTTTCCATACTAGATGAGAGAGTATATTGATCACGAACCTGTTCTTCTCCAATATCAATAGGTTCCTTAAGGACTATCCACGTGACTGTTTCATTGTAGGGCGGGGTGGTCAACGAGCCGGAGTAGGTCCAGTACTTGGTGGTATCGGCTGAAACAAGAGTCACAACGTTCATGACTTCAATTCAATGACAATATGTCTACTGTAGCAATGCTTCGTAAAAAATTCTTATCAATATACAATGACAATACTTCTTAAACAAGGCATTAACACTGATGCAAAATGTCACCACCTGCCATTTGTTATAGAGACACAGATCGCCGAACACTAACCGTAACACTAAATTGTTATCATTGTAATCCATATCCAATGATTTTTTTCTTCCATCATGATAAAACATGAGCCGAAACCAAAAACAAATAAAAACAACTCCAACCAAACAATAAAAAGCACTGTCACAAAAATATTGTTCTAAGCGTATCAAAATATTCACAAAATTCAGCAAGAGGACTACTGTATGTATCGCTTTACTCACATGGAAGAAGACACATCGGGTTGAATCCCTCATCAAGGTTCTGTGTGTCACCCTTATAGTGGATATCTCCTAGTTTATCCATCAGTTTCTGAAGTCCTGAGTGGCTTCTATCAACCTTAAGGAACACAGCTATCACACAAAGCCCAGCCTCAAACTCTACCGCCTCTGAGAAGTCACCATAGATGTCTCTGTTCCAGTGAACTAGATGCAACTGAAAATGGATATAGACTCACATGACTGCATTTTACATTTGCCTTTGTAAATTTTAGGGGTAATTCACTGCGACGTCGCAGAAAATTCTACCGCTCGCAGTCGCACGAGATTGATGAATAGGACGTAATCGCTAAAAAGGGCCCTTGTGACATCGCAGGCTTGCGATGTGCTTGCGATAGCTTGATGAATGACCCCTTAGGAGCTCATTGCTGAAATAATAATTCTATCCATAGCTATAAACATTACTGACCCCATGACCTTACACGTTATAAGAACGTTTTCCAATATACTGAACTTATGTTGTCATGCATACCTCGGCAGCGTATTCCTTCCCATCAACAGTGTGTTCTGAACCACATTCATTCTTGGAGCCCCAGTGGAAATGGAATTGTTCTAGCTGATATTTGCTTGAGAGTGGTCCCCCTTCTATATCTACAATGATAAGATCGGTGAACGAAAATTGAGGTGAAAATTGAGGTTAGGAGGTATCCCATCGGCCATTGGCGAGATTATATGGATTTGGGCATTAGCTATTGGTAACCATGGCAAAATACGCTTGACCAATCAGGATTTATTGTTCATTTCAAATAATTGAAACTCGTTCATTTTTAGGCAACTATTTCAATTTCTAAATTATTATCCTGTACTTACAACAATTTGGAGGCGTTGGGTCTACTTTAATTTGGAAGGAATGACCCGTGTTGATGATTTCCTTGGCTCGTTCAGAGACGTAAACAATGTCTAGTGGTCTGGTTGGTAGGGTTTCCTCAAAAACAGCTTCTGTTGTTACTATATTCACTGGAGACTGGTTTTGGCCTGGAAACATATTTTCCTTTTTATTTTCGTTATTATATAGTTACTGTATTGTAATTGCATGGAACATTTGTATAAAAGTTGAGGTCTTCTATCAAAATATTCTGATGGGTCACACACATCACTGCATTAAACCATATGGGTATAAATATGAGACCCTTTAAACAGCCACATGATCAAAATTGACCAATCATATTCTGATTTGTATAAAGCTACCTCCACCAGCGTCTTCTTGGAAAACATCCCCCTGTACAATGTCCATATCTGAAGCGTCTTTGGGTTCTTTGGGTGGTTCTTTGGAGAGTAGGGGTTTAGCTGATTCATCGGCCACGTGGTTGCTTGATTTGGGTTCCATCTCAATGTAAACGTTGTTGCTTTTCGATGGGGCCTCTGTGTCCCCTGGCTGGAAAAACACGAATAGTGATACAGGTTATAACTTAAACTATGGTCTATCAGGAAACGATCTCTCATTTCCAAGACGTAAGTTGGAAAAGGAGTATAGGCTAACTATACGCAAGGTATAATGTATTCACTTGTGAGCTACAGATAAAATGGGTCTTGAGAAAAAATAATATTTTGTTCTGGCTTGGCTTATCACAGTTGAATATCTGTCTTGCATTTTGTAAAGTTGCTATAGAGCTTTCAAAATGGGACAGCATCTTTTCCATTCAATCGAGTTTGGGCCATGCAGCCGAAGGTAAGCCATACAACCGAAGGTAAGCCATACAACCGAATTTTGCCGATTCAATCTGACGGAGAATGCCGAGCCTATCTTTTTGACCAATTAGAGATTAGAGAATGTTCACATTCGTGGTACCCTCGACCAACTTTGTTTGCAAAGAAAATCTTCGGCAATCTCCGGCTTTTCTTGAAGTATCTTCGGTCCTTTCAAAATGAGACACACGTCACACATACACCAATGCACAAAAACAGGGTCTCCATAAAGTACCTTACAACTGAGACTAATATACTCTAAATGTTAGTCTCAGCTTACAATTACAATACAAAGTCTCTAACCCTGTAACCCTTGTTATGGACACCCTGTATATTGCTTACCGCTTGCCCATTAATGAGGCCTCTCTTTACAGCATACTTCTTAATGAGGAAGCCGACTGCAAAGAAAACAATGGCGCACACCACAGCTGTTATGATCAACGCAAATACTGGCACTTTGCCGGAATCATCCCCCGATCCACCATCCTTCGCCTCCTAAAGAACAGGATATACATAGCAACAACGCACATGTATATATATTGTGCGTTTCTGCCTATTTTCAGCATTATCCATAATGGCAAAGTTTACCTATTTTCAACATAATCATAAACATATTCAAGCCTCTTCGACATGATAATGGAAACGCGCATGTTTAATTTCATTATAATTATCAAAACGTGCATGGCTATTTTCAACATAATCATGAAAACGTGAATAATGGGAACGTTCATCCCTATCATCAACATAGTCATGAAAACGGGTATTATCTATAAACGGGTATTATTATATTATTATCATATTAACAACTTTAATGAATACTTCAACATAACCATGGAAATGTGCACCCCTATTTCCAACATAATCTTCAAAACGTACATATCTATTTTCAACATAATCAAACACAACGTACCTGTACATGCCTATATTCAATATTATCATGAACAAGCATAGGACTAACTAACATGTGATCTAAATCTAAATTACTATATACATTTTAATTATCATCAAAAATAGATAGTGCTAAGAGCAACAAAAGAGAATCAGTTATCATATCTCTCTAACATTATGTTAGGAGTTTAATTGTACTGGATTTGCACCAAATTCTTCATACTCGACTCACTGTTATCAATTCAATGTTAAAGATCAACTGCAAATGTGTAACACTTCAAGAGTTAATACTGATTGATGATTCCATGTGCTAAATATAAAGTATATGTTTGTCTTATTTTGAAATTTAGATTTAAAACTTTAAGCTCATGTACAAAAGTACAGGTTTGCTCAATGCTACACTACAAATGGTTTTGAATTGTTGGCCTATTATGTATATTTATGAAGCTGTAGTGTTCTGGGTACATGCGCTCTTAGGTAGGCAAAAGTAAAAGGAACAAAATATATTTATCCCACGATTATTGTATTATCTGTAAAATAACTGTACATCAACAGCCAGTGATATTTCTGATATTGGAGATCCATGTGATATTTTTCACAAAGTCGTTTGTCATCCTCGTATACGGCTGATATAGTTTACCAGGCGCATGATATGTGTTTGATATAAAAAGATTTTTTCGATTTTTGATTGCGATCTTGGGATAAACCAAAAATCATATCATTTCTTATGATATCATTTTATTGCCTTAGTAGATCAAATATCAACACTCATTCACTTCACTCACTCGTGTTGTTATTAATTTTGATATAAACTAGTTGATAAAAATGATCACTCAAAATGATCTGATATTCAATATTTATATCGATATAGTCCTGTGTTACTGCCATCTAATGTTCTTAGAATATACAATGTTTTACAAGATCAAAATGTCAAGAGACACATTAGATTTATCATTGCTCAATGACATTTCACGTGGGTATGCAATATCATTTAATACAATGGGCAAAGGTTGAGGGTAACATGCTGAAATCGTGAATCAAATCTTGTGTTTTTCAACCTTTCTCCAACTCGACTGCAGATATACACGCTAATGGATGTATTCAAAGCCCAGAATCGGAGTTTCTCGCTAATATGCCCACTAGGCGTTTATTGACTTCGCATGGGCGTTTATTTAAAAGTCTTCGAAATCAACGCCCATGGGGCTTTATAAAAAGGAAAATCACTTACAGCAATCATCGGTTCCACCTCATCAGCAACTACTGGCCCGCCTTGAAAAGGTTCAATCTCATCTGGAATGCAATAACTCATTACATATGAATCGCAGTTCGATAATCGAGAAGAATTCCTTATATACGTAGTCTTTAACAGTCATACATTCATCTTCACTTTTCATACGCGTGTATGTAGACCAAGGCGCAAATTGTTCATGATCGATTTTAATCCATTCACGTCTTAATGTCTTTCTTCTATAAAGTTTATTTTCCAGTTAGGGGACAACGAGATCAATAATCAAATAAAGAGACAAGACGTGTTTTAACTGAGAATTAAATAAACAAACTAACTTACCGCCATCGATAGGTACAACAAGAACACCAGACCCATCATCCGTCGTTTCTTCAGTTTCAACGTCATTACCCCCTTCAGCAGCCGCCACTCCGGGTTCAGTTGTATCATCATGAACCTCCAATAATAAATCTTCGTTCTTATCATCCGGTTTTTCAGCAAACTTAATTTCCGATTCCGGTTCAGGGTATCCGGAGCCTTCTTCGACTGGAACAATTATAACATTATCCGTGTCAGTGTCAGTGGCAGTTTCATTGAAATTGTCATCCACTACTTCAACCTCAACGTCGTTATCATCATCCGTATCAGCTGTATCTGCACCTGGGTCATCATTGATATCATCTGAGATTTCTTCATTTGGTTCCTCATCTGATTCCCAATCTTCTTCAATTTCCTCATCCTCATTTTCAAGTGGTACTTCAGTAATCAAATCTTCTTCAGTTAAATCAACTGCTCCATTGATGCCACCTTTGTCATCATCTCCTTGGATCTGTTTAGCCTCATTCTTACATTTACTTAAAAAATCCTCATTCCCATGTCCACCGCCATCTTTACATGAAGCACATAAGGTGTCTGATTTGGACGAACATGGTTTCTTTGAGAATTCATCTTCTTTACACTCCGAACAACGAAAGCAAGGCCCTTCCTTAATATAGCTATCCTGATAGTAGCCAAAGTCACATGGTGAGCATACGGTGTCTAAGCTCTCTGTACATTTACTGGTCACCTCATAGCCAGGGGAGCAAGTACTGCACAGGTGTGCTTCTTTTGATTCATAATCATAATAATCTTGACCATAGCAGACTCCGACCTGCAAAAAAATAGGGTTCATCATCAAATCAAATAGGGTTGATATATTTATGGCTCATCGTGCTCTTAACAAAATCTATGGAGGAGAAGTTCGGGCCTCATTGTGGATTGTGGTATGACAACATTTGGGGGGAAACGTGTCAATTCATGTACAGTAGTACCATGTTATGAAGAAACACGAAAACCTGGTGGAATTAGAGCATTTTCTGCATATTTAGCCTAATATAAAAGTGAGAATAGCTTCATTCCTAAAAGTTAAAGTCTTAATAAAAAGCATACTATATCTAGTATTTCTTCTCCATGCTCAATAAACAAAAACACAGATCCGATGTTCATAGATGTTTATTTTGTCTTATCCAATTATGGTCCCTCAATGGACTTATAATACAATAGATTTACCGAATTTACCTACTATTTTATAATAAACGCATAATATATGAACAGTACCTGCCACTATTGCATTCATATTTCAATGAGTTGATCGTAAAATAGTAGGTTAATCCGGTAGCCGACAGCCAAAGGTTGCATTCGCGAATACAAGCTTAATCAGCCCAGGACAATCAGGCCATATTATAGAGAGCGGACAACAATCACCAAGAATGATCATATCTATCACATACTTTGTTCATGTTTCTAATGGGAGAGATTGTTACCAATACCAGCAGACTCAGATAATAGAGACGCATATACCCGGGAGAAACAGTATCTAATATCGGTCCCTGACCTCGTTACGTGATGAGAAGAGACATATGCACTTGTACAAAAATACTAGATATCTGACTTTAAAAAGTTTAAATAACAATCGATTCTCAATTAATCAGCTACAAAACACTTGAAAGTTTGATAATGGTCACAACGGCTTGATACCTACACCCCTAAATAAGTTTGTCAATCGGATGTCCACTTTTGGATTACTAATCAGTGTTAATGTTAGGCAATTTGAAAAAATAATCAAAATCATCAAACTTCATCTTGCAATGATCTACTTATTATAATCAAGATTCAAATAATGACAGGCGTTGATATGCTACCAAACGAAAATGGCCGCTTGCCAAATTATGGAGGGGAGTGTATCTTTAAATAAGGTACTTGACGACAATATGTGGTGAATATACAACGTTCACCCTTTCCTGTTGCTTGCGAACTACAAGTCTAGTACATGCGACATTATCTAATAAACAAGGCTACTGGGGTGCTCTCGATGACTCTTTTAGCGTTGGCAGTTTGACTTTGCATTTTAAAGAAATAAGAAGTTGGAGATAAATTTCAAAAGGATTGGTATCGATATGGTGAATTGAATTCAACAATGTTTTTCTCCTAAACCAATTATTGAAAACATTCTGTAGAAAAACGGTCCTTTATGTAATGTTGACTGATTGACAACTACGAAAAAGAAGATGTGGAGCATTTTTACTTAAATGCCCTTCAAATGAATATGTCATATTCAGAGAACAACTTAATACTCATTGTTATGAATGGGATATCCAAATGAATGTTAAAAACCTCCTTGGCATTGGTACGGAAGAATGGCTTTTTACAAACGAACAAACACTTGAGTGTCTAAAAGATATTGCATGTATAGTCATGCAACAATATACGTGCCGTCAGCGATATCTAACAAACTTATACACTTAATGTAACTTCATTCAGTGGAGGAGGGTGGCCCTCAAGGGAGGTACATGGGCCGACCAGGGGACTATCCTCTCTCTCTGAAATATAATTAATATCTAACTATTATGGATGAACAGTACCAACCTTGGGGAAGGTACAGAGTGTAATGTGTAACTTTTCTTTTTTTCTTATTCTAACTGGTAGTGCCAACCTTGGGGAAGGTACTCTTTAAGTATAAAGCAGAATTATTAATTCCTCTGGAATTGTATGAAGTTGTCTGATATAGTAGAAAGATAAAAGCCCGATGTTGGTTCCTCTGCAGATTCAGAAATGCAGGATATAGCAATACCCCTAACCCAACTCAGTAAAAGCAACGATACTATATTATTGTCATTTGATGGTATACAATTGTTGACCTCTCCAGAGGTCAACCGGCAAAATTGTATACCGAGACTGTAAACCGAGAAGCTACTGTTGACAGAGACCGAAGGTCGAGGTCAACAGTGTTTCAAGGTTTACAGTCGAGGTATATGATTTTGACGGTTAACCGAATGGAGAGGTCTACAATTGTTTTGTTAGTCAGAAGAAACTAATAATACTCATATATACGACAGTCATCAATCATGGCTTCATTTCAAAATCTTTTCTATGAACCACGCCAGCAATAATTTTAAAGAAAATCTGAAGACAGTGGAAGCTAAACTCTCTGTTTTCGGCACATAACTGCGTACTCACCAGAAAATTAATGTTAATTTTGCGTTTCTATTTGTATTGTTGCTATAAAATCGTCGTGTAGAAAAGTTAAAATATCACTTTCATCAACGTGTACCAAGGAGGATTGGAAGCCAGGGTTCCAACTCGATATTCTTTAATCTCCACGCATGCGTCATTTGCTATTCGTGTCTGTATAATTTGTACGACTGCATGGAGAATGACCCGATACTCTCCAACAAAGCTATCGCTAGGTGATTGTTTTGCAGAATATCGGTGTTGCATTCTGGGAGCCAATCCTCCTGAGGATTGGAAGCCAGGGTTCCAACTCGATATTCTTTAATCTCCACGCATGCGTCATTTGCTATTCGTGTCTGTATAATTTGTACGACTGCATGGAGAATGACCCGATACTCTCCAACAAAGCTATCGCTAGGTGATTGTTTTGCAGAATATCGGTGTTGCATTCTGGGAGCCAATCCTCCCGTGTACAAAATGTCCGACTACCATGTTTTTTCTGTAAACATTGTGACGTCATATTTCCCATAATTCACAAGTGTAGTACAGTAACATACGCGGTCAATAATATGATATCCCATGATGCACAAGTGAGGTACAGGCAAAAATGTTGACCGCTAATTGACCAATCAGATGCGAGTATTTACACTGAGGTACTAACAATACCTTTTATTGACTGATGCTCATATTATTATATGTGTATGATATACGTAAACGATCATTCTGAGTGTACCGACCTTGGGGAAGGTACATGTACAATAATAAGCAATGCCTTCTGGTTCATTTTGTTGATTGGTAGTTGCAACGTCAACGCGGCAGCCTGACGTTTTTGCAACAAACAATTATATCTCGAAAAGCAGCCTATACATTTTAGTGTAACTCACATGCTTGTATTTATATTTATGTCCATTTACTGTACACATTAATTTAGAATTGCACCATATGGCAACACCACCATTTTGTTTTTAAATTTACAATTGTATATCTTTTACTAGCTTACAAGATAGTCAAAGCATCTCAAACTTTCATACAGTACTGCAGTGCCGACCTTGGGGAAGGTACGATGATACGCTATGTCTTCTTTTAAATTTTATAGAAAATGCAGTTCCATAATGTCATTGTTTTGTTAATCTCAAGAGTGTTATGTAACAGGTCTTCTAGGCCTGCGGCGTGCGTCTACGCGGTAGCTAGGCGTCGTCGCCAGTCCAAAACAACAACAAAACAATGAGTGTTTGTAAAATATAGTGACTTTTTATAATTGCGTTACAATTAGGTACTAGGCCAATCTTGGTCGGCGGCGTGCGTTTACGCGGTAGCTAGGCGTCGTCGTCAGTAAAAAAATAGTTTGTTTGTAAATAGTGATTATTTTCAATTTAACATTTACACAATTTGTATACATGTATCTCCTTTATATAAAGGGCAATAAATATATACAATTTAATGCAATTAGTTTCTTGAAACATAGGATAATTTCCTATGCTAAATAAAATGATATTTTTCGGAAGCTTGTTGGAAAAAATAGCATATTCAACATTTTCTTAGACCTCTCAACTCAATATTATAGTTATACAAAGGAAATTTTGGTTGAATTATTTCAAATTATATTGTTACCATTCAAAAGATGACCATTAAATTGACAATGTGTAAAATTTTCAGATATTTTGATGACTGGTTTAAGAGAAACGTGTGTTCAAAAAGTTCGCAATATCGATACCCATCCTTTGTATCCTTAACGATCCAAATACATGTTAGGTATTTGATACAGTTTTCATTATATTAACTGAATATATGAAAATATTTTACTTGCATTAAATGTCCCTCAAAATTGGAAATTGTGAATGGCTTTGAATTATTGTCAATGTATTCACCTGTAGTGTTGTATCATATTCTTGATATTACTGCAGACTCTTGGATACTTTTGAAAACACAGTCTACTGGGTAATCGTGGTTTACGAACTTTATTATGGAAGTGTACACACTCGTCAATTTACATATGGGAAACATTATGGAGGTGGCTCAGACAGTACTACTATGTATGTTAGATATTTTCGAATACTAGAATGGTATCACAATGTGGAATACTAATCAATTGTTTCCTCACTTTATAAGCGTTGCCCTATCCAAAATACACGGAAATTAAAAACAATTTATAACCGTAGATATTTAATGATAATTTAGGAATATGCCCAATGCGATTGCATAATGACCAACTCATAAGTGTGTGAGGTAATAAGGTTTAGATATTCGAATATGTGCGACTTGACTTAGTCATTTAACATCTTATCTTTATTAATTGATAGATATGTTAATAATTTTACAAGCAATTACCAACAAAAACATCTACTTCGGCGTTACTTCCATTTTTAACGTCTTTTAATTTAGTGCTCTGATTGTTGTCATGGAGACAGAGAGTACTTAGTACTTTGCAATGATATCGCCATATTTACTTATTTTTGTCTACAACTTATAACATGAATGTCACATTAACTTAGAAATCATAAATGAATCATGTAATTAATTTTTTTATACTAGTGTACAGGTCATAGTCTTATATTCAAGGTGCCCTAGATATGATAGGGTATAATATCTAAAACATGGACATTTTTAGTATCCATCTGCAAAGACGTAATTCTGTATATGTACAGGCCCGTGGGCAGATTTTGCCAAGGAGGTTATAGTTTTTAAAAAGATTCAAGGGGTTCAATTTTGGGACAAAATCACTTGAAAAGGGCTCAAAATGATGAAAAACTAAGGGGTATGACTATCACTCTAACTATAGGCCTGTGTGTGGGTGGGTTGATGTGTGGGTGAGTATATTTAGAATTGGTTTGTGAACGTAAATATGACAAATAGAGCCATCTATCGCTTCCCATTTTTGAACAGCATAGAACAAGATTTGGAGATATTTAATAGTTCAGGTTTTGTTTCTATCTTATTAGTTGGTTTGCCTTATTAGTCGACTTTCTCCTATGGGCAGAGGTTTTGGGGCTATGCTATTTAGGCCAGGCATTGTCTGGGAGAAATAAAAACATCCCACTTTGATTTAAGAAGTCGAGGAGCCTCCAAGTGGCATCCCCCTAAGCAGGTGTCCAGAATCCGTATCTCTGAGAAAGAGAAAGAAGATATCCTGGATCTTGAAGACATGTGAACGGTCGGAGGATGCCACGTAGACAAATTATCAAATTGGATTCCTCATAAACTAAACCTGGCTTTGAGAATGATTGATATGACTGCCCAAATGACACTATTATTGCCAACCAGGTTAAACAGAGTGTAACTGATAACTGGTCTTTTTAGGTGATAATTCCGATGACATAATGTTAATAGTGCAACTGCTTTGACAAATCATGTTCCCTACATTTATTTCTTGACCTCTCGAACTTGACCTATTTTGTAAATGTGGGTCAGTTAAGAACCAATTAAAATCAAGTCACTGTTACTCTCTTCACTGGCTGATCCGGGGGGGTGCATGGGACCCGTCCCTTCCCTTGGGTGGGCCCAAATAAACTTTGGGGCCAAAAAAATTGTATGGCCTCAATTAGTGGGCCTTTTGAGCATTACTTGGCCCTTTTGGCCAAATTATAAAGATGGGCCTTGAATTTTCAAAATTTGGGCCCAATTTTTAGATTTGCCCTCCCATTGTCAGTTTCTGGATCCGCCAGAGCTCAAAAGGTGGTATAATACATGATTTATCCTATAAAAATCCATGTGGTATGAGGTTTAATAAATATATAAATTATCATTTCATGACAACTTGCGTGCTAATACACGGTAACTTCAACCTGGCACATGGATTATACACACTATGTATTTTTCATATCATAAGATCATATCAAAATCCATCCTATCTCCTCAGAAACGTCATGTTTTACATGTACAGTTTATGTTACATTTATTTTCGAATACTAATTTGGAGGAAGGTGAGTAGGAAGGAGACAGCGGGTTCATGCAATAGTAAGGCCTTTCCAATGAAAACACACGAGTGGAAAGAGCCATCGATATTATTCTATTCTGACTGTGCAACTTTCTCTACATTTGTTTTTCGGAATATACAAGGGTACTAGCCAGATCTCAAAATACCCATGAGCATTTGAGGATACACCTGAGCTGAACATACCGCCGAATTCGCTAATACATATATAGACCCGTGCCTTATTCATGATATCGCCACGCTAGCTCACGGTATCACGAGGTCTGGTTAGTACCCGTGATATATAGAGTCTTATCCATACTATGACCAGGCTACTAGATTTACTTAATATACAAAGAATAATTGAATGGGTCTGATTTTAAAGTAATCAATAGAATATTCATTCAGATTATTTATTTAGACATCGCTAGTGTCCGTTAAAATGACCTTAAAGTAACACCAGATTTTTAAAAATAGTTACAAGTTACAAGGCTTTTATCAAGCTAGACACCATTAGCCGAAGATATGGGGTTATCTCGACATAGACCTACTATATTAGGTTGACACTGATCTTCCATAACCTAGATGGCCACCTTTTCAATTGAATATGTATGTCAAGCCTGGTACTTTGTCTGTAAAAGAAAATATAGTCCACCGGGGATTTTGGTCCTACTGTAGTCCTTCTCTATACACATTTCATTAAATGATGACAGATGCTATTAGCCAGAATATAGGCCATATGTGGGTAGAACCCAGGAACAAATACCATTTTTACCAACCATTATGAAAAAGAAACAAAATAAATAATGTAACTGGTGGTCTACTTTTATAATGTTTTGTACGTATATGGTCCAGAGAAATATGTTATTCTTAAGCTTCTCAGTTATTTCAAAAAATATTATGGTGCAGGGTCTAAAGGGTAGAAGTAACAAGATCAGTTTGTCCGCCCCTAATGTGACTTTACCCCTCTAATCATATCAATTTTCCCCAAAATTGAGACTAGGCAATCTCTTGAAAGCCCATGTACATTTATATACCTAGTCTAAAATATGATTTAGCTTAATGTTTCAGTCATAAAAATGCATGCATATGTGATCATCCTCCTTGAAGTTGATGAGGACACTAAAAAGATGAATTCACCATTGAAAATTATAAATTAAGAAAAGTGTTTACTTACTGCAACGATGAGACATATCAAGTTTTTGTAATCCATCCTGAAATAATTAATTTTTTCTTGTTGATTAATTGCAGCAATTTCGCTCAAAAAATATCACTTTGCATTTTACTTATCAGAGTTTCATTTCAAACTGGTCGATTGAAATATGGCCACTTGGATTACAACACTTCAATTTCTATTTCTGTCAATTAAACCTTTTTTTAACAATTATCCTCCATTAAATTAAGATTTATAGCCCCAACGCTCCTAATTGTTAAAATTAAACTTTTTATCTCATAAGAATAGTTTTAAAGTATCTAGCACTTCAAATTAGAATATTAAGTACCGTATACCCTTTCGTAAAATCATATGGGGTAAAGTACACCAAAACCATTCTTGGACCTCGCTTTATCTTGACTTCTAATGAGAGGCCAGACAGTGATAACTGATCAAATAATTTGTTTTGTCCGACTTATGTCATCTAATTTAAGTTAGTTATTCTAGATTTTTAGACGATAGGACCAAACTTTATTTTAAGGTCTCTTGATTGAACTTTGAAAAACTTTGAAAAGTTTTTATTTTTGTATCTACTGTACCTGTAATGTAATGTCAATATAAGTTATTGTCTGTGTTTATCATGGGTTAATGAAGATACATGTACTTGCATTTGATTGCGAAATTACAAACAATGAAATCCATTTGAAAAGTTTGTAAGTCATTTGGGGTCTCTGATGTTGCTCTTTGTGTTTTACATTTTGAAGCAGCTGCTTAAAGCCTCAATCATTTGCACTACGGCGGCCGTAGCTTAAAAAGTCGATAAAGAAAATCTACATTGTACTGCCTATATTTCATGCTGCACATTTTACTCGATGTTGGGAAGGTACGGCCGCGGTACGGTTGTCGTAGATCAAATATTGGTTTTAAAGGAAAGGAATACCCAATATTTTAAATTTTACTGCACCATATGAACACGGCTTGGTAAAGTTTACACCCATTTTGATACTACATTTCGGCATGTGGTCGTTCAAATTTTACAGTTTGCATAGTTATTTGTTCATCAATTATATCAATGTTCAGTGTTTTTTATATGAAAATTGTGAAAATTCCAGAATACCATACGGAGGAGAACATACATGTAAGCATCAAGAGATAGAGTTATGCCTCAGCCTAACTAGATAATCTACGGTCATCTCAAGGTCGTCGTAGGGCGTATCCTAGTTTTGTTACAGGTCGTATGGGTGCCGTGGAAATTATAACAGGGAGTAAGTTATCATTTTTTTATTTCTACGGTCGTATCGTCAGTAAAATCAGTTGTCAATGGGCTGTTTTACTAACACCAATTCAGAAAATAGTTGGATACAATACTCCTATAAACAAAAATCAGTTACTCCAAGACGTGCACTCATCATTCATCACTGACATTCTCCCAAAAAAATAAGCATGACATTTTAGTCTCTATATATGAATTTCTTTCACGAGAATAAGAAATATTCAGCAACATTTCAAATTGTTTATTACTCAACTATTCCTCTCTTGGGAGATTTTAAAACTGGTGTGAAAGAAATTTTTGGTTCTACTCAACCATGGTTTGCCTACTTCACATTGATAATGCAGTGGCCAATTCCCGGGGACCAATTTACATCTCTTCTTCATTAATTTGGCTTTTTGTAAAAAGTATATCGTAACAATACAAACTAGGGCAATTATTCTCCTTTAGATTGATACAAAGACTTGGTAATGGCTCTGAATACTAATTTGGTTCCAAGATAAAAGAAACTGTACATGTAGATAACTGCAACTTTTGCAAGCATTGCTATTCAGCAGTGTTTTGACTGTAACATAACAAAAATGAAACAAATATTTATTTATGGGTTAACTTTGTCTTTTATTGAAAAATATCAGTGTTATTGCTTTATTAAATAAATTACAAAACACATTTATTGCATTTGTGTATCTGTAGAAAACTTTTTTATCAAAATAAATGTAACTCATTTCACAACCATGGAATATAATGCACATCCTTAATGAAAATAGTTACTTATTTAGTGTACTTTGAAATATTTCTCAAACTATGTATTTTTCAAATGCATGGAAATGCAAGCTTAAATACTGTGATTAGAACTGATGTAAGAATATCACTCCACCCAAATGCATGGAACACTATATAAACATTCTCCAACCACTTGCATTTTTGTACACATATGAAAAATGCATATGTACATGTATTAGATTGTATAAAAATAAAGTACTATATTACTATAAATTTCTACTACTACAGTAAAACATCAACATGGGACAATATTTTATCTATCAAAACAGTGATAGCAAAGCATTATAAGCAATGTTGTACGTATAAACAAGCATTATGGCACAACTACACTCAGTGAAAGTAAACACATAAGTGAGGATTGGATTAAGAAAATGGATTGGATTCATGCATTGTGGATCGGATCAAGTACTTACAAAATATGGAATGTTCCATTTTCTACAAAATTGTTTACATGTGTTGTATTCCAACCCATTTTACTTAAACCAATTGGAATGATATAGTTCAACAAAGATGAGATAAAAGCATTAAAAATATATAGTATTTAAAATACATATATATATATATATACATATCTCAGCATTAAACCGAGACAAAAATCTCATACATAATACATTAAGGTTCTAACAAAGTGTATAATATGTGCACTCTTATGTCCTATTTACTTACATGTACCTCAGGATTTTAAAAATATGAAGATATAATGATTGCTAAATAGTTCTACAGTATATGAGATATACTTCTCTCTTTGAATTTCAGTCATCATAAGGTCTAATAATCTCTTTCCTAAACATAACTTACAATGTCTCACATAGTCATTGAATGTAAGAAAAACAAGGTTAACAGGGGGGTTAGCCAGGGGGGTACGATGGGTTCGAGGCGAACCCCCCCCCCCCTAGCCCAAAATTCTTTCAGAATCATGCAGTTTTTCACCATTCTGAGCACTTATTAAGTGATTTCGGCCATTTCTGGACCAAAATTGTCAAAAGTGAACCCCCCTGGAATTTTCCAAAAAGTGATCCCCCCTTGGTAAATCCTGGCTACGAGCCTGGTTAAAATATTAGAATCTAACTCTTCTAACAAATAATCCAGCAAAAAAGCTGTAAAGTTAACATATTAAGTTTTTATACAATATGTGAATTTTTCCACAGTTTGCAGAGAGCTACTGTACATCATCTTTGCAATTATAGTATGGCATGAGCTGGCACTGCATTGGGTATACACAACCAATCCACATCCACGTGGAACCCATGCCACAATGATCCACATTGAATCCTCGCGGAATCCGCATGGAATCAACGTGAAATCCATGTGGATTTTAAACATGTGGATCCAAGTGGAAATAGTACAGATTTTCCATGTTAATCCACATGGAATCCTCACAGAATATTCACGTGGATACGTATGGAAATCATTATGGATCCTATGGGATTCTATAGTTTAACATATGTGAACAGATTGGAATGCAATGTTTACTAGTAACCTGAGTAAGAGGAATACTCTTAGAATCACAATGTTAATGTTAATAAATAATATAAAGATATTAAGAAAATTACAATATCTTTCACCTTATTTATTGGACACCCTGCATGTTTATGCAGAGCTCATGAATATTTAAATCTTTACAACTCTGTTCGGAATCATATTGATATTCACATTCAGATTCAGAACATCGCAAGGTGTATCGTGACCTAAATTCATATTTTGGGAGTTTTTCTGAAATCACACTGACAAGAACATGATATATGACTCCCAGAATTCAGTCCATTCTTGAGTTTGATATGTTCTCATATGAACATATTGTTTTGACCATGGCAAGACTTATTTCAACAGTATTACGTTGTTTCGAACAATAGTACACTAATATGTGAAAGGTGAGTTATATGTATGTACTTATGTATTCCTCATAACTGGGTGGTGGATCAGCATTCTCATGTGCTATGTCATTAACATGTGGTTGGCTTTGTGGGTTAGCTGGTCTGGGAGTCCTTCTTTCTACAGGAGGGTCTGCTATCCCACCATTCCTAGGTGACAAATTTTGATTTCTATGAGTTCTCTCGTTAACATGTCTGTGACTTGGTGGGTAGGTTGGTCTGTGAGGCCTCCTTCCTGAAGGAGGATCTGTGCTCCCAGCATTCCCAACTCTTTCATAAGTACCAAATCCATCCTCCTCAGTACTTTCCCTTTGTTCATAAGTGCCAGATCTCATCACATTAGTAACAGTGTGCATTTCACTTTGTCTTGGTCGAGGTTCATAATTTGGTGATGAAGAGGAATTTTCTGTATTGTGTTTTTTACGTGACCTGTTACAGGCAACACAGGTGCATGCTGGGATACATATCAAACACACCAATGCCCCCAGTCCAACAGCTGTGTAGATTAGCCCCCACCCCCATGATGGAATACTCCCCTCCACTAACTCTGAAACAAAAAAATAAAAATAAAATTAAACTTATCCTATATAACTTATAACATTTTAAACATATTGCTATTACAGTTTTTATATTGTACCTAATTTACTGTAAAATCAGCACTAAAATCAATGCCATTTTTAAACTAGCGGCCATTTTCAAAATGGAACAGAACTTCTACTCCCATAAGGTATATGTGTACAAAATATGAACAAGATCGGGCAAACAGTATTTGAGTTATCGGACGTACGCACAGACGGACAAAGAAGTTCCCTATATCCCACCGAACTTCGTTTGATGGGATAACAAAAGTAAATATGTTTAGTATACATTATAAACCGGGGAGTTTCAGATTGATTAAATATTTTGACTTACCAGTTTCTTTTCCAGTTTGCAATAATGGTTCAGTAACTGCAAAATAAAAATAAACAAGGTATTTCGAGTAACTGTGAATATTTGTAGATGTACATGTACATCCCAAATGTACATGTTCTGAGAGGAAAATCATATTCCAGGTACAAATCAATAATGCAACACTTGACATGGATGAGAATATAGTTTGAGAAACAATATTTGGCAGCAGACACGACTTTCATTTAGGTTTAGGTGATACTCAATTTACTGAGTTTATTCTTTTGTGTACAAGAGGTTTGGCACATAAAGACATTCTTTAAACCATGCTATTAAGCTTAATACATGTAAATAGGTTTATAACATCCTCAGATCACAGGGCTTCAAAATCCAGAATACTTCTTTCTTTTTACCCCCTGCGATAAGCAGTTAGCATTTCTCCGATTAAGAACTCGCAATTTGATTCGCTTTCGCAACACTGCGACAGCATCGCAATCATGTATACATCATCAGCGCGTAATTAGATCATGTGATTCAGTTTAATCGGGCGCTTCCAAATTCGTTATTGCAGGGGGGATGAAGGAGGTACGGATTCTGGACACCTGCTTAGGAGGAAGGTTTATTATAAATAGGTGTAAATAGACTTTCTATTAAACTCTGGGATAAAAAGAAGAACTAATTTATATGTAAATTATATCTCTGTTTTGTAATTTTTGTAAATCTACCTTTAAGAGGAAATAAAGAGACAATACAATAAAATACAATATATAATACAATGCATCCTTTTTAATTTCAAAATGCAACTTATTCATTTTCTCCATAAATATTTATTCATTCTTTGGTAATTACAGAAATTTAGGCAGAAGTCTAAAGATTGATTAAGTTACACATTATTAAAAACAATCTAATATATTTGAGGGTTATTTAGAAAAAGCTATTAGCCTTTAATGAGTTTACTCCTATACTTACCACATTTCTTGTGCTCATATAGATCTATTGGTTTTGTTGGATCAAGCGTCCTGACGTGGAAATCAGAATTTTTCCTTGACAACTCACAATGTCCCTTATTCACACCAGAATGGGTAAAATGAAGAGATTTACATGTGAATTCACGTGTATATTCACATACATCTTTGCAGTGTTGGAGATAGGTGTTTTCTATGATTTTATCAGTAGTTGAAGGAATGGTTGTCGAGGGGGAGTGAATCCACATAGGGCAACCTGAAATTCAGTTTCACATTACATCATGTAAGATTATTATGTCCATGTCATAAAATTTATAAGAAAAAATGTTTTTCAGATTTTATAAATCTTCCATTTCATGTTGTGAATGTGTTACATTTGGACTGATACAATGGACTAAATATTACCCTTGAAACATTTGTGCATTGTTTTGTGAAGGCATCATATTTGATGTGTTGATAGTGTGTAGTGTGTCACATTTGGTGTACTTAGTAATAGTATTGTGTGTCACATTTGGTGTACTTAGTAATAGTATTGTGTGTCACATTTGGTGTACTCAGTAATAGTATTGTGTGTCACATTTGGTGTACTTAGTAATAGTATTGTGTGTCACATTTGGTGTACTTAGTAATAGTATTGTGTGTCACATTTGGTGTACTTAGTAATAGTATTGTGTGTCACATTTGGTGTACCTAGTACTGTGGTGTGTCACTAGGGTGATCCAGAAGAAACGTCAAAGATGTTGGCATTTTAATACTACTGTACAAATCTTATTGAATCTTGGTACAGATAGTTCCCAAACATTATTGAGTTAATACATTAAGAATAATACTTCTAAAAGAGAGCTTCGTCTTCACTCTTTCAGTTTACAATAAATCTCTGATCTCACCGAACCAATCAGAGTTTGTCATTGAAATACAGACAACTTTCTATATGGTCATATCACCGCAAAGTTAATGAGCATGTATTTATCACGACTTACTTTCACTTCACTGATTGGTTGAGAAAGGGTTGGCATGGTAGATTTAAAATGATTTATTCCTCGGGCTGTCACAGACACCAATTATTGGGGCGGGGCTGCTAAACTGTAACGCAGTCTATACTAGGCAGAGGGTAGTTTATAACTAGACTCTGTGCGAAGGGTATTATTATTGTAACCTGATGTGATGTTACCTGTATGATAGAATGTTCACATTATAAATGTATTAATGTTAGATTTAACCCCCGACTTACTTTTCTCCATCACGCAGACATATTGCTTTTCATTGTCACAGGGTCTTTGTCGCCACCACCAGATGTCATTAGCTGGTCCTTCTTCCCAGGGCTTGGGTTGTTCTTTCTCTACTGTCACACAATCAGCACCATATTCAGTCAACCAACTAGGATTAAACCTGAAATAGGATTTGCATTGAAATGTCTAATAAATGAAACATGTCTGAAATGGAATATTTTTTAATTTAAATCATGGAAATACATATGTATATAGTTTTACATTGCAACTTTTGGAAAATAGCCACAAAGTTCCAATATTGCTAATTTGTGAAATTCCCAGGAATTTATTTCACGAAGTGCTGACGGTATTTTGATCCAGTGATGGGCGATAAAAGGGGGGTACTAGGTATCTTTAAATTCATTCAGAAAACGTTTCTCAAAATCATCAAAATGAACCTTCTAACAAACTTGCTTCAAGTTAAAACAAAAGTCTTGAGTGAGGAAAGTACAAGCATGGCTGACACTGAAGTCTCATAGGGCAATTTCCCTCGGGACACAAAAAATCTAAAATAAAAACCTAGGATGAAGAAAAGGAATATATTCAGAGAGAGCAGATAGAGAAGCATGCTTCATTACTACATGGTAATATGTGTGAAACATAAGGTCCCGCAGAATTCAGTTAGATCTATACTCTTGGCTATATTCTATGATCTTGCTGTGTTTTATAACACATGACACCTGGGCATTAATATTTGTTATCATTAATCTGTTGTATTTAGTCTACTCATGGGCTCTTCGTGAAAGCCCATGGTCTACTTCATCACCAGAATGAGGAGGTGTGAAGTGGGGGGGGGGGTCAACAGGGTTTGTAGCTTCCTTGTATTTTTTGTTCGCTTGTGCCTTGAAACAGGCAGCCAATCAGGTTCGGATAAACAAATTCAATGTCCAATCAGATTACACCTGAATTCCCCCCATATACTCAAAAATACTCCAGAGGGGTTTGATTGTGCTCTCCTATGGTATGGCCCCTCTTTAAAATTCCTCTTATAAAGTAAATACTATAAGATGAAATAATACAGAGTGACCCATAAAAATACTACCTTCTAATTTTGGAACAATTTTGAATACCTTTATTCAACAACAATTTTGAAATTTTCAGACCTAGAAGTAAATACATAGTCCCAAAATTAGGGGTTGCATTTTTGGACCACCAAATACATCAAGCTTTAATGGTTCAAATCTCACTTATTTTCCTGAGGGATGATGCCGTCTAACCATTTATGGACTCCATCACCTTCATCATAGAGACCAATCCATGACTGGGAGTTTTGTGGAAATTGTGCCATTATATAGTCTGGAAAATAGAGTTCAATTAAGTTCCAAAGCCCTCAGAAAAACTTGTGGATTCACCTTTGAAATATGAAATAAATGAAGCTTCCAACCTAGGGATTCCATTCATGATACAATCTTTATGATAAAATTCGATTATGTTCTCAAAATTATTATTCATTGAAAACTTTATGTTCAGGTTGAATTATAAAAACAGGTGGTGATCACATATCTACAGGGTGTCCAATAAATAAGAAAGTTACAGTATCTTTCACCTTATTTATTGGATACCCTGTAGATACACTCATTTATAGAGGTTTTTATTAAGTTAACTTCGCTTTAGTTTCATAAAAAAGTTGTTGTTCTATGTAGTCAAGGGGAGAGCTGATTTGAAAAATATAATCATCTATAATAAAAAATAAATATGGATCAGTATCAATGTATCGAATTAAAGCTGATTTCTAGCAAATATACAGGTGCAGTGAGGAGGGCTGACATTGTAACAAGAGAAATTAGGCAGTTACGAATATCTGCTTCAAAAAGTAAAATCGGATGGTTGAGACAATAATATAATTCTGTTCTGTGCCAGCCCTAGCAATGAGTAATAATCATGGGATCGCTAGCTTATTGACCATCATCTTCAATTCAGGGTGTAAACATCAATAAAAGCAATACTTTACTTGTGAATTCATCCCAAGCAAGAGGCATATCATAGAATACAGGCAGATTTGCTTGTGCCAAGTTACACTGTTTCCGTGCTCTTGTCCATGTGCCAAGAACTGATCCACTGTGGTAGTAGCAATTATTGCTTGTTGCGATCCATCCCCTCGGACAAAACTCTGAAGCACAGGAGTAAAACGTGGAGTTTTCAATTAGACATGGTTTAGAACATGCAGGATTTCATCAAGAAACAAGCAATTATCACTTTTGTGCAGACAATATACAAGGATGAACATAGTCCTAATTACCCTGACCACTAGAGCCTAGTACAGTGTATAATGTAGACGAAGCTCTCTTTAAAGAAGTAAAACTCTAGCTAGTGTAAAGGATAATGAACATGACAAATACATTGAATAACTATGAGTGATCATACTGGCATGCTCCATTGAGCCCTTTTACAGAGTAGGGGGCAATCAGGACCACGTTTGCTTTTTTGGTTGGGGTTGACCTCATTTCCATCATACTTAGTCGTTTTGTGTGTTTGATTAAAGGAATAAAGCCAAGGGCTCAATGGACTATGGATGATATTTAAGAATGAGGGTCTTGTATAAGACTTCAATTGAGGGTGGGAGCCAAAAGTCAAAGGCAAACATACAAGATGCAATGCATTAATTCACCCACAATCCATTGGGCCGATGTTATGAGCTATTTCTGGAACATCCCAAATTGAGCAAAAAAATATAGCAAATAGCAAAATATCACTGAATCAGGGCTGTCAGGTGTAAATTTTTTCGAAACAAATGCGTGATGTATACACATATTTTGTACAAAATGCTTGACATAAACGGCAATCGCATGCAGAGACTGAATGGAATGCGTTAGCTTTTTTTTCGCCGTTCGGTATTTTACTGTATCGGCATTTCACTAAAAACGATTTTTAAAAATATCAACAAAAGCCATGATTTGCGTGATATTTGATCATACACACTAAATTGATGCGTGATTTCTATTTTTTCCAGCAAATGCGTGACAATCACGCCTAATGTGTGAGGGTTGACAGGGCAGCTGAATGAAGTGTTCAATGGTTATCATGGTTATTCATGCTTACACAGCTCTAGCTGACATGACTGAAATCCATGTAATATACTCACCAAAACTACTCAATTGTAGCTCTATACCTAGAAAACTATATGGATTTTGTGAGTTTGTCTTGAAGCGAATGAACAAGAACCTTCCAGAGCTGATTACCATTGTAGGCTCACTTTCTTTATTACACCAACTCACCAACAGCCTATTTACTTCACTTCGACCTAAAAAACAATCATTATTTGTTTTACGATGGGTGGGCAATGCATACACTATGATACAAATAGAAATAGTGATCTAATCCAGGCTCATAGCCAGGGGGTGGGGGGGGGCAAAAATTCTTTTAAAAAAACATGCAGTTTTTCACCATTCTGAGCACTTTTCAAGTGATTTTGGCCATGGGCTTGTAATCTATCATACTCACTTGGGTAGTAAATTAAAGGGGGTGACTAGATATTGGAGGAAACACAGACTCAATGAAAGACAATTTCTGGTAATTAATCAGAAAGTACTGAATTCAGCGAACTATGAAAAAATCTACATTAGTCTGTGGGTGTAATCATGGGCTTGTGGTGTAACAATTGGGACTTGAATAATTGAAAAGCTTACCATCATATATCTCCATGTAGTCATAGCTGTTACATATAGCATTAGTAGGTGCCCATTGGAGGAAAGAGCTCAGAACATCAACCTAAAAATATTTACGGGTATTTCATGATCACTGGGGATAAACTAAGGACAGATAGCTAGATGATTGACTTTAACATTACATAAAGAATGCAATTATTAGTTGATACCTTGATAATAATGGAAGTGCCTTTTTAATATTACCTTGACAAATCAAGATATCCCTTTTCAATATTACCTTGAATAACCAGAATGTACCTCTTTATTATTTCCTTGAATGATGCTGTGCCTCTTTAACATTATTGAGAAAATGCCTCTTTAATAATATTTTGAATAATCAGGCTTTTTATATTGAGAACATGCATTTAAATATTACCTTGAAGAATTGGACTAATTGGCTATATATCATTACCTTGATTCTTTTATTAAAACTGCCAGAGTCCACAATCCAAGTACAGTGTTCATTGTTTCTATATGTGTCCTCTTTTTCCCTTTTTGTGATGATATTTGCAGAGAATAGGTTGAGAGTTGATAAGGTGACATTAACTTCTTTCTTATGCAAGCAATAGAAATCTGTGAAATAAGACATTCAAATAGTCAGTAATGCATTGATTTCTCACCAATACCCTCTTTTCATATCTATGGATGGCCCCCCATAAATGTGGGTTCGGTTTGCTTTTTTTTAAATTTTTGATTTTGATAAGGCTCAAAAATAAGAAAAAGGCAAATCACCCCCTCATTCATGGGGGTTGTGGATGGCAAACCATGTACTATACCTTTCAATATATTTGATAATTATGCAACATAATGATCATATACCAAGACTCACTGACATGTTATGCAATTACTCAGATGCGAGTAGGTAGTTACCAGTTTCGCCACCAGATGGCTGATTCGGGGGAAATAACATGGCAGGGACTATTACAAAATTCCCTTAAACTTGAATATGCATCAGTTTTAGTGGTTCACTTTTCATATCACCCATATGTATGTGATAGTTATACAAATTAAAATATGTCCAGTAAAAGAAAATGTTATCTGCCCAACACAAGAAAATATTTCAATTTTTGTGGTTTTACCACATGTGGTCTATGGGGAATCTCCCGACCTAGAAATCACATTTTCAAAGAAAATTAAATTATCAAAGTTGATAAACTCTTTTCAAAACCACATTTCTAGATGTAATTTTACATGTAGATTCCAAATATGACATCAGATTGACTGAAATGTGAATTTTAATGATGTAAATCAAGATTATTTCTACTCGCATCTAGGATATTATGCCATGAAAGAATAGAAGTATGTTTCTTAGTAAAATATACACCCTATAAGGTAAAGTTCTTACCTAAACCAAAAACAACTTTAGAATGATCTCCATTTGACAAGATTATGAAACAGAGAACACACTTCATGAAGAAAGACATCATCACAGCTTTCTGGAATAATCTCTCCATTTATCCCATAAGTTCTTGCAGAGGTTCTTGCATTGCGTGGCTGCTAGTTTCTTAATTAGAGGGTCGGTAACTCAGACCTGATGGATACAGTTTGGTAGTTCTGTGGTAAACAAAACATGTATTTAGTAGAGGATCAACTTAAATTGTATGTACTGTAGTTGATAGTAGAAAATGGAGTTGTACTCAACATTTCTTGCACATTTCTGGGGGATGGGGTATGAGGAGTCCTATGAACGAATGTTACATGTGCATTTAAATGGGATTCTACTTTTGCATCATGTCATATCATTTTTGCTAATTTGTCAATATCATTTACATGACCGGGAACACAATGAAAATGGTCAGAATGACCATAAACATGATGAAATGACCTTTTCAGACCTCTGAAAATGTGACTGAAATATAGCTAAAAGTACGTGCTCAGGAATAAGCAGTACACACTCATCGGAGGGCTTGCCCGACCCTCCAGACAAGCCCCTGAAAAATCACTAAAACAATGATTCCTCTTTTTTAAAAAAAGTTGAAAAATTTGAAGAAATTCTTTAGGCCTAGATTATAGATCTATAATTAAAAAATTAGGCTCAATTATCCTTGTATTTTGTGTGAAACACTTGAAGCTTACAAGAATGAATCAATTTAACATCAGCAAATCCCTACGAGTGTCAAACTTACTTGTAATTCACAAAACAGAAACATTTTTTTCTTCAAGATGTTTTCAACATTGGGCGGTTCATGGTTTTACACTAAACGAAATTACATACAAGTAATCATTAAGCCGGGGATCTCCGCTTCAATACAATTATAAAGTATAAGCAGTATTGTAATCAAAATTGGGATTCATTTGCAACAGGAAAATTATAATTTTACATGGAGCCAAGTATAAATTTCACAAAACAGGGATTTTGGATAGAAAAAACAAAGAGCAACCATCTACCCAATGCTTGTATCCCTGAATGTTACATGCATCAGGTTGTACTAAATGCCACCTAGGTGCCCCACACCTAGGTGTCCCAATTGAAATGCCTTATAGGCATATTTTACTACTTTATTTTAAATGAACATTTTTCCAAGTGTTAATATGGTACAAAATAAAGTATTTTCATGGAACTTGTATAAATATTTCTGTTTGGTTATGATATTTTTATTGTCTTGAAAATTTTGACCGATGTCGAAAAAGTCATTTGTTAGGATAATATTTCATTATTTGCTCACTATAAAATGCTACAAATTCACTATTTTAGCAACTAAAGTAAGACCAATGTATATATTTCAAATGTAAATGCACACTTTAGCATAAACAGTGTTTTATTACTACAAATAAGTTACCATACATGAGCAAAATTCCAGGTGCCCATTTTCCTAACAACAATAAAACTTTTACTTTAACATTCTATTTTCGAATCTTCTTTGCAATATTCTTAACTACAAATTATTATTTCAAGCCTATTAAATGTCAAGTTAATATGACAAAGGAAATAATACAATATTCAAAATGTGTACATGGTTTAAAATGGAATTAGAAATCCAGGTGCCCAAGGGGACACCTAGGGGGTATTTAGTAACACCCCATGTATCATTATCTAATTAAATTAGCTATTCTGTATCAAAAGTAACCAGACAATGATGAGACTTGAATACCACCAACCATGCTAATAATGTGTACGTACAAATGTAGGTGGTAATACTATATGCCATTTCAATTGAAAACCCCAGATTCTATTATTGTTAACCCTTCAGTATTCTTTATCCAGACCCAGAATACAAATGTATATTAATTATACTAGAAATCAGCTACCCCAAGGGGGAGCAAATCCCAATGAACACTATATTTATGAATACGATCAAAATGTAGTATTTATCATTCACCCTTGATTTGCAGATAGTAAAAGACAGACAGATTGGAGATATATGAGAATTTCCACCATTTACATGATATAGGAGTTTCAAAGGCTCAAATAAGGACAACAAAAATATTTGAGATCTAATGTATCCCTGTATTATACAGGGTGGGCCAAAAAATGCAATTTTTTAAGACACTACAACTTTCTTATTTTCCAACCTACATACCCCAAAAGACCATGTGCAGTATGGCAAGTGATTTTAGAGGGTCATATCTTTCACCATGAGTACTTTCTGGGCATAAATATAGTGGTTTTTATTGCCAATGATGATAAAAATATCAATCGAACAATTTGAAAAATTATGAATAGGGACCCCATGTCAACATTTTTTTCAAAATATTGAACCTATTTACTCAAAAGAGGATCTCCTTTTTCTGATTTTTATTGCATGAAAAGATTATTCAACAAGGAGTCTAAATCATCTTCAAAAATATAATTGTATTGAAAGCCTAGTTTTCAAGATATCAATTTTCCATGACCAAAATGATGCTGAAAATAATGGATAGCACGAGTTTTCACTATGGGGAAAATAACATGGGATATGTGGTTTTTAACTTTAACGCATTTCAATACGCATCCCCTTTTCAGAAATTGTTCTTATAGTGTAGAAGAAACGTTCGATATGTTTAAATTGAGAAAAGCAAGATCCTCTTTTTAGAAAACAAGCCCAACATTTTTTAAAAAGTGCCAGGGTGGGCCCTTAATCCATAATTTTTCAGAGGATTGGATTGATATTTTACTATCACGGGGACTTCACTTGAAAGAAAACATATTGTTTAAATAAAAACCATATCTTTCCATATCCTATATTCACTGGTGTTTGCAGGGCTATTAGCTTGGCGATTATCAGGCCGTTCAGTTCAGGAACATTTTGCAAATTATGCTCATTTCTCATTGCACACCACATGTTTAAGTGAGATGCTGGTGACATATTTTATTCAATTTAAAGTGTATAATTCATGATCCATGGCTAGATAACAACCTCAAGTTCATTTGGTATGCAAATAATGAGTTATAGCATTTTGAAAATAAAGTGGCGTTTTTTTGGCCCACCCTGTATATTGTAACTATACTTTGAAGAGAGTAAATCATGATAGTGAATTTGTGCTTTAGGCAGCCATTTTGAATTTTCTGAGGCACGAATCGGAACTATAACTATACCATAGTTGTGATCAACTCTAAAATTCCTTAAATATGAGTATAATACAGCAATACTTTGAAGAAAGGAATCTATTGCAAAATTGCACATTTGGCAGTCATTTTGAATTTTCCAAGGACCAAAAAATGAGACAATATTTGCAATCTAAAACTATTCACCTATATAAATCTTTCCAAAAAATATAGAGAAAATCTGTCAACTAGTATCTGATTTATCTTCCGAACAGACAGACTGACAGACGAATAGCTTCACTATATCCCTATCAAAATTTGTTCGATGGATTAGGGTGTAACAGTTACAGAATACAACCATGTGCTTTCCACAAGTAAATGGCATGAATTTTAATGTAAGACTCCCATGAAATCTATTCAGACAGTTTACTATTGGGGTCATTTAAATACTGGTCAGTATCAAAACTGGTATTTATTTGTGCTTTTCAGAGGGTAATTATTTCTCCTTGCCTCAGTGAAATGTGCAGAATTTACTACTTTTGAGACGATCCCTTAAAAACCAAACAACTCTCTTAATTTCACTTTTTCTATAAAATTCTTTATTACAATACAATATATCAAGAGATCTATCTTACATATGAACATAATTATCTAAATTGTTTAAGCTTTTACAAGCTAACAACTTAAAAGGAATGATGATGGGTGGCGTGTTATATCTTACAGAATACAATTTGTCCAGAAGATTAACAATATGAATGTTATACATGATATAGCCAAGATTAATTGATGATGACCAAATATGGGTAAGATTGGTTTACACCTTTAGATGAGATTTCTCTGGCAGGAGATGTTGATATAATAAATATAATACACAAGATTGATTTGTGTCTGTTGATTACATTACAGCAAATTAATTCATGCATCATTCATTATCCTGTTACAACACCCATAAAAAATCCCTTATCAAATAAGCCCTGGGTCTATAATCCAAGCTTCCACAAGGCCCCTTATCAAAGTAGCATTGGGTCCCTCAGACAAGGTATCACAGGTTCCCTTATACAATGCAGCATTGGGCCCATAATACATGGCATCATTGCACTTTGTAGTTTCCATTATGGCAAATCAAACCATGCATTAATATTTGATGTAGACATATAATGCACCATGATGTCACAGCACTCTGTAGGTTCCAGTCTGGCATGTGCCATCTTAGGCATACTTTTCGGTAGATCCTATTGGCAAAATTCTGATGTGTTATCCTGAACAACTGTATCAACCCATTAAAGATGGCTGATCGATCTTACAAACGAGTCACAATGATATCGACATCTTCTGTGGCACCCGCAATGAATGTAATAATGAATACATCCAGGTATCTTCAAATGTATTTCTAACTTGTGGTGAATTCTTTTTATAAAATCCAATATTGTTAATAGCACATAAATTTCCAATATGCTCCAGTATGAACATGATGATTAAAACCACTGTACAGAACTGATGATGATGATGTTTATGATAAGGGGTCCATGAGTTAGTATCTCCTAGGGGGTCCGCCACGTCCCCGTCCACCTCGACCTCCTCCGCGACCCCCTCTTCCACCCCTACCACCACCTCCACGTCCTCTGCCTCCACGCCCTCCTGAAACAAAATCAGTTATATAATATATTACACATGCATGGACAGTAATATAATTCAATGTACATACATATACATGTATCTATACATAGTACTGTGTACACATTCATAATACTAAGGAGACTAGCCAACACCAAATACCAGTATTCTTTATAATGACAACTGCCATTTACAATTGGTTGAAAATTATACAAATACCATGGATTTTACAATTTTAAAAGTAGGTACCGATCTATCAATTTGGCCCTAAAAGAGATGATATATAAAAAGGGTGACTTTACTGCCCTTTTTATGTATGAATATTCTTTCTATTAGCCTGTGATTATGAAATTACAGCAATCGGAATATCAAAGGAAATGCTACTTTCCAGGTTAAGAAATATAATTTTTTACATACCTCGACTACCACCAAATCCGCCTCTACCACCTGGTTTGCGAAACTTGGGGGCATCATCTATGAGAAGGGTATCAAGAGGCAAACTGTCTGGAAGGATGAAGTAACGAACATTGTTACCACGGATACTCAAAGTTTCTAGTTGAACTGGCTCCTTGTTCTTCACTGTCATCTTGACTGCCTTGAGATGTGTATTCATGCTGACATCTACACCTAGAACATTAAGCAAAATAGATTTAGTTTCTTCATTCCCATACTCAGAACATCTTTCTGTTTCACCAGAAACCTGCTGATATTATGAGGCATATTCTGTGATCTGAGATTATTTAGATAGGAAGAGTACAACTGTCAAGGAGTGTAATGGTTATCATGGAAATATCGTCCATTCATTATATAATAGACAATTGTGTTCTACAACCATTACCATCACAGGCATAGGTGATGTAATATCTACAATTTATTACCAAAACGAGATGAAATATACTGAGAATGATCTTAAAAATCCTCAAATCCTGCCTCTCTGGGATTGCTAAATCCAACCCACTATATCATGGAATCTCAATGCTGAGATGAAATGAGATGTCATGGTTTATTATGATGTTACCTTTTAGATATTCTAGATTCAATTCTGAAATTCCAATGACTGTGACTTTGTTAATTTACTTTAAACTTAAAACTTGTGATTTGAAAGATTTGTTACCTGTAATTGTGCCATGGACTTGGGTCCCATTCTTCAGCTCTATTGTTACAGTCTCATGACTTAGTTTCATCAAAAATCTGAAAATAGAGATAAATCATATGACATAATATAAAACAGTAAGATAAGTCTCTTGGTAAATATATTTAATAATAATATTATATAACGTTCATTTTACAGCAACTCATGCTGAGTCATACTGAAATTTATCAGCTGGTTCACAAACTGAATATTAATCTTAACAGGGGTTTCATTAGCAGCAGCCAACAGGCGATTTTCATGTTAAATTTATGATTTCCATTAATTTTGCCTGTTGTTTTCATTTATTTAGCCTGTTTGAGAAATTCTAGTGAAATTTTTCTAGCATGTGTCCAGCTCGCTGATAGGTCAAGAAAAGATCAATGTTGTAGGTTTGAAACAATTAATGAATTGAGGTGACTGAACTGTTATACAGACAATATAAGGCAGGGGTAGTTTATAACTACAGTCCTGGATTGTTTTATTTCGTCAGTAAAACCTAAAGAATAAAAAATCAAAAGATCATTGTGCAATAATATATGGAAAAATATATTCCTATTGTACATAAATGACATTTGTATATCTTTGATTGCTTCTAGTTTGGCTAATAAAGTATGTGGCCTCTTATATTAGAGAGGTTAAGCAACACCACTTTTTACACCGTAAACCGCGAACGGGAAGGCGCGCGCAGGTTTTTCCCAGGATGTGACGTCATATTGTTCTACTTATTTCCCGGTTTACGTACATCCAAACGTGAAAAATCAAAGTCTAGGTAGGTCGTTCCGTAAAGGATTTTTCATACTTAATCAAGTTCGATTGAGATAGATATGATATAGGTCGAATACATAAACATGTTTGACACAAATCTGTTTATACATCGAGATCATTTGTGTCCAATCTAATCAAATATAACTTGAATATCGAGGCACCCATTCCATATGTAAAATCTTATGAGATTACATGCAATTGCAATTACCCACATGTCAACTCATCCTAATTCTTTATACATATTGTGACACCATAGTAATAAAACTATGAATGCTTTGAAGACTTGCTTTAAAGATATTATTGCGTCCAGTTGTATTTTGTGAGATTCAAGATGTCATAGAACACTACCCATGCTACCAGGGTGTAAAACATCTCCTCTGTTAACACTTCAATTTGTCAATAAAGTAATATTTTTTATACTTTTAAAGTAGAAAATAAAACGAAAGGCCGCTAAGAAAAAGAAAAAAATCATTTTTTGGTTTGCGTTTGCGTTACGTCTAAAGTGCTCAGCTTAAAGCACTTTTGTTCATAGTACGTAAACGGGAACGTAAAGGTTTACGTTTGCGGTTCGCGTCATAAAAATCGTCTTGCTTAACCTCTCTATTTTGATGCCTCTCTGTACTCGAAAGCCAAATTACTAAGCTAGAAGACCTGGCATGTGGACCACTGTGAACTTTTGGAAACGATCATTCAGAGTAAAAATAAATTTGTGTTATTTTAAAAATCGTAATGAGAATATTTCATCAAACAGAATGTAATCGAATACTATAATACTTTGTGAGATATTGCAAGCTTTCGTCTAAAATTAAATCAACGGCTCCAAGAAAAATGGCGGATGTTCAATGACAAAAACTGGACGAACATGTCATTATTGTCTGACATTATAGCTGGCTGTAAATTCAAAGTAGCGATCTATAAGACTTCAACTAATACACTGATCACTTCCTGTGTGTTTTGAAAGCAAAACTCGCAATTCAAATTGTGAGGTGAAAAAATGGTGGCTGGTTGATTTCAAATTTTATGATCACAACATGCCTCTTATGAGGCAGAACAAAACACACAGGGATTTATGAATGGTGTAAGGCTGCTATATAATGGAAGCCTTAGACTAAGGTAAGGCTGTAGACTGCGTGCAGAGAAAACAGTGTCATACTAGAGTCCATTTCACTGCTTCAGTTCGTCAGTAGAACGGCAAAAATAAGAAATTGGGAGACCATTGTGCAATAATATATGGAAAAGTATATTCATAATGTACATGAATGACATTTGTATATTTCAGATTTTTTAGTTTTTTGTGCAATAAGCCTGTGCCGTCTAGTAATTTGAAGAATTTCAGCCATGTTAATCTTATTGAAAATAACATGGCAGAGAAACATCCAAATATAAGAGGCCACACACTTTATAAGCCAAACTAGAAGCAATCCAAGATATACAAATGTCATTCATGTACATTATGAATATACTTTTCCATATATTATTGTACAATGGTCTCCCAATTTCTTATTTTTGCTTACTTCGGTCCAAAGCCTTCTCTATATTCCGGCTTTGAGGAGGAAGATTGAGCTGCCTTAGTATTATAAATATTGTAAATCATTGTGTCACACGCACAGTAAATATGGCATAATAATATGAAATATACCTTTATGTATAGATTTGAAGAACATCAGCTCACATCCCCGTCTGAATCTATTGTTATATTTGATTTCTTTAAGCGAGAATAATTTCAAATGTTATTCACGTCCAGAACTGGAAACCATTTTTAGCTACAGCGAGAAAATTTCACCATGTGTCAAACTCCGAAATGAAATTTTGAAATATCTAAATCCAGACAAGCAACGCTTCATCCTAAATATGATTAATATTCTTAAAAATATTTATAAAATGTATTAAAAATGAGTTCTAGGTGCGTGTAGGTGCGTGTAGCACAGTACATACGAAATCAATGAAGTTTCGTCTAGCTGTAAGCTAGAGACTCGAGTAAATTTTTGCCGTTCTACTGACGAACTGAAGCAGTGAAATGGACTCTAGTCCAACTCTTTGGCAGATTTCATAATTAATTTCATTGAAATATGTAAGTTTTTTGGATCTTAGTGTTGCATTACAGGGAATAATTTCCAAATTGTATTTTGTAAACAATGAAAACATTGGAAAATTAAAATTTTACTGAGGGTTTTCCTAGTTCGTTTACATTTTGGAAGAAAATAACTAGAGATTATGTAATAAAATGAATGTCAAACGATTAAGCACATATTGATATATGCATTTGAAGTAATCCAAAGTTCATCTTACCGTACTAGCTTCATGATGGCAGCAGATTACTTCAAATCTACCACAATAAAAAAATTACCAGCAATGGCGGTTCAAGACGGAAATTGATGTACCTCGTTTTCATCCCACGACCGCTCAATTTGAAATTTCGAGACTGATATTGTTGACCATTTTAAAAGATATTTGCTAAGTAAAAGCCCAAAATTGAAATTTCGGTTGCATAAAATTACACTTTCCATCATTCTTTGTAAAAAGGATCATAAAAGAGAATTGTTTTTTCTGTATGATTTTAATAATTTTGAGAATAACAGGTCCCATAGCTCTCGCAGCGCCATCTAGTTAAATCAGGTATTTCAAAAACGTTGGTCTTTTTTCCAGCTTTATTGATAAGAGGGAAGTGATTTGGTTCTTTGAATATATGCAAAATTATCTATTTAGTTTCCCTGAACTACTTCTAGAGTACATTTGATAGTGGGTAAAGCACATAACCTGTCAATCGATCAAAAAGCATGATGGGCGATAATATGTTTAGCTAGATCTAATTTTGATTGCCTTGCTTGGTTTCATTTTCTATTTGTAATTGTAAGTAGTTGCAAGACACTGATTCAGGCTGAATAACTAAAAACAATATACGTAAGTTTATTAATATTCATCTAGAACATCCTAGGTTATCTTGTCTCTCTAAAACTTGTAAATGGATGATCATCATCTCTTCATTCCTCAATCTGGCCTTGAAGAGCTGCGTAATTGAACCTTGCATAATATTTCCGAGGCCTATCATTTATGGCACTAGCATGCATTTCTTACCTCAAATGATTCTCACATCCATCCGATACATTCTCCCAAGGTCACGGGTTTGTGTAAAAAAAACAGGTGACTGAGTAGCCAGGTACCTAACATTCCTTGAGCAGGGTTAGGAATTTGATTTTTTCAACACGTGCCACCGAACAATCCAAGCAACCAACCATCCAACTGGCCTCCAGCTCAATGGACCAGCCATCCAACCAATCAATCAAACAACCAAATAACAAAGCAACGAACTAATCACGGGAAAATTGAGAACCTGTCAATCTGTTGATCCTGTGATGTAGTTTGCCTTCTGAAAAATACTGCTTTTATCACAATCAAAGTTTTAACACATTATCATAAATTTGATATTCAAAGAAACAGAGCATCTATCAATTTACAGGTTTGGTAAATAAAGGAAATGTAAAGGAGGTTATTTGTATTTTTAATACTCTCATTTTTCAGTTATTTGATGAAAGTTATATATATATATATAACTTTCTCAAAATATTAATTTAATTGCATCCGATTATTTTTCTTACTTTTCAACAGGACTACTCTATACTGGGATTTAAAGAACCTTTTATAGAACAGTTTTGAATCAAGGTGTAATCTAGGGAAGCTGATTCAAGATGACTACCCTGGGAGGGGTAACTACACTCGGAGGAGGTACATCTGGGTACACCACTCTAAATGTTGCCCTAAAGATTGTTACGGTAAGTTGTTGTTATACCACCACCACCAGAAGAGGTGACAATATTGTTATAGGTCTCCAACTTTTTTGTTGATAGTGTTCCATTGGTGGCAGTCGGCATTTGGTGTATTTAACAAAAGGCAGGTAGTGACATTTTTATTTCATGGGTGTAGAAGTTCTGCTTCAAAGCTTATTTTCAAAATGGCACACTGTCTTATGACACATGTGTGCGATTTTGTTAAAATTTTATATGTGCCTACTTTGAAACAATATTACACTTTCCAATAGATTAGTAGAGGATTTTGTAAAAATGGCAGTCATGCCTGTTCGATGCGATTTGCTATGCTTTGGCGTTGCTGTTATCTAGTTATTGATGTTTCAGGATGATGGTAACATACAGATTTGGGGAAATGAGGTGGCTGGCGAGGAAATGTCTGAGGAGGCACAAGAGTTCCAGAGACTTTCTGAGAGGATTAACAACACTATGAACAACCAAAATATGTTTAATGCAATGCTGAGGGACTATACCCCTGGCCAGGTAATTGAACCATTTAACCAAAATACATTTAATGCAATTCTTAGGGATTACATCCCTGGCCAGGTAATTTAACCACTCAACTAAATTACATTTAATGCAATAGTGAGGGACTATACCCCTGGCCACGTAATTTAACCACTCAACCAAAATACATTTAATGCAATTCTGAGGGATTACATCCCTGGCCAGGTAATTTAGCCACTCAACCAAATTACATTTAATGCAATGGTGAGGGACTATACCCCTGGCCACGTAATTTAACCACTCAACCAAATTACATTTAATGCAATGGTGAGGGACTATACCCATGGCCACGTAATTTAACCATTCAACCAAAATACATTTAATGCAATTCTGAGGGATTACATCCCTGGCCAGGTAATTTAGCCACTCAACCAAATTACATTTAATGCAATGCTGAGGGACTATACCCCTGGCCACGTAATTTAACCACTCAACCAAAATACATTTTAATGTAATTCTGGCGGATTACACTCCAGGCTAGTGGTCGGAGGTAATACCACATTACCGACAACGGCACTAATTTGACCTAATGTCAGCATCAAAATCTTCTTACCGGCAATGGACGGTATTCAGCTGAATTAGATACCTGGGCGGAATCAGCCAAATTCCATCATCAGTGTGATCTTATAGTTTCTTTTCTCACTTATTAACTAAACTGTTATGTATAGAAACCAATTTGTGTACATTACTAAGTGAAATAAACAGAATTAAACCAGAAAAAATAACTAACCTGACGTTGAAGTTTTACTTTACCTATTATCGCCCGATTTGAAGTTCAGAATGAGGCTGATAATACAACGAACGAAAACGTATTTATTTTACGAGTTTATATCACATGAACCGTTAGAATCAGGATTGTTTAGTGGTTCAAAATGATTCTGAGTGGGTTCTACTGTTTCTACAGATAAATTAAGTGGTATGTATGGCGTACTATGAGATTTTTGGCGAAATATACCCGGGGAAAACTTTTTTTTAGCTTTTTTCAAAATACTTGCTAAATAGTCGGTAAATATTGGTAATGACATACGGTAATATCGGCACCGCTTTTCATTACCGGTCCGAGCACTACTCCAGGCCAGTAGGTAAATTAATCACTCAACCAAAATACATTTAATGCAATGCTCACAGAGAACTATTTACATTTGATTTGTACCGATTATTAGTACTTCTTACAAACTTTCGAGTGAAAGTTGAAGGATGTGCTAAAAAAGCTATTCAGCATTTGGTGGCTGAATTGTTCCAGTTTGATTGCTGCTGTTATTGCAATAAGGTGGCGACATTTAATTGCAATGCTTTATATTTTGATACATGTAGCATAAAACCTATGCAGTTGGAACCCCTTTAGTACCTCAAAATAGTGTTCAACTTTGGAGGTGTTCCACAAACAGAGGTTCATTTTATCTTAAGTTAATCAACAATGCTACTTGGAAAAGTACTCCATTCGCCACACTGTTTAAAATATGTTTTACTTTGTTTATTTCCTTGATAGGTTTGTTTGGGAAGACGAGTCCAGGATAAGATATGGTACAGAGTTCGGCTAATAGATGTCATTGGCACAACTAGAGGTCAACAAGCCAAGTAAGTCACCTTGGTAACTTCCTATGAGGCTTATGTGATATGATCGTTGTTTAGTGGTGTGGTGGGGGTTCTTTTTGGGCAATCCTTTTTTCTAAAAATGTAATGTTAAAAGTTTGAGGCTATTTCTTGAAAGTAATGAGAGATGCATATGTTATTGCCATATTTACATCATGAAAGGCCATTGAAGTGCGATGAAATTTGAAAAAAGCACTCACTAAAAAGTGAATATATGTATAGCCTCATTTTCAGTATACAATGCATGCTAAGTTCTACATTGTCAAATGTTTTCTTTTTAGTCTCTGGAAATATCCGCCTGCTATATATGTGCTTGATGTACCCATGTATGTTTTTTAGGTGCTTGTTGTTAGATTATGCAGAGACAGAAATGATTCCATGCTCTTGGTGAGTAATTTGCATATAGCTCTCTAGTCTATATTGAACAGTGTCTTCATAAAATCATTCATTTAATGTTTGGGTTAATTTGGCGCTCATAATTTGGCGATTTTGCCATTTTTGGCATGTTGGCAGCTATTTAATTTGGCGGATACCAGGGCTTGGACATTGCTCTGACACCACCACTTCATATACACTAGAACAAAATACAATTTTTTTACTCATTCCTACAATTCAACTTCTATATCTAGTAATTTATCATTGAAGTGATTCCCTTGAGCCAATTTAGAAGTGGCATGTTCTGATTATCACTCTTAACCTTGTCAGATTTGTTAAAACTGACTTAAACACACCAGACAAAACTCCAGGGGATCCTTTTTAGATTTTGCTTAAAATGTGAATTCTGAATTGGCGGTTTTTTCTATTTCTTCAAATTCACCAAATTAAAGCGGATGCAAAATTAACACAATCTACAATATACGTTTTCAAAATAACCATTGATTGAACATACTGGGCATCAGGTTACAGTGGTGCTGAATTGATGTCATTTACTTTTTTGAAAAATCTGTCAAAATCCAACATATTATTGTGAAGCACCATATACAAAGTATAGCACTAGAGATGGCGCAAAATAGGCCTGATAAAACCAAATACCCCAATCCAAGGGAAGATCTTTTAAACTGTCTTTAAGAATAATTGTAGCTTCATCTTTCCAATTCTAGGCTTCGTGAGTCTCCCCATAAATTCCTGGAGATCCCATACCAAGCTAAGGAGTTTGTACTGTACAAGATTCAGCCCTGCACCCTACAGACCAATCTCGACCTTACTGTAACAAATACGTAAGTTTGAAAGAAACATGCCTTGGTGGGTATGTTTCAAAAGGAAAAATAGACTACATGTATGAATAAAATGGCCAGTAGTGAAACTCTCAACTTATCATTGGAATCCTGTTTTTTCCAACAATAGTTCACTAATATCAATACCATCATTCCACACAGGTATTTAACTCCAAAGCCAAATGTCTAAAGAAAAGCACTTCAAATAATGAATAAAACCTAAAAATATTGAAATTGACACCTACCCTGAATTTGAAGAGAAGATGCATTCATTACCTTCTCCAGATACTGACCACTGAATAACTATACTAGTAGATATTTTATTTCACACCATATATACAGTGGGATCCATGACAGACATACAAGATGTTTCCAAATTAAACCAGAATTCACAAATAAAAAACAAATAACGATAGATATCATATCTCCAGGCCATGTAAACAATGGGATCCATCAGCTGAGAAGTTTATACGTGACCAAGTGAAGGCAGCCTCCAGCGCTCATGTTGAGTTGAGACATGTAGAGAAGGGTCTATTTAACAGTGTTAAGCACCAGGCTTTGATCTTCATCAACTCCAATGGAGAAACTACATGTCTTAATGATCTGCTAGTACAGCGTGGATATGCAATGTCGAAAGGTACGGATATTTTTTGTAAATAGCCTTATGTGCAGAACACATTTGTTTGTATAAATATAAGTATGTAGTTTATCTATATTTGAAAATTTGGAGAACCAAATGCACCATTTCTTAAAATATCAATATAAACATTAAAAGATATAGGGGTTATGCACTGGGAGGTTTTGGATACAGGGAATATCCTGAGGTATATACAATATATCTTCCCGAGGGACCGAAGGGACCGAGGGAAGATGTATTGTATATCCCAAGGGATATTCCATGTATCAAAACCGACCATGCATAACTGGTGTATCTCATACTTGAGTGGGTTTAGGGTAGATATAACCTTTTCCACCTTTTTCAAATGACAAGATATTTATATTTAACATTTTCGTAATATTCTTTTTGTTCAATACAATGAAATTGTAACATTTAAACTTAAAAAATTTAAATTTTAAAATTAAAAAATTAAAACTTTTGATATTTAAACTTTTTTTGACTTTTGAAAAATTCCCGGGAGCAGGATGGATATATTATATCTGCCCGCATTTGGCCTGGAGCGGGACATATACAATATATCCTGCCCGCTCCTCAGATACGATATATATTCCCGGGTGATATCTACCCCAAACCCACTCAAGTATGAGATACACAGTGATATCCCCACCATTAAAGCAAGTGGGTGCAGCACCCACCTAAGATTTTGAAAATAGGCTTGCACCCACATGAAAATTCATTTGCACCCATTTAAAAATGAGAAAAATCATGAAAAATGTGCATATTTTGACCTATTTTGGTCTGAATTGAAAAAATCCTGTGGGGATCACTGAGATATAAATATTTTTGATTCTTTCATATTTTTGCTTTGCTGAGGTAAAGCCTTTGAATAAAACCTAAAACAAAAATTACTTTTTAAGGTCCTATAATTATTAGCATTATAATTGCAATATATATCCAGAATTGAATTGATACTTTCTCAATCTGTCAATTTAAAAACATTTGAAATAGTTGTATTTAGCAAAAATATTTGAAGTATTTATAAGTATATTTTAAAATTTCTTAATTGTCTTTTTTACAAGCCTTTATAGTCCCACCTGTCTCAAATAATATTAGTAAAGATTAACTGTATTTCAATGGAGAAATAAATATTTTACATATCTTTAACAAATGTTCTACTTTTTTGAACCACCCTGTACATACAGATCATATTGAACCTGTTGACCTGGCAACCGATTCTCCATTTACTGTGGGTGGTGCAAGAAAGGACAGCATGAACCTGGCCCCAAAGACTCAACCCCCACCCTCTGGGCCTGATGTTTCTGTCGAGGAGATCCCAGGGTTAAACATGGAAGGCCTTACTGCCGAGCAGAAACGATTGCTTGAAATAGCCTTGAAGCCTCATCCTGGTTCTTATATAGCAGCCAAAGACCAAGTAGGTTCATTTTCAGAATTACTGTATTCAGCGTTCATTTTGATTAAGGAAAACCTGTGAAAGTCTATCAGATTTTGTCCCTCTAAAAAGTGTTTTACTTAAGAGATATTTTCTGTTTACAGAGGTTCACATTAAGACAACAGCTCAGGGGACTGAAAAACAAGTTAGCAAGGAATTGAATAAGGTTACCCCTTAACCCAAAAACAATCCACCAATATTCAGTAAAGTTTATATGCAGTTTAAATTAACATCTTCATAATTATGTCACCACCACAAGATGGACATATCGCTACAGTCTTCAACTTTTTTGTTGATGGTGTACGACAGCTGCAGTTTGGTGTCTGTAATAAATGGGAGGTGGTGACATTTGGCACGTTAATGCCTTGTATATGTCTGTTATATTTACAAATTTACACAATGTCATATAATTTAGAGCTTATATAGAGATGTCTTATATACTGGGCAATGAACTGTAACTTGGGCTACCCAAATTTTTATACTGGAATCTCATATAAAATGAATGTTCTTGAAATTCTAGGATGACCAGTCTGATACTAGTTCAAATAGTAGCGAGAAGTTGCGCAAACACCGCACCCGCATACAGGAAACTCCTTCAACCTCTGTGCTGCCATCTATTGGAGATGTATCAGAAGAGTCACGTATTGTAAATTCTGGGACCTCTAATGTGCAGTCCCAGAACCAGCCATTTTTTGTCTCACCTGTTAGTCCTGTCATCAGAGGAGGACTTAAACCCAGAAGTCAAAACACAGGAGGTATGCAACCATCATCCAGAGAAGTTAGTCCAGAAAAAGAGCTCCAGCTTAGACCTGGTAGCCCACGTGTTCGGGGTTTACTACAACTTAGCCCAAATGCAGGGAATATTTCCCAACCCATGGTTCCTAGCAAGGGAGGTATGTTAGAACCAAGAATTCCAGGAATGATGGGTATTCCTCAACCAGCAAGCCCTAGTGCCAGAGATACCCACCTTTCAAGTCCACTATCCCCAAGATCAAGTTCCACTGGTCAGATAACAACAAGAGCTCAAAAGCTGCTTCAAGTAATGGCAGGTAATAAATCTCTTTCAAGCCCTGTAAGAGAGGTGTCAAAAGAAACATTAAATCCTCAGATTTTGGGATCTCCACCACCCAGAGTTCAAAGAATGCTCCAACCATCAATGAAAGATCAAATTGAAATATCTCAAAGTGAGGCTGGATTTAATCAAAGTGAGGCTAGGTCAAACCAAAGTGAGGCTGTATGTCAAAGTGTCCCAGTGCCAAATGTAACAAGTGATGCAAGTGATTTCAATACATTGTCCACAACAGATAAACTTAACATTTTCATGTCTAAATCTCCAACTGCATCTGTTGAAAGTCCACCAAAGTCTGAGCCAAACACAAATAAACCATTAACTAGATCTGAAATCTTGAAACAAGTTTTATTAGAAAAAAGTGCTGTTAAATCTAAGCCATCTTCTGTTAGTTCTCAGCTGGATGTGGTTCAATTGAGTGCTCAACAAGCTGTTGTACAATCAAGTGTTTCACAAAATATGGCACAAAGGAGTGCGCAGGTGGGTGTTACCCAACTAGTCAACATGACTCCTTCTACTCAACTAACAGGCCATTCTAGTCATATATCATCTACATCATCCACTGGCGCTGGCGTCTCAGTAGCCCCATCGGAAAAACATGAACCCCCTGTTAAGACTAGCACTGAAACAGTTGCAAATCAAGATATCTCTCCATCCAATGTGATGTTGCACTGTGTGACATCATCAACACCACCACTAACCAAGGCTCGACCAGTTATAGGTGGGAAAGTTACAGCTAAATTGCCGAAACATCTTCAGAAACAACTCAAACAGGAAGAGATCTCAGGAAATGAATGGCAGCATATGCGAGAAGTGAGCTCATTCTCATCTGGATCTGATGGTGAAAAGATATATGGTGTTTCCTCGGGAAAAAGTAAACGAGCACATTTTTCTGATGAGGCAGAGGAACTGAGGTAGGTTATATAAGTAGTTGTGCTTGGTTGCTCGTTTAATTTCTCTGCGATTTCCTTTGTTATCTTTTTGTTTGTGGACTGATAAACATTTGATATCCCTTTAAAAAGATAGCATGGTCCAGGAAAGGCTAGGATATATTACTTTAACATTATTTTTTTTATTAATTGTACATAGTACAACTTTTTTTTTATTATTTATGTTTATTAAGATATTTATTTTTCAAGTTCTCCCTACCCTTTCCCTACTGAAGAGGAACTAAAAGCTTCAAAGCCCAGGAAATCTAACTTAAAATCCACTCCACAGCCTGCCACTGATCCCCACCAGAGTTCAGATAATGACCAAAATATCAGGTATGTTTTTTAAGTCTTTTCCAGTATTGTGGCATATAAGTGCCGATATAGGAGTTAAGATTATGTTGATTTTGATCTAGGTATTCTGACATATTAGCATGTAGGAAAATAAAATGGTTCATATGCTGAAAGTTGAGCTTGAGGGTAAGTCAGAAGAAAGTGTATTGGTTTGAAGTCAACTTAGAACCTGAAAATCTACTCAACAGAATTAATACATTGCTTTTTAAATTTATTTGGGCAAAGGGCAGATTCAAAGAGGAAGATCTAAAAAAGATTCCTGATAGAGTAAAACGGGACATCTTAGTTCAAAATTATAATAACGGTGGGTTAAAGATGATCAATGTTAAGGATATGCAAGTAGCTTTTGCTTTAAGATGGGTTTCAAAGTTAGTAGAAGGTGGAGTAGGTCATTGGCGAATTAGACCATGTTACATGTACAACATACTAGGAAGAGATTTTAGTGTTTTTAATAGTAATGTACCTTATGATAAAATCAAAGGAATCAATAACTGTAATGAATTTTATAAGAATGTTTTAGAATATTGGCTGAAATACAGCAATTCTTGTGATTCATCTATTATATGGAACAACCAGTACATAACTAGATTTAGAGAACCACTCCTTTTTGTTAACTGGATTAAGAAAGGTATAATTTATGTGACAGATGTTGTTAGAAACAGTAAACTGGCTACATATGATGAATTGTGTCAAAAGATTCATAGAAATGGCCAAAGTTTTTTAGAATATCAGGCCCTCAGAAATTCATTGTCTGATGAAATGATGCAAAGGTATGGAAATGTGTTGCCAAGTAAATCTTTAAAGTTTCGAGACATAGACTGCAAGATATTAAAAACCCAAACAATCAGAGAAAAACTTACCTTGGATAGAAAAATACCATTATATCATAACAATATCTCAATTGAAACAAATGTATGGAAATGTTTATATTCATGTACCAAAGATACGTCTTTGCTAACATTACAATGGAAGATATTTCACATTATTATATCACTATCTAGCTAGCGAAAGTATGATTGGTCAAAACCGGGTCACATGCCATATTTAATGATGATTTTAATGATGTCATTTCATATGTAAGCATCTGTTTTCAATGATGTCATGTTACATGTCAGCATCTGATTTTAATGATGTCATTTCACATGTCAGCATCTGATTTTAATGATGTCATTTCACATGTCAGCATCTGATTTTAAGGATGTCATTTTTGGCTCACACAGTGAGCCTATGGGATTGACCAGGCGTCCGTCCGTCCGTTGGTCCGTCCGTTGGTCCGTCCATCCGTCCTTCCGTTGGTCCGTCCGTCAACATTGGCCGCACAAATTAAAACTGCTATTCGGATTTCATTTTATGCATATCCATAATGCCTATTTGACCTATCAACGCCATTTCCCAAGTTCGCCCGGTTTCCGAGAAATTGCGGATTTTGACGTCAAAAAGTCAAATTTTCTGTAAATACTAGACACTTTGTTGAAGTAGAACTTTTAAATAACTTTTAGTAGTTGGTGTATATGCAACTTATGTCCTCTGAAGATTTCAAAACTCTTGGAATTACGGTTTTTGGTGTTTACTCTATAAAATTTGAAAAAAGTAGGAATTCATCATTTTCAGGAAGCTTTCTCATGTATAAAGTCAATGGCAGGTTTTGTGATTGACAAGATTCTTTACGTTTGCCTTATACTTGATCATTTCCAGCAATAAATTATATCATTAATAGATTTAAGCATTCCCTTCATATTTCTCAATATATATCAGCATCAAATTTTTACCGTTTTTGAGATATTTGACGTAAAAATACAGTAAAAATAAGTTATTTTTCAACTTGCTTCAATTTGACCAAATTTTTTTTTGAAAATCATCTACAAGTTGCCAGGAGTTCAAATCTGATTAGGATTAGGATTTGACCTTTTTTTGTCCTTCAGTGACCTTCAAAAGGTCAAAAAAGTTGATTTTTCAAATTGATTTTTGGATGTAAATTTTGGTCAGCTTAATCACAAAAGACCTTACTGAGCTCTGAATAAGTAAAATTTTCAAGGTCAAAGGTCTTCAAACTAGGTCACACAACTATGCTATCTAAGTTTCTCAAAGTTTGAGACTGGAAATCCAAATCAATATTTTTGTTTGAAAGTCAGGATATAAATTCCTCTGAAGGTTCCAAACTGTGTGAGCACAGGACCGTGGGTCCTTCATTTTAGTTTGTCAGCATCTGATTTTAATGATGTCATTTCACATGTCAGCATCTGATTTTAATGATGTCATTTTTTTTTAGTTTGTCAGCATCTGGCTTCTCCAGTGCAGAAGAAAACATTGCTGACAAATCTCCTAGGAATTCTACTGAGCCTGATGAGAGAAAGAGTTTCAGTATGCCTAAACTTGAGGTAAGACAATAAGCTAGTATGCCTAAACATGATGTAAGAGAATGAGCCAGTATGCCTAAACTTGAGGTAAGAAAATAAGCCAGTATGCCTAAACTTCAGGTAAGACACAGAGATCACGGTAGACGTTCGCCATTTGCCAATTGCGAATTTTCAAAAGAGGTGGCGAAAAATATGTAAAGGTATTTCGCAGTTATGGCGAATTAGAGGTGTCACGGTTTCCCGATATTGGACCGAATTTCGGTCCAGATGCTTCGGTTCGGGACATGGGACAGAAAGGGTTAATATCGGTACATAGATTCCTTCACTAAAATGCATAAAAACGTGTATAAATAGCGAGGAACACCTCCGATTTCGTTCTGAAATATTTTCACTTACCTCGTACCTAGATTACACTTCTTTGCATTGAAAAGTGTTATTAACGGACCCGCGATTTCAGGTAGATGGTAATGCTTGTTCGTAAATTTCTTCATCGTCGTTCGCAAATCTAGTGCATTATCAGTATGCCGGATATAGGAAAGAAATTGAGAAATCGAGCCGGCATCTAAGTCGAAAAAGTCGGCAGTTTGGAAGTATTTTGGGACTCCGATATCACAAGGTAAACGAATTGGTAATATTACACCGTGCAGACTATGTGAAATGCCGATCACATTCGCGGCAGATGCTTTACATTCAATTTTAATGGACGTTTTTTTATTCCTGAATATGATTTTGAAAAGTGAAACTGAAAGTGAAACTGTCATCATCAGACATTTCATCATTTTTAATGTTCTGTCCCGTCCCGTCCCGAAAGTAACGTGTTGAGACCATTTGTACCATTCCGTACCGTACCGAAATTTTCTTGGACCGTGACACCTCTATTGCGAATTCCCTTTTTTACGGTTTTTCAAAATGGCTAATTCATATTTTGGTTGGCTAAAAATATTTTGGAAGATTTAGCCACAATGGCTAACAAGTTTTTTCAACTATCGTGATCTCTGACAATAAGCTAATATGGCTAAAGTTTACACAGAAGGTCTGCAGAAGTTGAATGCAATATTTAATACCTACAGGCAGAAATTGAATGTGATATTTTTTATATTTACAGGCAGGTCTACAGAGGTTAAATGTGATATTTTATATTTACAGACAGATCTACAGAAGTTGAATATGATATTTTATATTTACAGCCAGGTCTACAGAAGTTGAATGTGATATTCTATATTTACAGCCACTCTACAAAAGGTGAATGTGATATTTTATATTTACAGGCAGGTCTACAAAAGGTGAATGTGATATTTTTTTATATTTACAGGCAGGTCTACAGAAGTTGAATGTGATATTTTATATTTTCAACCAGATCTACAGAAGTTGAATGTGATATTTTTTATATTTACAGGCAGGTCTACAGAAGATGAATGTGATGCAAAAGAATGATGATGCTCTTGTGTTGACAGATATGCCCCTCAATCCAATCAGCAGGTTCAATGTACTGGCAGACATGGTCACTGAGGTACGACATTTCATTTATTTTTGAATTATTATTTTACATATATACAATATATATTTATATACTCAAACATGCAATTAATTACTGAGTGAGCCGACTGGCCAAGCAAGTTAAAGACAATAGTAACTTAGAGCTTCTAGGTCATATATACTATGTTCTTTCAGGTTCAAAGAATCACAAGTTCCATTTTTAGATTTGGATATTCTATATATTTGGTAATTCTGTGATTTTGTTTGGTTGAAAAAAATCTTAATGACAGTTTAGCTATTAATTTGAGAAAATATTTCTATCAAATGATCACCACATGTTAGCCTAATACTACTACTGTATGTACAATGTACACTTTTGATATGTTTTTCAGACCCTCACAAAGAATGACATCAATGTAGTATGGGACATCCAAGCTAGGATCTGGCCATATATACGACGTATGAGTGATATTGTGGCAATCGCCCCCAAGAAGTCAGGGAAAACCGTAGGATATATTGCTCAGGTTTTGACGAATTTAACCAATGATGTGATGTATGAGAGATTAAAGCCAGGATATGGGGTGAGTATGAAATGTCCGTATCTTAATGTAAAATATACAGTGCATGATAAGATAAATCAAAATGTCAGAAATCTACAGAACACTGTGATTGAGTCTATAGTTTTTCTTTTTTGCTGAATGAAATTACTAGTTGAAACATTGTAATGCATAAAGCACATTTCACCATCCACCACTAGATTCTTTGACATTTGTTGGATCTTACTTGATATAAATTTGAATATATGTTTGGATGCGCTTGGAAATGTCTGTAACATAGAATAGACCATAGTGTTGCTAATTCTTCGTCATAAGATACTCTAGCTATTCTACTCATACACTGGTTCTGGAAATCCTGATCCTTCCATTTTCTCTTCATAAAGTTTGTCAAATTGTTCACTCTGGGCAACAGTGAACTGATTTTTCCAGTCATCAATCTTGCCTGAAATTGTACAAACAAAAAATTTCAATCGCTGACAATATATGAGACAGGCCACAGGAAAAGGGGTCTTATCACAGATTTTTTCAATATTCTGATTTTTTCTGATCTTAAAAAGCATAAAGAGACCTTCCAAATGAGCCATGGCTTATGTCTTAACAATTTTTTTCATTTACATATATAGACCAAAAAGTTGAATTTGAATTTAGCACATTTTCCTCTTAATCTTGGGCACATTTTGGCTCTGTGGCACAAATTAAATTTTTGTGATATGACCAGTTTTGCTATGGCCAGGCTCATATTCATTTTGAAATCTAGGAGTTGGTCAGTGTAATATAAATGAACACCCAACAATAGAAAGAATGGCAGTACCAACTGAACCTATGATCATAATTAAGAATGTTATCAAAATCATTTATTTTTTGAAATAAAGTCAATTTTTTGTAGAACTAAATCCATATTAACCCTAATAACCCTAAACTTCTGATAATTGAAAGTCAAACTTAATGTCGGTAAGATAATCCAGTCTTCCAAACATCTAATGTTTCTTCTCTGTTTTAAACTGCCAGTAATTTGAAGAAAAAGTACTAATAATTTACCTTTACGCATATGGAAATTACCTTTACGCATATGGCCTGGTGAGTCCTTTAATGCTGCTATACCTTTGAAAATGTTTGAAAATGCTGGATTCTTTTTGCATTCCTCAAAATCTATATATTTCACAATCTTTGTAATTTGGTCTTCAGTCAGAGTTCTTCCAAAGAAATCTGCTAACTCTTTGATGACTCTTCTACCATCCTTTAATAAAGAATGATCTGTTAACTGGTTGTAGAGTAATCAATATTTGATCAATCACTTGATCAATTACTTTGTGGTTTCTGGTAAAACAAGGGTAGCAAATAGGTTTTGTACTCGCTTCATGCCACTTGGTTTATATGAATACTGGATATTAAGTAAACTCTGCAAAATGCTTATAGCTATTATTGACTCAGAGTTGAGGAAGTTGAAATAGCTTTACTTTGAACATTGACTCATTGTCTAGAAAGTAAATGGCTTTACTTTGAACACTACTTCATAGTTGGAAGTAAATAGCTTTAACTTGAACACCAAGTCAAAGGAAATAAATGCCTTAACCTTGCAGTCTTATATTTGAGAAAGTAATGGCTTTATCTTGAACATTGACTCAAAGTTTGGCAAGAAAATGACTTTACGTTGAACATTGCCTCATAATTGAAAAAGTAAATGGCTTTACCTTAAACATTGCCTCATAGTTGAAGAAGTAAATGGCTTTACCTTGAATATTGCCTCATAGTTGAGAAAGTAATGGGTTTATCTTGAACATTGACTCAAAGTTTGGCAAGAAAATGACTTTACGTTGAACATTGCCTCATAATTGAAAAAGTAAATGGCTTTACCTTAAACATTGCCTCATAGTTGAGGAAGTAAATGGCTTTACCTTGAATATTGCCTCATAGTTGAGAAAGTAATGGCTTTATCTTGAACATTGACTCAAAGTTTGGCAAGAAAATGACTTTACGTTGAACATTGCCTCATAATTGAAAAAGTAAATGGCTTTACCTTAAACATTGCCTCATAGTTGAGGAAGTAAATAGCTTTACCTTGAATATTGCCTCATAGTTGAGAAAGTTAATGGCTTTATCTTGAACATTGACTCAAAGTTTGGCAAGAAAATGACTTTACGTTGAACATTGCCTCATAATTGATAAAGTAAATGGCTTTACCTTAAACATTGCCTCATAGTTGAGGAAGTAAATGGCTTTACCGTGAATATTTCCTCATAGTTGAGAAAGTTAATGGCTTTACCTTGAATATTGCCTCATAGTTGAGAAAGTAATGGGTTTATCTTGAACATTGACTCAAAGTTTGGCAAGAAAATGACTTTACGTTGAACATTGCCTCATAATTGAAAAAGTAAATGGCTTTACCTTAAACATTGCCTCATAGTTGAGGAAGTAAATGGCTTTACCTTGAATATTGCCTCATAGTTGAGAAAGTAATGGCTTTATCTTGAACATTGACTCAAAGTTTGGCAAGAAAATGACTTTACGTTGAACATTGCCTCATAATTGAAAAAGTAAATGGCTTTACCTTAAACATTGCCTCATAGTTGAGGAAGTAAATAGCTTGACCTTGAATATTGCCTCATAGTTGAGAAAGTTAATGGCTTTATCTTTAACATTGACTCAAAGTTTGGCAAGAAAATGACTTTACGTTGAACATTGCCTCATAATTGATAAAGTAAATGGCTTTACCTTAAACATTGCCTCATAGTTGAGGAAGTAAATGGCTTTACCGTGAATATTTCCTCATAGTTGAGAAAGTTAATGGCTTTACCTTGAACATTGACTCAAAGTTTGGCAAGTGAATGACTTTACATTGAACATTGCCTCATAATTGAAAAAGTAAATGGCTTTACCTTAAACATTGCCTCATAGTTGAGGAAGTTAATGGCTTTACCTTGAACATTGCTTCATAGTTGAGGAAGTAAATGGCTTTACCTTGAATATTGCTTCATAGTTGAGGAAGTAAATGGCTTTACCTTAAACATTGCCTCATAGTTGAGGAAGTAAATGGCTTTACCTTGAACATTGCTTCATAGTTGAGGAAATAAATGGCTTTACCTTGAAGTAAATGGCTTTACCTTGAATATTGCCTCATATTAGAGAAAGTTAATGGCTTTACCTTGAACATTGCTTCATAGTTGAGGAAGTAAATGGCTTTACCTTGACGTAAATGGCTTTACCTTGAATATTGCCTCATAGTTGAGAAAGTTAATGGCTTTACCTTGAACATTGCCTCATAGTTGAGAAAGTTAATGGCTTTACCTTGAACATTGCTTCATAGTTGAGGAAGTAAACGGCTTTACCTTGAAGTAAATGGCTTTACCTTGAACATTGCCTCATAGTTGAGGAAGTAAATGGCTTTACCTTGAACATTCCCTCATAGTTGAGGAAGTAAACATCAAGTTGATCCCTGTGTTCCCACCAGGTGAGATAGAAGTCAAACCAGCTGCTTAAAATCACTCAAAGAAAAATAATATAAAAATAATTATAAAACACCAAATAATGGGAAACTCTCTGAGAATCTAACTCAAAGTTTTCTTCCAAATAAGAAGTTGTTTAATCCAGTAGCCAATTTATCTGCATGATTTTTCAAAATAGAAATGTATTTGTGGACTAAATTGAATTCTTTCACAATTTCAATGTTAACATAGTAACAAATTACATGTACATTAAATATTTTGTTGCTCATGTAAAACATGTTATATAGGGATTGGTACTCCAACTTACTTAGGATGCAATCTGCAAATTCATTATATTAGTAATGATATGTAATATTATGAAATAAACTACAGTAACTATAAATGTTGCCATTTTATAAATGAGTAACTGTAAACAATACTCAACATACTATGTTCACTCTCCCCTGATATGACAGCAGCAAAGAAGTCCTCCCATATTATATCTGGGAAATGAGCAGACATCCCATCCTTTAATGTTTTATACAAGCTCAAATATGTTGATTTGGGGTTCCTTGTTTGCACTATAATCTAGATCAAAGATAGTAACAATGCATTTTGTGATTACATGTAGAGAAATCTATGTGAATTATTTTATTCGGATTACAGATTCAGATTCAATTCAGTTTATTCAATTCAAAATTCTATCATACAATATTTCATAAATAACATGAAAAAGACACCCCAATGGGCGTATATATTCCATGGGTCATGGGTTCTTCAGAATGACAGACATTTTGGGAATTAATGAGAGCTTCGGAATTATAAGGCCCACGTATTGTTGATAAAGGGACCACTGAAAAGTCTAACTTTAATTAAGTAAGACTTTTGGAGATATAATGAAAGGGCCTTGTAACAATAAATCCCAGTACATGATTGCTTTTTGCCTTTAATCACTCTATTTCAATTTTTAAGATTAATACCATTTCAAAAATAACCTATAAATGTGAGATTAAATAATTGAAATTAACACAACAAAATGCCACCACGATATGGAAGTGGGTAACAATTGTTATATGTTGAATACCAAGAGCTGAATGCCAGTCTTAAAGAAAAGTGGCTATAATAATATCTCGATATAATATCTCGATATTCTGTATTGGCACTCGACTTCGTCTCGTTCCAATACAGAATTTCTTGAACAGAATATATCCTGTATTGCACTTCAAATCATTCAATAACATTTTTATCGTGTGATCCTCTGTATTGCTACTGAGATTGTCCCCGCCTCCGTACCAATATTTTCTGTATTGCTTTGGAGATGATCAACAGGGACAATCTCAGTAGCAATACAGATTGGTACAGCACAAGAACTGACCAATCAGAAGTCTTCAATTTACAGATCATATGATAATGCTAAATCTTTCTTACCTTACATTTTCTCTGTCTTACACCATAAGGAGCATATTCGTAGAGACCATGTGTTTTGAAGATTCTAGGTGGCTTCCTATTGGTCAACCAAGGTATTGGACTCTCTCCATGATCATATGGCCCAAGTTTGCCAGGAACAAAAACTAAAAATCAAAGTAAAGTTTAGTATAAATATGAGAATTATTCAGACAGGTTTACAGGGGACTCAAATAAAAAGTCTCACAATGGGTCACAGTAGAAGTTTCAAAGTGATATAAACTTTCTGCCAAGTTCTTAACTTTAAAATTGCAATAAATGATGAAGTATATACAGTACATATCGGTAATATTTTACTGTCTTAGTTTAACCTTTATTCTACAGTCTCATCCAAATAAGTGGAGATGTACCTCAATATAAATGTTGGACAATTTATTTGTATATAAACATCAATATTACCATCTCTGCTTAATAAAAGATGGCTCTGTCGGTCATGCACAGATGTTTTGTACATGTACTCTATATCTGCATTGTTAAGCACTAACTGTACCATTTCTAGACCAATAAAGGTTCCTGAAAGTAAATAAAAGTGAAGATTTCTTCCTCTTTTGATTATTTTTATGTTACTACAACCACCAAGATGTCTTTATCAGTGATCAGCATTCAGCCCTTGTTATATGGTAATTGTTGTTACACTTGGTCAACTTAACAAATAATCTTCAGATTAAACATTTACTGTCATAGATAAAAGGGAACAATGCTCCAGACCCTTGACATACTGAGCTGTGTTTTCAGAGGTAGTTTCATTTCAGTGGTTTTTAAAAATTACCAAACATAATGTTCAATGGTCACAAAGAGGAATTTTTTCAAAACTTTTGTTTAATCCCCTCAATTAATATCCAAAGGTATTTTATACTACAAGTTATATGAATGCAATGCTAATGTAGACAAATACATATTCCAGATATGTACCAAAGGTTTTCAGTGAACATCGTTTTGCCTTAATAAACAACATTGTATAAGAAAAGTACATTTATATATTCAAATCTATCCTATAATGCAGGTACAGCATATCATTTGTACTCATTTGCATTCTTGTTTGCTGTGGGAAGTAGCATCAGCTGGAAGTGTCAGTTCCTTTAAGCATGTCACCACCTTGAAAGTGATGACATATTGTTATGCTCTTCATTTTAACTTCACAGTAACTTCCAGTTACTTTACAAATACTGTTTAGACTGACCTCAATTTGAGTTTTGACCTTCAATGACCTTCTCAAGGTCAAAAAGGTATTTTTTCAACTTGCTTCAATTTGACCAAATTCTTTTTTCAAAATTATCTACAAGTTCTTAAAAATTCAAATCTGACCATAGGTTTGAGATTTGACCTTCAATGACCTTCTCAGGGTAAAAAAGGTATTTTTTCAACTTGCTTCAATCTTCAAATCTGACTATAGATTTGAGATTTCACCTTTAATGACCTTCTCAGGGTCAAAAACCTGCTTCAAATTGACCAATATTTTTCCAAAATCATCTACAAGTTCTCAGAAATTCAAATCTGACTTAGAAAAATAAAAATAAAAAATAAAAAACATTATTTTGAGCAACTAGGTGGTGACATTTTGTCATGTTAATGCCTTGTTTTACATTACACAGACCTACGATATACTGGAGTTCGATTCTGAACTTTTCCGTGTGAATAATTAAGGATAGGACAACTACGAGGGTTGTCCCAGAAGTAATGCACTATATGCTCTAACTTTATCAATAATTTATATTTTTCCATGAAATTTTCAGTAAATGTTCCTTAGAGACATTTTGATTACTCTGAAAAATTTCATGTTGACTGATAAAACTATATTGATGTTATAATAAAATCAAGTTGGTGAGTTTGGGTAGGGCGGGGCAGGTTATACAGTCACGTCAAAAGGAATAAAAAATTGAAAATAAGAAATAATTAATCAACAAATACCATTTTATGAAGCTATAAGAAGTATGCTCAAAAATACATTTTTGAGATACTTAATTACTATGAGCACATCCTAGATTTAATGGATGTATATTGCACAGTGTCCCATTTCACATTTTCTCAAAATATTGCCCTTTGCATGTTATGCACTTTTGATGCCTGTCCGGTCAAACGCTCTTGGCAATTTCTTCCACTGTGACTTGTGGAGTTTTTGCCTCTCATGTTTAGAGTCGTCATCCAGGGTCAAATAGTCTCTTTTAAATCTATTCTGCCACCCCATAATTGTAGTTCTATCTGGTATATACTCCTTATATGCTTTCTTCATGTTTTGCATGGCTGTGAGTCCAAGTGAAGTATGAAATTAGGCCACCAAACGCAATGCCTTCTGTTATCAGGTAAGAATTGCAGCCATTTTTGCAATTTATTGACTGTGACTGTATTTGAATCTGTGACTATTGAAATGTGGTATTATGATATCACAGTGCTAAATGTCATTATTTGTACTTGGTTAACATCATGTTGAATAAATTTAACAATTTCGCAAACATTTTGACCATTTGAAGGAAAGAAATATTAATAAAATAACACTTTAGATCTTTCCATAATTAGAAAAATTGGTGCCTGCCCCGCCCACCCCTACCCCCATGTTGTTATAGCAACCATATTGAGACTTAATATTAATGTTTGATGCTGAAACTTCAGGATATAATAGATTAAACTTCAATTGTTATATATACAAAATTTCAGCTGAATTGAAGAATATTAAAGAAAGTTAGAGCATATAGTGCATTACTTCTGGGACAACCCTCGTATATGGAAAAAGTTTATAAACTGATTTTGAATTATTCCCTTAACTTGTCCTCACATAGGACATTGTCTTCTGTGTTTAACGTTGCAAACTAGAACGTTTTGGATAATGACCATCTGAACGCCTGTGTGTGCAAATCGAGATTGGTCACTTATATTCTTGAAAAAAATTGTAAAGCCCTTGAGAAAATTACTTCTTTTTCATTAATATTGGGAGATATATAGAATGTCGTGTATGAGCATGGAGCTATTGAAATTGGGTTTCTAAATCATCAACATTCATTATATAATATAGAACTTGCACTCTGCTATATTATTTTGATAAATTGATAAATTTACTACAGGTAAATAGGTGTCCTAGAAATATACAGAAAAATCTTAAAATTGCAGAAAAGTTTAGAATTGGCCTTATCGTAAATATGCGACAAAACTGTTTGTTTTGTTTAACAAAATTAGCAACTGAATTTACGACATGGAAAAGTTCAGAATACTGACACAGACACATAAACATGTAGATTTGAAAATTATCAATTTAGATTTGATGAACACCTGAAGCCAGCAATGTCAAAAATTCAAAAAAATTATCATTTTTAAATCACAAGAAATTACTTGAATTTAGATATGTATATTATGAATAGAGCACAGAAAATCAAACTTTGCATTGATGAGAATTTGGAAAAATATAAAAATTGGGACATTTTCTGTGGATAAAATAATGACAAAATTGTTGTCAGTTGAGAAAAAATCCCAGTTTGTACAGGGACTGAGTTAAAATTTGTTTTTCACCTGATCTCATGTACCCAGAGAAGTAGACATCATCTTTGTAGATTTCCAGGTTTCTTAGTTTGTCAGTGAACATATCAGGATGCCACATACCAGAAAACATTGCACGTCCATCCTGGTATCTCAACCTCTTGGCTTTCTCCAGCAATCTCTCAGCCATTTTTACCTGAGTACAGTTGATTTCTGAGAAGACAGTTATATACATGTATATTATTCATTGGCGTTCTGTGAACTGCAATGTAGCAACAGGCTTATGTTGAATGATGGGGGATGATTGCTTGGCCTATATCTGAGCTACATGTACTGAAAAACACTTATTTCACCCTATTCAAAGTGAGCGTATCTAATCCAAATGGCTGTGGTAAAGAAGAGAAACGACAACAAAAATCAAAAAATTAAAAAAGAATTGCAACATTGAACTGAGCTGACCTCATTCCCTAGACATTTCACACCACATTGTGAAATATTGCAGGCTATTTAAATTGTATCTTTAAACAATTGTTCCGTCAGAACTGCACATTTTATTTGATCATAGTGTCTTGCCTTAACCACAACCTTTCGAATTTGATACGCTCACTTAGCATAGGGTGTATTTTGAACCATAGCAGCCAGCTTTGCAAATGACTTTAGTGCTACCTTGGCAAATTATATGTTATAGCAGCCACATTTCGGACAACCATCACATTTTCATAATTGCCAAGTAACCAGCCACACTAAACTAAGGAATATTAAGAATATGCAGGCTGTCTTCAAAATCTAAAGAAAACTGTGCGATGCATTATTTATGATTTTTTTTTATTTATGTTATTTTTTTTTATTTATTTACAAAAGCAAAAGTAAAAAATACAAATTAAAGTGGATTACACCCTATTGGAAATATGCATGATCATGAGTATGTGATGTCAATTAGCAATAGAGTGTTAATCTTTATTTTGCCTGAAATTAAAAAAAAACTACTAGTGTGGATGCTATTAAATGTGACATGTAACAATTTCAGCCCAAGGTCCTTATTCTGTCAAGCTCTTGGAAGACAGCTCAGTCGATTTATGATGTGTGTCGGGAGATCATAAGCCACGACCAGCCTCGTCGTGATAGTAAAGGGAAACCTGTTAAGAAGCTAGAGACAATAGTCATTTATGGAGGAGGATCAGAGACCCATCAAGCGGTATGGTTGTTTTTATTGTATGTCTCCACTAAATAGTGTAGGGCTGTAAATTGATTGCCATTTTTCATCTCTTCAAACATTTCATTCTGTTTGCCCTTGAGTCTTGAGAATGAAATTATTCATTTGAAATTCACACTCATTTGAGATTTTTGTTTGGCTGTTTTTATAGTCTCAGCCATGGATCTAACAAGAATTTTATTACTTGGGAAACATATTTATTTTTAATGAAATAATGAATTACAAAAGTTATGGAAATTGATTGATTGTAATATTGAAGATTTTTTTTTTGTAAAATTTATTTTATTTCAGTTTGACTTCTTACATTTTACATTTTAAAGCAACCTCTCTCAAAATATTGAAGATGTATATTAACATTTCTGTTAATACAATACTTAATTCAATAAAGGTGACAAAAATGAGCAATGGTTTGACCAAGATTCTGCGGTTGACTTTTCAGTTTACGTTTTAACTACCTTAATCAATGGATTTGAATGGTTAATCACATGACTGCAGCTGACCAATGAGAACATTTTCTTTGTTATTAGATCCCTCTGTTGAATGGTTGTGACATCCTTATTGCTACTCCACATTCACTGCTACGTGTGTTGGAGAAGAAATATACCAACTTCGATAGAGTTTGCCACTTGGTAAGTAATACCACTTTATTTTTATTATTTTATATATATTAGTATTTGTAAATGCTAAAGAATTTTTATCCCATCGAATGAAGTTCGGAGGGATATAAGGAACACCTCCATCCGTCTGTCCGTCCGTCCGTCTGTCCGTCCATCAGTCTGTCCATCCGTCCATGTAGATATTAAAGAAGCACATGGCAGCCATCTTGAAAAATGGCGGCCTTTACTCATTATTTTATGATTTTTGCTGTAACTCGAAAAGTAGTGGAGCGATTTTGTTCATATTTGGTATGTGAATACTACAAGCATGGCACACTGTCTAATGACACTTTTGGTAGAAGGCAGCCATTTTGAAAAATGGCTGTCATTTTAATGTATTTTACTATAACCTGAAAAGTAGTGGAGCGATTTTGTTCATTTTTGGTATGTGAATACTGTAAGCATGGCACACTGTCTAATGACACTTTTGGTAGAAGGCGGCTATTTTGAAAAATAGCCGCCAGCTTTATGTATTTTATTATAACTTGAAAAGTAGTGGAGCGATTTTGTTCATATTTGGTATGTGAATACTATAAGCATGGCACACTCTCTAATGACACATTTGGTAGAAGGTGGCCATTTTGAAAAATGGCTGCCATTTTTGTTATATACTTTGTTTGTAAAAATGCCAGCCATAGCTGTTCGATGGGATTTGCTACGCTTAGGCATTGCTGTTGTCTAGTTGTACTTAACACTATTTTTGCACCATTACACCCAGTATATTTGAGACGTTCTGACCTCTCATGGGATTTCCTTGATATCCCAGATGTCCAATGATTGATATCATATTTTATTATTTGACTCATATTTCTAGATACTTGACGATGGTGATATCCTAACTGGACAGATGACAGAACAGATCAAGCTGATAATGCGGAAATACATGATGTTGATGAAAGAACGATGTAAACAATCCTTGCCCCAACAAACCATTGTGATGTCATCAAAATGGACAACAGGAATCCAGTCGTTTGTGAGAGCATACACACCAGAGGCTCCCGTTCTGATAACATGCAAGTTTGAGGCGGCCATTTTTGGAGGAGTCAAACAGGTGAGTCCTTATAAGTGATCACGTACAGGAGACATTGTTTTTTTATATGTTTTTGTCTTCATTATCTACAGTTAATTTTTGGAAACATTTTGCTGTTACTCTCAACTTACTCTTTTTATTTAATTAACTCATCTAAATAGTTCATGGTAATTTCTACATTTTTGTGAATTACATCAAAGTGTGATACAAATATATAAATTGTACACGACTGTTTGAATACATCAACTGTGTTACTTAAATCACAAAATAGTACATGCGAATGATATAAGATGTCACATGTTGTGTTCTACTTGTTTCCAATAAAAAATATGATGTACAAATATATAAGTTGTACACAACTGTTTGAATATGATGTTTATCCAAGGAGTTATGGGGCACACATAAATTTCCAACATCACCCAATATGTCCATAAAACAGGCAGTCAAACCAAAGTCATATGGACATGACTATGCAAAATGATATTGAAAGATGTATTGTTCAGATTAAATGTAATTGTGTAAGTATAATTCTCCAACATAAAGCTTTCTATCAGAATGATTGCAATGAATGTCACTTATGTGATGCTTGTGAAGCCATCTCAAATGTTTTCTTGTCCATTCCTATAAGACCCAGTCCCCCATCATGTACCAAGCAATGCCCATTTATCATGGATGCATCTTCAGAGGCAAGATACACAATCATCTTTGCTAGTTCTTCTGCTGTTCCATTCTTGTTAAGAGGACACAATGTTTTCATCATGTTACCTAAAGTAGAAAATCACAGTGGGTGATATTAGAAAATGTGTTAAGATCAACAGTATGATTTTGCCAATTGTAATAGACAAATAGGCGATGGACGAAAACATGGTCATTATTCTCATTAACATAAATGTCTCCCACAATGCATCGCTTAAAGTGGGACAAATTTTCATTAGTCCATTGATTAAACCAAATTCTCCCAATCTTAAAACTATGTTTTGCATATTGTTGGGGTTATAAAGTTTATGTTAATATCAAATTACAACCCTCACAATTGATACAAGTCAAACATATATACATGTATTCAAGCCCACGTTATAAACATGAAAGCTTGCTTCTTGTTTCATATCGAGTCATCGGGTCTTGGCTTTGGGAATGAATCTGGTGACGTCACGATAAAACATTTCATGATTATCGTCAGTTTCGAAAAATATTCGTGAAAATACTTTGCAGTTTGTCATAATGACATATATTTTTTATTGATCGTGCAAATATAAGTGAAGAAGAATGTCAAATAAAGCGGAATTGATGTGTTCAAAATTGTACCCTGTATATCATTTTAAAGCTTATCCAAAGTTACATTGAATTGGCAAGTATCATCATTCAATTCACAAATGTAAAAAAGTTACAGGCATTTCAAAATTTAGTGTTCGGCCAAAATTGAAGTTCAGTTCAGTATCCTTGAAACAGCCTTGGTCTGATGTGACTATGGGTGCTTTAAATTTTGAAATGCCTTTAAGTTTTTCCAATTTGTGAGTTGAACCATGATATTTGGTAAATCAGTGTAACTTTCAATAAGCTTTAAAATGATATATGATATATACTATGGAGACATCGGTATATGTCTGTCTAGGGGGTCCGATACTTTCGGTGTATAGAAACACTGGATTAAGATAATAGTTTTCTTTGGACCTCCTTTCAGGTATAAAAGGATAAATAATACCAATTTTATCAAACAATTATAAGTCCTTAATCTATTGTTTTTTCCACATAGTTAAATTGCATCATCTTGAAGTTCAAGATTAAAAGAAATTGCAAGCGTATAAAGAAGAAAATTTGAAACATTGCTGAAAAATGCAAGACACTAGCTTTGCTCCTTAATTGTTACAGCAAATAATTTCTAAATTAAAGTTACCAAAATCCTCCACCTCATCTTCTGTAACAGCCATTCCAGAGCCGCTGATTATATTTGTTGGAATGTAGCCAGGGTTAATGGCATTTACACGAACTCCTTTACGGCCATATTCCAATGCGGCACACTTTGTAAACATGTCAAGTCCTGCTTTTGCAACACTGTAGTATGGGCATCCCGATTCAGGCCGGATGCTTGAAATACTTGATACACTCACAATATTTCCCTTGCATTTTTCAAGCACAGGGAAACACATTTGTGACAGATGTATCGGTGCCCTCAAAAGCACATTGATTTGCGAATCCAAAGCTTTAACATTACCAGGTATAAGTTCATCGGGAACTGCAATACCAGCGTTATTTACAAGTACATCAAGTCGTCCAAATTGGTCCTTTACCGTATCCACGATCTTGTCTAGAACTTTATCATTGTCTATGTCACCTAAAACAGTTGGAAATTTGGCATTTTGTTCGCCAATCCCTTTGCATTCATCTACAACTTCTTGGACCCTAACTTTATTACGCCCATGGAGAAGGACATTAGCCCCACGCTTTGCAAACAACAAAGCAGTTGCTTTTCCAATGCCGCTACTAGAGCCTGTCACCACAACACATTTATGAGCAAAAGCCATTTCTTCTAGTTTTTGGTATGATCAAGTGTGCATTTGTACAGATATCATTCTATTGAAATCACCACAAGAGCTATGTACGAGACTACTTATGACTACTTGTACATTAAAATGGTAAATTTGTTTGCATTCACAGATTAAAAAAAAGTTGAAATAGGTATATTATGGGATCTCAGATTATCAATAAATACTGACAGCATATCTGCAGGTCACCAAGTCGATAACACATTCTGAGTTAGGCCTACCTTACATTCATTTATTACACGCAGACACACTTCAACTTGCTTATCACTTGTTGTATACATTACTCTAGATTCAGATAAACATAACACTTGAATGAAAGAAAAGCAATAGGCTCGTGGCCACAGTTTATTTCAATATGATGTAATTTTTATGATCACATTTTCATAACATAATACATGAAAGAAATCGGTGTTAAAACCTTATAATGGCACTTATACTATAAAATATAACATGTTAATATTTTTTTCTTAAAGTTCTTTGGACACCATTAGAACCTCCAAATTTTTAGGCTCTCTTATCTGGAGGCCTAAAAGGTATGCAGCAAGTCCTCAACCTATCAAATGTTGTGAAACTGATAAGAATAAAAATTTAATATAATTGATGGACTTTATCTTGTGGTGCAAAAAGGAAAAATAGAAATATAAACCTAACAGCCTTATTAACCTGACATCAAACATCTATTGAGTGAAATCTTGTAAGATTTAATTGACTAAACATGGACTACATCCCACAAACTATAGCAGTTATTTATTTTCTGAATTCATCAACTAGACTGAATATAGATTACAACTATTGTTGGTATTTTTGTAATATAGTTATATACTATTGATATTTGCATGGTTTTATGCAACATATGAACTTGATAGGGAGTTGAAAGGTTTCTCATTCCATATTTAACCTCAATATACTTGATATGAATTTGTTTTTTTTTGTGAACATTGACTTTTATCCCGAACCAGAAATAACTCTCTGATCTTTTGTCAAATGCTCCATGGGAAAAAGTCCTAGACTTAAATGGATCAAATATGCTATATGTACAGGGTGTCCAAATACGTTGAACCACCCAGAATTGTAATAATTGTAATCAATTTTCTATTTCACTTCAGTTTGATTAATATGATTACAACTGTGGTGAAGTCTGTTTTTTTATCAACCTGTATTATGTTTAAGAACTCAGTAGTTGCTCTCCAGGGCTCATGTCTCTAATAAATTGTCCTTCAACATCAAACAGTTTCTTTTTTGCATCACCATACAACAGAACCACAATATCAGTACTCAAAACAGCATGCCATACTGACTCACTCTCAAGTAGCTGCTTCTTAACATGCAACTTCTCATCACATAATACTGCCTCACATGGGCCATGTTTTCTCTTTATGACCACAAACTTATCATTATCAAGAAGGTTTGTTTCCCAATCTAACTTATAGAAAACGGGTTCGCCCTTAGGAATGATTGAATTTGGGTCGGGTTCAGTTATAACTAGAGGGCTGTCAGTCACATCAACAGCAGCAGGACTATCATTCTCCTCAGGAGCTTGATACTCATAACCAGAGAAGGAAGGCTTATCATACTTCAAAGGAGAGGACAACATTGATTTCTCGCTAGTTAAATTCTCAGTGGCATGATGAACGACACCAGGAAATGAATGTGAGCGGATGGTCAAGTTAGGCCGGTCAGACTTTGGAACTTTCAGTGCGGAAATGGGTACATCTTGTTTATCATTGAATTGATCAACACTAGTAGTACCAACTTCATTTGAAGAAATCTCAACTTCTGTGCTGTTTGAAGTTGAGTTTTCATCAACAAAATACATTTTGCTCAATGCACAAGCCAATTCAGAGATTTCCTCCACAAGTGCTGAATCTTTATAAATTCTTCCATTAGCTAAATGCAGTTTCAGGTTATATACTGTTTGAACTAGAGTTTGACGACTGAGTTCTTCGTCAACAGATTCAGCAATGTGAGGGTAATCTTTCTTTAATACATCAACAAAAACATCAAATGCATTACTGTCCCTGTATTTGAGTTTATCTAAGAGCTCGCGCATTTGTTCATGTCTTGTTTGTTTTGACAAGATTTCATCTTTCATCTCATCTGTGAAAACTCTGTTTTGGTAGAGGACATCCATAAGATGTTTTGCATCAACCTCTTCTACAATGTGAGCATGGAGGGATTTCAGCGTTTCTTTATGGGCAGGGGACATATGACCAACTGGCACTGGTGATATGGGAGAGGTGACTTCTATAGCCCCATTAACTGCAGACTGTTTTCTTTGCATTTTCTTTGTATCTGGAATTAACATTTGAGAGTTATATGACCTAAGATATAAGCAAATGTTTGAGTTCGCTTTGAGCAAGTGTCTATGATTCAAATTTAGCAAATATTTTGAAATTTGAAATGTAGAATTGCTTTTCCTTAAACATTTTATCTGATACACCATATCTGCTTTGAGCAGTTGAGTACTTCGAGTGTACAAAAACCATGCAAAGTTGTGCATACTGTTATCTTGAGTCAAGGTAACCTAGACCCACTATTTTAAATAGCCATTTGTTTCTAGTTAAATATTAATCAAAACACTTCAATGGGTAAACTACTTCAAACTGAACTTATTTAAACAAGCATTTTTATTTTCAAACTTGTTGTTCATATTTTTTTAAACTTCACAAGCTGGGTGATTCATTCCTTTAGTTACAAAAGTCCATGTGACTCATAGTCTATCATTCAATTCAATTATTTAGTACAGTTTACATATGAAAATCATGTTTGCCTTAGTAAAAGATGTGTTCCTTGATGGTACTTTATGTTAGAAGGTAATGCATTTATTCATTGTTTTAATAAATGACCCCCCCCCCACCCACCCAAACAAAAAAAAGAAAAAACTTTGTAAAATTTGTTGACATTAACAAATTATAGTTTGAAATGCTAAGAATGCACCATATACAATGTGAATTTAAAAGAATTTTCAGGGGGTGTACCCCCTTTATCCCCATTTGGGACACTCTTCACTCACAGTGATGCAAACCCAAAAATTCACACCTCCTTGACATTTTCTGGCTATGCCCCTGTGAACTCTGATTGCATTTCTAAACGTTTTGAAATACATCAGTGACATCAGTCTCGGATTTTTCACTTGACAAAGCTGAATTCTTGAAATTGAAGAAAATCATGCTCTAAAGAGTTGAATAATCATCTCGGTTTCCTTACCTCTGGGGTTTGTATTTTCTTTTTGTTTTGTATGTCACTGATTTAAGTGATGGTAAAATCAAACCAGCCTTCTAGACACTTCACTAGACAGATACTCCCATGAGCAACCTGGAATTGATGCAGAAATATAAGTATGAAACAATGTTCAGTTATTCTTTTTTACCCTCAAGTGATTAAATGTGATAAGTTTAATGTTGAGTGTTTGGGCAATTGGCCTGGCATGGCAAGCAATGTTTTAAAAGTTCATAACTGATTAGATTATGGGCATTTTGGGTAAATGTTATGGTTGCTAATTTGGATTTTCTGTCCTTAAATCCTGTCTGTAAATTCTCGTCAACACATTTTTAGCCAAACCCTTTCAATCTGAAATTTTCTTGGAATGGAGGTTTCAATTCATTAGTTTTTGCATTCTAAATAAATTTTTAGATGGTCATTAAAGTCTTGTCTACCTGGTTCCAGTCAGTTTGATGGACTGATCAAATTATTTTAGGAATATATCTTGGTATAATTAAACTTTTCAACTGATTAGTAGATAGATTGTCCATCCTAAGATCTTGTTAGAATTTCATATTGCCCATTTTAGACTGTCTTTCTGGAAGACTTGTATTTTAAGACTAATCTACATGTTTCCATCCAAACTGTTTGATGGACTAATTTGAAATTTCAGAGATGCTTATTGATATGTTTTTTGGGCATTCTGGTTAGATTTTGGATGGTCATGAGTTTCTTGGGAATACTTCTCTGTAAAGTATTGTCTACATGTTCCCGGGCAAACTATTTGAAGCATCGATTTAAAATTTTCAGTGATTTCTCTGGAACCCAAAATGTTTTTTTATATTAATAAATTCCTAGGTAGCTATTTTGGATTTTTTGTCATAAAATCCTCTCTTTGCTTTTACATGTAAACTGTGTTCTGAAAATTTACTTTGATTACTAAAATCTCTTATAATATTAACAAACTACATAATCATAATATTGCCCAAACTTTGCCATATTAATCCTAATTAATACCTTAGGATATGAATTTGAAGGTTCTCTTCCCTATTTTTTGTTTTGTTAGACCTCTTTCCTTTTATGCGTTCTGACAGTCTTTTGCTTTGTCAAACTCTATTGAAGGGCATTTGTTATGTGTCAAATGTATTTGAGTGATTCATTACTCCTACAAACATGTTTGAATTGAAATTTCAAGAATCTTTATCTTGCTCTTGACATATACATGTATTAACTTTTGGAATATCGTTAAAATGTTACCTAAAATTTTGAAACTTCTGTTGAAAAGTTGTGTTCATACTTCAGATATAGCTACTTGAACTTTCATCTTCAGAATATTATATGTTTTTTGTTTTTAATTTTTTTCAGTATTCTAACATTTTTATCACAGTATCATTTAAAAAAGACAACTTTTGGTTATTCATTGAGAGTAACATTATGGGTAATATTCTGACTGATAAGTAGTTGTTCTGTGAAAAAAATCCAATATTAACATTGGGAATGGGATCTGTTAATAGATCACATCATACTTCAAGGAACCTTCATTTCCAGAATATAATACCATCAAACATTGTTTGCAACTTGCTATGAAAATAAAAGACAAATCATTTCTAGTTTACAACATTTCTTGCAAATGTTCTTCATTCCATCCATTTTTATTGGCTTGAGGTTATGTATATGAAGTTTTATTTTGCAATATCTATTTAGAGCAAAATTAGCTTACTTATTGATGAGAAACTTAAAGCTTGTTTTTGCAAATGCAATTAACTGCAACCTCCTACCGGATTAACTTATTAATTTGCATAAATAAACCCGTTAGTTTGGAGTTGTAATTTACGAACAACCCATTTGTCGACTAACAGTGATCATGTGACTTTTTATATCATTGTCACATAATTGAACATATGATATAATAAAAACATGTGTTTTGCATCTATGCGTCTATCCCGGCCCTATGTGGTGCACAATCTTTAGTTTAGCCTTCATTTTTTTGGCTCACACAGTGAGCCTACGGGATCGGCCAGGCGTCCGTCCGTCCGTTGGTCCGTCCGTCCATCCGTCTGTCCGTCAACATTGGCCGCACAAATTAAAACTGATATTCGGATTGAGTCATAACCACATTCGTTTTATGCATATCCATAATGCCCATTTGACCTATCATCGACATTTCCCAAGTTTGCCCGGTTTTCGAGAAATTGCTGATTTTGACGTCAAAAAGTCAAATTTTCTGTAAATACTAGAGACTTTGTTGAAGAAGAACTTTCAAATAGCTTGTAATAGTTGCTATATATGCAACTTATGTCCTCTGAAGATTTCAAAGCTCTTGGAATTACAATTTTTGGTGTTTACTCTATAAAATTTGACAAAAAGTAGGACTTAGTCATTTTCAGGAAACTTTCTCATGTATAAAGTCAATGGCAGGTTTTGTGATTGACAAGTTTCTGAAAGTTTGCCTTATACTTGATCATTTCTTGCAATGAATTACATTATTACTAGATTTAAGCATTCCCTACATATTGCTCAATATATGTCAGCATCAAATTTTTACCGTTTTTGCATTGTGGGATCCACAGCCTTTACTATCCTTTTGGAATAGTTCAGACTGTGGGATACTGACTGTAATAAATGTTTCCTTTAACCCTAAAATGTACGGACCAATCAAATTATTTACAGAGTTCTATTGACCATGAGTATCATGGGAAGGCATTACCTGCAGTTGCATGATTACATAATCAGACAAAGCCTAATGAGTGTGACCAAACACAATTCCCTCCCAAATAATCCAAGTGTTGACATTTGCATGATAATTCTTGTTTAAAATTCGAAATTTGAAAATAATAAGAAAAAAGAAGTATGTCAACATTATCATAGTTATTAATTTTCAATATAAAAACAAGAACCATCAAGATAAATAAAAGTTTTCCACATAATGAATTCATTGAATTAAAGTTTACAAAGGGGAAAACAGAACGGTGCATTCTTAGGCACTAATTTATTCCTCCATATACACTGATTTACTTGGAGAATGCACTGGCTAGGAACATGTTCTGCCTCACGATATATCAGAGTCTCTCAAAAGCGTTAGGTAAAGAGGGACTCTGATAAATCAGAATGCCGTTTTTGAGATATTTGACGTCAAAAAACAGTAAGAATAAGTTATTTTTCAACTTGCTTCAATTTAACCCAAAATCATCTACAAGTTGCCAGAAGTACAAATCTGACATTAGTTTTAGGATTTGACCTTTAGTTGGCCTTCACTGACCTTTGAAAGGTCAAAAAAGTTGATTTTTCAAATTGATTTTTGGATGTAAATTTTGGTCAGCTGAATCACAAAAGACCTTACTGAGCTCTGACTAAGTACAATTTTCAAGGTATAATGTCATCAAACTAGGGTCACACAACTGTTCTATCTAAGTTTATCAAAGTTCGAGACTACAAATCCAAATCAATATTTTGGTTTGAAAGTCAGGATATACATTCCTCTGAAGGTTCCAAACTGTGAGCACAGGACCGTGGGTCCTTTCATTATGAATAGACTGTCCAGTAGGTTTGAATTATTCTTCAGTAAATTGGGGCAAAAAGTGTGATTTTAGCGAAAAACATCACATTTTCTAATTCCAACAACTGAAACATGGATGTTGGTCTTTAATATTTTACACAATTAATTATCTCCCTAAAAGGAACCAACCCCCTAATGTGCTAAGCTCATCTTCAAAAAATTGATTTTTTGGAACACCCTAGAGCATGCATCATATGTACTTCCGCTATTTATAATTCTGAACACCTCGATAGTTGATTGGTTTTAGTTGCTGTTTTAATAGCCAGATTAAATCGTTATTTAGGTCAGCTATTGCTTTTTGGGCGAGAGCTGGCAACTAACGGGATGCACGACAGGTACGTATTTAAATGAGTTTGTCACCTTATTGCAATCAACCCCGTATCCGATAGCCACCATTTGCATTTGCGAATACAAGCTTAGAGTATACTTACAACTGTTTTGTGCAGATAATGTTGAACTTTGACTTCTGTTTCTCTTCCACTAAGATTACAGTCTTTCTCTTTAGTTACAAATCATCAATTTGTATTCCAAACTTAATGTTAAATTCAGGAAAATATCCCTGTATAGATTTTTAATATGTGTTTGCAAAATCCTTTAATCTAAGAAGTAACACATATCATTGTTTTTTGGTGTAATCAGTTGATACGTATTTATATGTTTCCAAGCATTAATTATTAACGAAGAAAATCTTACACATTACATATAAGGAAGTTAAAACATTTGAGATCATGACTAATGTCTTACAGCATAACTGATAAAATTACATTTTTATCGGCAAACACATTTATTATCAGTAGCAGTTTCGTTTTAATATTCAGTTATTGACATTTGGCATGGGATATGTTGCAATAAAAGGACTTAAATTCTGTATTCTCCTTGATATTGTGTACATTTACTATACATTTCGATCAGATCACATGTAAAGTGATGTCAGTTGTTATAAGTTGTGCTCATACATTTCGGCCTCTGCTGAACAAATGACTAATACACTTACAATGAAATATATCTTTATTGTAGATTACAAGCAATCTTACATTTGAATACATTCATGTCTGTCTGATATCCATGGTGAGTAGTAATACTCTGGAGCAGTTGTTGTCGAGAGCAAGCTTCATGTTAGTTTTTCTTTCAACTTAAAGAAGTCAGATTAAATCAAATGAAATAATGTTTGATTACAGGCATATGTACAATATACAGTACCTATATCTGATAACTAGTCTTTTTCATATTAAAGGTAGCTGTTGTAGTAGAGAGCCATCTTTCAAAAATCAGATATGGATTTTGTACTATGAATTTATGAAGAGAGTGATGAATATCATAGGATTAAAAGCTTATTATCCCATCGAACGAAGTTCGGAGGGATATAGGGAATGCCTCCGTCCGTCCGTACGTACGTCCGTCCGTCCGTCTGTCCGTCCGTCCGTCCGTCCGGGCAATAACTCAAATACCGTTGGCCCGATTTTGTTCATATTTTATACACATATACCCTATGGGAATAGAAGTTCTGCTCGAAAGCTGATTTTCAAAATGGCCGCTCATTTCAAAATGGCGGCCATTTTAGTGCCGATTTTACAGTAATTTAGGTGCAATATGTAAAACTGTAATAGCAATATGTCTTAAGTGAAAAAAATTATAAAGGATATTAATAAAGCTACAAATGTAGATATTAAAAAAGCACATGGCAGCCATCTTGAAAAATGGCGGCCTTTACTCGTTATTTTACTATTTTTGCTATAACTGAAAAAGTAGTGGAGCGATTTTGTTCATATTTGGTATGTGAATACTATAAACATTGCACACTATCTAAAGACATTTTGGTAGAAGGCGGCCATTTTGAAAAACGGCCGCCATTTTAACGTATTTTACTATAACTCGAAAAGTAGTGGAGCGATTTTGTTCATATTTGGTATGTGAATACTATAAGCATGGCACACTGTCCTATGACACTTTTGGTAGAAGGCGGCCATTTTGAAAAAAATTTTGAAAAATGGCAGCCATTTTAACGTATTTTACTTGAAAAGTAGTGGAGCGATTTTGTTCATATTTGGTATGTGAATACTATAAGCATGGCACACTGTCTAATGACACTTTTGATAGAAGGCAGCCATTTTGAAAAACGGCCGCCATTTTAACGTATTTTACTATAACTCGAAAAGTAGTGGAGCGATTTTGTTCATATTTGGTATGTGAATACTATAAGCATGGCACACTGTCCTATGACACTTTTGGTAGAAGGCGGCCATTTTGAAAAAAATTTTGAAAAATGGCAGCCATTTTAACGTATTTTACTTGAAAAGTAGTGGAGCGATTTTGTTCATATTTGGTATGTGAATACTATAAGCATGGCACACTGTCCTATGACACTTTTGGTAGAAGGCAGCCATTTTGAAAAAATTTTGAAAAATGGCTGCCATTTTAACGTATTTTACTATAACTCGAAAAGTAGGGAAGCAATTTTGTTCATATTTGGTATGTAAATACTATAAGCATGGCACACTGTCCTAATACACTTTTGGTAGAAGGCGGCCATTTTGAAAAAATTTTGAAAAATGGCCACCATTTTAACGTATTTTACTATAACTCGAAAAGTAGTGAAGCAATTTTGTTCATATTTGGTATGTGAATACTATAAGCATGTCACATTGTCTAATGACACTTTTGGTAGAAGGTAGCCATTTTGAAAAATGGCAGCCATTTTAACGTATTTTACTATAACTCGAAAAGTAGTGGAGTGATTTTGTTTATATTTGGTATGTGAATACTTAAAGCATGGCACACTGTCTAATGACACTTTTGGTAGAAGGTGGCCATTTTGAAAAATGGCCCCATGTATTTTACTATAACTTGAAAAGTAGTTAAGCGATTTTGTTCATATTTGGTATGTTTCATATTTTATATGTGAATACTATAAGCATGGCACACTGTCTAATGACACTTTGGGTAGTAGGTGGCCATTTTGAAAAATGACCACCATTTTTACGGTTTTTACTATAACTTGAAAAGTAGTGAAGCGATTTTGTTCATATTTGATATGTGAATACTCACGAGCCTTGCACATTGTCTCATGACACTTCGGATAGTAGGTGGCCATTTTAAAAAATGGCTGTCATTTTTACATTTTTGCTATAACTCGAAAAGTAGTGGAGCGATTTTGTTCATATTTGATATGTGAATACTCTAAGCATGGCACATTGTCTAATAAAACTTTGGGGAGTAGTCGGCCATTTTGAAAAATGGCCACCATTTTTATGTGTGTTATTTCACAAGTACATGTGTGCGATTTTTCAAAAATTTTATAGGTGGCTACTAAAAGCATATTATTTCTTCTGATGACAACTTGGCTAGTGAGCAACCATTTTGAAAATGGTGGCCTTTCTCGTGTGTTGTTTTATGATATTTGCTACATATTTCGTTTGTAAAAATGCCAGCCATTTCTGTTCGATGGGATTCGCTACGCTTTGGCGTTGCCGTTGTTCTGGTTTACTATTCGGGATTAAATATGGGTTTATTCCACGTGACAACATGATATTTCCCTTTCTTATGTTTAGAATGACCACCCAAAAGGGGATTTTCATTGTTTTGAGATCTCCCCAAGCTTTATATATTGCTTTACTATTCCCAAGGATTTTTCGAGTAGATCAAAAATATTGCATTGTTTTTTTTATTCTTGCCCCTAAAATGGCCACTTATTGTAAGAGGGAAGGTTTTGCAATTTAAGGTTTTGAGGTAGTGGATATCAAAGACAATCATTGACTCAATCATAATATTTTAATTTTTAGTTTTATTTGTTTACTAATTAATTAAATTCTAACATTTCAAATATGTTACATATAGTCCACTATGAAATAATGTATTTCTCTACTTGAAAACTTGGATTCCGGTTAATAGTATTATATACATAGACATGGGCATAGCCATGGCATAGTCAGCCAAGAGGCATGCAAGGCAACAACCTCACCAACATTTTACAGAAAGATATTTATACAGATATTTCTTTCAGTTGATACCTCATGATAGAATTATATTAAATTGCCTTTTACACATTTTTGCCACATCCTATTTGAATTTGACTTGTTTATATATATTTACTACTCAAAAAATGTTAATTCTATTATATTCTATTGTTATTATCATTTAGTCACCAAAATTGCAGGCTTGGGTGTCTTTTCATTCCTATTTTCTATTTCTTATTGTTGAAACCTCGGAGGAGCTTATGTTGCACCCATGAGAAAGTGTTTGGCTGTTTTATCAGCAGGTGTATTCAAGGCCGTGTTCAAAGACTGGGTGCATATACAATTTACATTGACAATGTTTGGCAGCCAGAGGCGATTATTTTGAATAACCTCTCATTAAAATAACACAGGTGGTCAAAAATGAGTTCATAAAAATAGCTTGAACAGTATCATTAATTTTCACAAGGTAAGCTAAACACTTAGCATGCAGAAAGTAAAAAAATTCAATTTTATACTCAGAAATTATTTTTAATAAATGTTTTACTGAATAGATATCCAAAAATCTGATTTGCCCCTAACCCACCATTTCCCTAGGTTTACATGTGTTCTACCATTTTTTAATTTGACACAAAATTTTTGACCTATTGTAACGGAGAGATTAAATTGAAAATCTACTGAAATAAAGAAAATAGTCAAGGTACATATCCATTTACATTATCAGTTTTTCTTTCATTTCGGGCTTAGAAAATAGAGTTCAAACATACATGGGATTTAACATGTAGACCTATTTGGAAAAAGACTTGTCCTTAACCTTTTTTGAGTAGTACAAAGATCCTGCCTACTCCCCTGTTAACTCAACAGATTGTTAACATAAGCACTGCTACATACAGGTTCAATTCAGTTAATCATTTTGAACCTCTTAAAAAGCATCTGTAATATTGGGTCAGTTCAAGACCATATCAGTAACTTCTTAGACATTGTTTTTACTGTTCAGGTGTCACAATATATATGCCTGGCTGTCCAATTACATTGGTCACAACTACAAGTCCTCCTTTACGATCAAAAGTAACTGCTATTGGACTGTGAATGTCAGGCTCTTTTGATATAATATTTTTGACAAAGACACCTTCTTGATCTAGCAGTTCAATATGATTACTTATATTGTCTGCTATAATGACACAGCCATTGCTATCAACACAGAGACTTTTAGGATTAATTCCAGAATTTATATCTGAGCCTGTGTATTCAAACAACAGATTTCCAGAAATATCATAACTTTTGACAGATCTACCTTGCGAATCTGCTACAAAAACATGATTCTTTCCAGAATCCACTGCTATATCCTCAATACTTTCAAAATCACCAACCCGTCCATGACCAAAATTCTGATTGGATGACCCGTCAGATTGAATGTCAACAATGTGTAGAACCTTTGCCTTGTTATCTGCTATAAGCAATTGATGATCACTGAAAAATCCAAGTCTACTTGGAATTTCAATTTGATGTAATACAATGTTTTTCAAATGACTCCCTGAACTGTTGAACAGTTTTACCATAGGGACACTTTCGGGCTTGCATGATATTGCAGCAATATCTTGATTATTGCATATAGCATGCCATACACAAGAACTGACAACCAAAACATCAATAACCTGACTTTGCACATCACATAGTATAGCTTTTGTATCCCCATCTTCATCTATAACAATCTGAACCTGGCTGCCATTTTTGAAAAAACATATGCTAAAAATTAGCCGAAACCTTGGGTTTGGTGTCTCGTGTACAATAGTAAAATGTGGAGCTTGCCTTCTGTTTGACAGGTCAGTACTCATTGATCTTGAAAGAAATTTTGAACTCTCAGGCTGGTCAACCAAATGTATTGATGGCATCCTGGTGCTATCAACTGAGCTTGCTTTCAGAGGGGCAATTCCTGAAGAAAGCACCAAAGGTGTTTGAACTTCATTGATTTCTAGCTGGTTTGTTGACATGAGCTTTTTGAAAATAGGAATTAACCTCTTGGCTGATTCTTTGGCATGTGCTGAATCTTTAGCACTCATTTTATTTGCCAAGCTTATGTAATACTCGGCGTTGATGAAGGTCTTCTCCAAAAGCACCTGCTCTATGGAATCAGCCAAGTATTCATAATTCTTTTCTTTTAGAACATTCAGAAATTCATTAAACTCATCTACAGTACAACTATCTAGTTTGTCCAAGAATGCTCTACATTTCTTTGCTGGTGTAGGCATCGCCATGATGTCATCTTTCATAGGTTTTGTTAAGATCCCCTTCGAATAGCACAGGTCCATTATGCTATCCACATCTAAGCTTTCCGTTATATCTTCATAACAGGCTTGAATAGCTCTTTTGTGCACAGATGACAACTTAGGGTCTTCTTTCTGCATTTCACTTAAAACCAAGATATTGGAAAATGGTTACCTTTTGTACTTATAGTAGTTGTAAACTTTTTTAGCAAAATCAAAGTTGTTTGAATTAGCCTACAAGTAAACTTCCGTATATGATCTTTAACATATGTGGGTATGCCATTTAAGATAAGAAGTTATACAGTATACTAACTTTGAGAATAGATGTAGCAGTACCATTAATAAGAAAAAAGTTCAACTTGTTGAGGCAAATTAAACTTTTTATTACCTTTTGTTTCAGGGATACTCTATAAATTGCGGAGATGATTGCACTTGAAGCTCCACATCTATCAGATTAAGTGTCTGCAATAAAAATAATTGAAGTCATTATTATTCCAGTGGGGATAGAGTAAAGTACTCCTTCCATTGTTCAGTCTGTGTTCGGTAAGATTAGGGATGTCATGGTTTCTCAATATTGTCCCGTCCCTCAGGACTTTGGTCTTGGGACAGGACAACCCTAGTGTACAGAATATTTCGGTCCATGTTCAGGATATACTATTTCTCCTGTATATGACCCTAAAACTTCCCAAATGCATGATAAATATGATCTAAACTAGAATTTTATATGTCCCTTCCCGTCCCGAATGTCCAGTCCCGAAATGGATAATTCCCGTCCTGTCCCGAAATATCCTTGTACCTTGACATCCCTATGTAAGATGATTGGTTGGTCAGTCTGTACATCTTTTATACCTCTAAAAATGTTCTCCTTGGAGTATTCTATAGAGGTTAATGTAGAGCAAAATGGTAAAAACCTGTTAAGTAGAACACCTCCTTAAGTAGAACAGTTTCTAATAAATGATGTCCAATTGACTCGATGTTTGTTAATCCCACTTAGTCGGGGCCGGCTGATGGATCTGAGCAAATGTGACCCAGGCAATTAGTCACATATATTTGTTCAGTATACTACAAAACCTATTAAAAACTATACTAACATCTTCAAACTTTCCAAGACATGAAAGATTACTTACCAAGCTTTTGTGCCTTTGTGTATTACATATAACTGTTTATTTTATCTGTATGCAGTAATGATATTTTTAAAATATATCATCTTGCTCTTGAGACATTGTATTAGATGATTGAATATCCCAACGAATGAACTTTTGTAGGGATATAGTGAAGCCCTCTGTCCATCCATTATCCATCAGATTATCTTTGTATCTTTTGGAAAGATGTGTATTGTTAATAAGATTAATAAAAAATGTTGTCAAGATGGCTGCCACTTTTAAAATGGTGGGAAATTTTTTAAAAATCCAGGTTTTTCATTTTAAACCAAAGTAATAACTATTATTGTTTCAGAATTCCCATGTATTTTATTTGAAGTTACTATTACATTATTATCCTCAAATGAAAGGCAATTTAGTGTAGAATGCAAATATTATATTGTTTTTCTGATTTGACCCTTGGAAAATTCAATATGGCCACCTAACGTGGAATTTCGCAATAATTTCCTGGTCTCTTCAAAGTACATTGTATTATACTCAAATTGAAAGCATTTTAGAGTAGATAACAATTATGGTATTGTTTTTCTAATTAAGAAATTTCAATGTAACTGACTTAGAGTAGAAATTCACTATAATTTGAGATCTCTTCAAATATTGCATTGATTTAATGAAATGTTATTTTTTGAAACTCCTAATTGGTGAAAATTCTGATATATCTCTAATATATGTCTTTTTATACCTACCTGCAAATCAAGAGTAGTGACATAGATGAATATAGTGTTCGTTGGGATTTGCTACTCCATGGAGTTTTTAGTTAGGTAAGGTGAAAAGTCAATGTGTTATCTATTTTTTATCTACTTTTTGGTAATCATTAATTGATTTTTAATTCATAATTTAATACCTTTCTCTTTCTTATCATAAAACAGAGAAGTGTGGTTTTTAAAACTGCTCCAGAATGTTGTAAGCCCTTATCTTATTGATTAAATGTCATTCACATGAATCAGAGAACCAAAACGAAAGGAAATAATATTGTCCTAAATGTCAATACAATTACCCATGCAAGGAGGTAGTTACCACTTTCACCACCAGATGGCTGATTAAGGTTAATTAAAGTGGCAGGTATTTGAGAAAGTTTAAGTGGATCAATTTTCATATACCAGGTCGTTCAATAAGTTCACGGAAAATTGCTCTTATTTCAAGGATTTTTGATATTTTCTCATGAAATTTTCACACAATGTATAAAAAATACTTTCTAATTGATTCTTAAAATATCAGCATCTCTTATTTGATTGGTCAAAAATAAGGGTTACTATGGTAACTTGACTTTTGGGTAGGCGGGGCACTTTTTACGTCACATTATTCATTAGAAAAACAACAGAATAGTAGGCAATTTATGAGTATATCACATGAATTTCTTCTCCGCTTTCTACTTGTACATGATATTACTTAATGTAATAATAGTAACAATTATTATATACCTCAAATGTATTCTAGATGCTCATTGGCTTATTCATGGTCACATGACATGGAATAGATGAACTAATTCCCTGGAAAGTCCTAAATCCCTGCTTTCAGGGAAGATGAATTGTACTAATCACCAGTTAGGTCATGTGACCAGTCAATAGTACATTTTATCTTCCCCCAAATCTGAGATTATAGGAGTTGAAAGGTAAAATGCCTTTAAATGCCAATAAGAACCTGTGAACATTTGATATTGAAATGAAAAGACTTCTCATTTTGTTTTTGTTTACAGAGTACTTATCAGGTATATAATAAAACAAATAGTGACTGCCACATTTTCGGGAAATAGTGTAAAAAATTTCCTTTCGGGAATATCCTGTCCACTGACTTGTTCCCTCGGCCTGCAGCCTCGGGAACATGTCAGTGGACAGGATACTCCCTTGAGGAAAATATTTTGCACTATTTCCCTCAATGGCAGTCACTATTTGTACACTATTGTCCCATTAGGTTTTAGAAATATTCTCCCTCATGTTTAATGCACAGTAGGTATATTCAACCCATTGACGAGATAATATCGAGTATGTAACTTGGGGCAGCTTTGGCATCTATTTTGCCAGTTATATGGTTTCCTGCACAATTTTAGCAGTGTGATCGGCTGCATTATCCTGATGGAAAGATTTAGAGTTTGGCTGAATGGTTAAGTTTTAATCAACTTACCATAGCATTACTTTGTTGATTTTCTGGTCCACTGGTGCCTGGATTGACAAGCACAATTTCAGAAATGTTTGTGAAAACAATGAACATCGATTTTCCCTCAGAACATTTGTAATTTAAATAAGAACAAATAAAAATAGGGATCCTCATTTGCACATATTGATAGATTTCTGTAATGGTAAATTGTGTGACGTAAAAAGTGCCCCGCCTACCTAAAAGTCAAGTTACCATAGTAACCCTTATTTTTGACCAATCATATAAGAGATGCTGATATTTTAAGAATCAATCAGAAAGTATTTTTTATACATTGTGTGAAAATTTTATGGGAAAATATCGAGAATGTTTGAAATGAGAGTATTTTTCCGTGAACTTATTGAACGACCTGGTAATCCTTTTGTGTCTGATAATTCTACAAACGGAAATATTTCCAGCAAAAGAAAATATTATCTGCTCAACACAATAAAAGATATTTTACTTTTTGTGATTTTGTAACATGGGGTCTATGGGGAATCTCCCTGACCTAGAAGTCACATTTTCAAAGAAGATTAAATTGTCAAAGTTGATAAACACTTTAGCGTGCTGCCGGCGGACTCGTCCGCCGAGACTAAAATGTCTCTCACAACTGCCGGCGGACCCGTACGCCCGATTTCAAACTTTTAAAAACTTTACTTTTTCGCGCCATTCGTATTGTCCAATTAGGTTGCCCGATTTATTCAGTGCCTAACATGACTTCCTGTTGACCTAGAAATGGCGATATTTCGAAAAATAATTCTCAATTCAACAATTTAAACAGTGTTTTAGTCGTTTTTAGTGAACGAATCGTACAAAATGGTGGACAAATACGATCTCAACGAAAATGTGGAGGAAATGAATTACGATTTCGAGCTCTTTAGGCTCTTGGAAGCCGATAACGGTCATCGAAAATAGAAACTAGAATATTTTCTGAATTGAAAAATTGAACATTCGATCGCTGCAAATTCAGATTTGGATTCTGACCAGACGAAGAGGCGGAGCGGCGGATTCCGGAGGAGTATTCATGGTATATTTATGCCCAGTCGTGTTAATGTACGAAAAAATTCATGAGAACATTTTTTTCATGAGCCAGGCCACTGTATCTTCCCTTTGTGAAAATTTTATCCAGATTCATTCAGTAGTTATTGAGATATTAATTATTTAGTCCAGGTATATCATTTTTTGCACTCTTTGAATAAGCCAGTTGCGTGGGATATATTTGCTGAAATAAGGCAGCATGGTAAAGGTTAAAATCACATATCTAGATGTTATTTTACATGTAGAATTCAAATATGATATCCCTTAACATTTTGAATATTTAATGACATATATCAAGATTATTTCTACTCGCATGTAGTATATTGTCAACATATCAATACAAATTGTCAATAAACAGTGGTAGTAAATAGTTTGTAATGACTTTTTACACCCCTGGTGCAAAATATTGTGATCAGTTTGCTGGGTGACTGGCGGATATGAGTCTAATGGAGCAATTTTCTTGTGTGTTAATCTAACTTATCTTTTTTCATGATTTTAGCTCTCTATGTTGCAGAATTGTTACTATGCACTATTAAGATAACCATTTAAACAAAGTGCTAGAACTGTTGGACCATGGCTTTACCAAAAACTACCAGCATTATTATATCCATCTTATATAGTTTTTTTATTCCACTGTGTTACAGATTGTTACTGTTTGCTATGAAGCTAACCACTTGAACAAAGTGCTAGAACTGTTGGACCATGGCTTTACCAAAAACTACCAGCATTATTATATCCATCTTATATAGTATTTGTATTCCACTGTGTTACAGATTGTAACTGTTTGCTATGAAGCCAACCACTTGAACAAAGTGCTAGAACTGTTGGACCATGGCTTTACCAAGAAAAGGAAAACTGTCATCTTTACTAGTGATCCTGATGATGCCCAGAAGATATATGAGGTACCATTTGGCCTATTGTACTTGTATTATTACATTAACTTAAGGAAGCACATCATGTTCAAGATCAACTATCACATATTTATTTAGATGGCCACATGTAATGTTATGCAATGCACCCATCAGATGCATGCAAATGTAATGCAGTTACAAATGTACATATATATTATCCAAATCTAATGTTGGTCTTTAAAGTGATCAGAACTAAATATTGCAACATTTCCCTGAAAAACATCAGATCTTCATACCTGTGTCTATTTATATTCCTTATAGTTTATTTTGAATGATTGTTATGATATCCCACTTGCATGACATCTTTGTTGTAACATTGTGTTCAAATGCACATTGTTGAGAGAAGCAGTACACACATTCAAAATGATATAAAAAACTAGATATCAAATGTACTCTACCATACTACAATGTATTTCCAGATGCTTAAGAGTCAATGCTACAATGTTATCACTGCACATGAGATGATGGTACAACAGGCTATACTAACCACAGAGGAGATGTGGCATGCTACATATAAATCAGGGGACCACCCAATCTTAGGTAAGTCTCATTTATGCTACATATAAATCAGGGGATCACCCAATCTTAGGTAAGTCTCATCTATGCTACATATAAATCAGGGGACCACCCAATCTTAGGTAAGTCTCATCTATGCTACATATAAATCAGGGGACCACCCAATCTTAGGTAAGTCTCATTTATACTACATATAAATCAGGGGACCACCCAATCTTAGGTAAGTCTCATCTATGATACATTTAAATCAGGGGACCACCCAATCTTAGGTAAGTCTCATCTATACTACATATAAATCAGGGGACCACCCAATCTTAGGTAAGTCTCATCTATGCTACATATAAATCAGGGGACCACCCAATCTTAGGTAAGTCTCATCTATGCTACATACATGTATAAATCAGGGGACCACCCAATCTTAGATAAGTCTCATCTATGCCACATATAAATCAGGGGACCACCCAATCTTAGGAAAGTCTCATTTATACTACATATAAATCAGGGGACCACCCAATCTTAGGAAAGTCTCATCTATGCTACATATAAATCAGGAGACCACCCAATCTTAGGTAAGTCTCATCTGTGCTACATATGTATCAGGGGACCACCCAACCTTAGGTAAGTCTCATCTATGCTACATATTAATCAGGAGACCACCCAATCTTAGGTAAGTCTCATCTTTGCTACATATAAATCAGGGGACCACCCAATCTTAGGTAAGTCTCATCTATGCTACATATAAATCAGGGGACCACCCAATCTTAGGTAAGTCTCATCTATGCTACATATAAATCAGGAGACCACCCAATCTAAGCTAAGTCTCATCCATGCTACATATAAATCAGGGGACCACCCAATCTTAGGTAAGTCTCATCTATGCTACATATAAATCAGGGGACCACCCAATCTTAGGTAAATCTCATCTATGCTACATATGTATCAGGGGACCACCCAATCTTAGGAAAGTCTCATCTATGCTACATATAAATCAGGGAACCACCCAATCTTAGGTAAGTCTCATCCATGCTACATATAAATCAGGGGACCACCCAATCTTAGGTAAATCTCATCTATGCTACATATGTATCAGGGGACCACCGAATCTTAGGAAAGTCTCATCTATGCTACATATAAATCAGGGAACCACCCAATCTTAGGTAAGTCTCATCCATGCTACATATAAATCAGGGAACCACCCAATCTTAGGTAAGTCTCATCCATGCTACATATAAATCAGGGAACCACCCAATCTTAGGTAAATCTCATCTATGCTACATATGTATCAGGGAACCACCCAATCTTAGGAAAGTCTCATCTATGCTACATATAAATCAGGGAACCACCCAATCTTAGGTAAGTCTCATCTATGTCACATGTAAATCAGGGGACCACCCAATCTTAGGTAAGTCTCATCATACAGTTTTGTAAAGATTAAAAGATTTTGTCAATTAAAGATGGCACATATGTTTTTAATATTATTAAAAGGTGCTATAGAGTGTGTGATAGAGAGTATATCTACTTTACACAGGGACAAGTCATAAAATGTGAAAATGTTCATTGATAAGGATATGACCTTTTATTTTAACTTTAATTTTTCGAACTTCGAAAGTGCAATATTGTTGCAGAAGTTCTAAACACTGTACCTACAATGCAACTTGACTTTAAATCATTGTTCTCATCTATTCTAGTGTTGACTGATGAATGTCAGCAACAGCTGAAGATCAGAGATGCCCAATGTGTTATACATTATGATATGGTCAGCAAGCAAAAGTTTGGAACACGGCTATGGGCATTAAAAAACAACCTGAACAATCCCCTTATTAACCCAGATGTTAACATAACGGATGAGGTAAGCTGGGATATGGGGATTTATAGGGAGTCATTTCTTTCATTTCATTTAGAGTTATAACATGGAATTCAAGTTGTAGGGTATATTGCACAGAAGCAATGAGCCAGTGCAGTATTTGAATTGAGAATAGAATAAATTGTCATAAAAATATCTAGTTGAATATTATAATTTATCCCACGATTAATGTGTTATCTGTACAATAACAGCTATTGATATTTCTGATATTATTGAAATCCGTGTGATATTTTCCAGAAAATCGTTTATCAAACTCATATGCGTGTGATATCGTTTATCTCACGCATATCCGTGTGATATCACATTTGCATTTCGCGCCACAATATTGTTGGAAATAAGGTCAGATAATTTTTTCTCTTTTGAGAAAATAGGTCTGCCAGTGTCCTGGAAATTGGATCAGAACATCACAAGGTGATTGTAATCATGGGATAAACCCAATATCACATAATTTCTCGTGATATAATTTTATCGCCTCGTAGATATCAAATATCAACACTCATTCGCTTCGCTCACTCGTGTTGATATTTGATATCAACTCGGCGATAAAAATGATATCACTCAAAATGATGTGATATTCTGTATTTATTATATATTATAAATATTATAATATCACCACCAGAAGTTATGACATATTGTTATAGTCCCCAACTTTACTGTGGATGGAGCTCAGTGGTCGGCATTTGTTTTTGTAACAAATGGCAAGTGGTTACATGTTGCATGTTAATGCCTTGTATACTTTTAGCAACAGTGTATGTCTTACATTATGTTGACTGAGAAAGCTGAGAAGAAAGCCCTCCATGTGCACAACCTGATGGGGCGACTCAAAGAACCCATCCACTCTACCCTTGAGAAACTGGTCTCTAACTATCTACAGGTAACTCTAAAGGATGGGTATCGATATGGCGAACTTTTTGAACACACGTTTCTCTTAAACCAGTCATCAAAAAATTCTTAAAATTTTACACATTGTCAATGTAATGGTAGTGTTTTTTTACAGAATGTTTTCAATAATTGGTTTAATTTTAAAGTTGTCCATTCTTGAATTTCAAGTGAAATGTTTGTTACTGCGGAACTGTTTAATTTTTCTGTTCATTTCAAGATTAAATCAAATACAGCTAGATTACATATCCTGCCTGTGTGGTTTGGTTTTCCAGAGATAATTATAAAACTTAAGGTTGGGTTAGCAAACAAAAAGATGCAAAAAGAAACACCGTAGGCAACTTATAGATAAATTAATGTTGTTTTACTTTTACATTTGCAGAGTGAGGATGTTGATCTCTCCAAGGATCTCTGTCACTACCTCAAGTCATTTGGAGAATGCAGGTATGTTGTTATGTCACCACCACAACAAGTGGTGACATAGTAATAGTATCCAACGTTTTTTGACAGTGTTTGGTGGTTGGTGTTCGGCATTCAGTGGTTTGCATCTGAAACAAATAGCGGGTGGTGACATTTTGCATGTTAATGCATTGTTGAAGCTCTCTTAGGGTTTAATATGCTGAAAATATAAGCTAGTCTAGATTGAAAAAGTGGTTCTTTTGCTTATATATGTCATTCTGTGGCTGTGGCTGAGCTTTGTCATGCATAAGAGTTGTAGCTTGTTTAAACAGTGCAGAAGAGCCTGTCATACATGCCTGTGTTGATTTTAATGTCAATGTACTGTAGTCCTATCATATGCTGTGTTTTCAGAGAGGGCACATCTTGTTTAAGCCGCCACAGTATATCCCCAATTCTTGATCTCCCTGGGAAGTATACAAGCTCACTCAACCTGCCATCTAATGGTGAAGTTAAGGTATTAATAATGTATTATTATTTTGATTTTCCATGTATGTTAAAAATTGAATAAAAAATAATATTGTGGCAGTTTTAAGCAGAAATATATATTAGAGTCGCAAATCCCCGGTCGTATGGTCGTAATTTTAAGACTTTTTTCAGCTTACGACCAATAAATTGAAAATACTTGCCATTCGTACGAGTATGACATGGTCCTGAAACTCGTTGTATTAAATTCCCAATATTGGACCGAATTTTAATATAGGGACATTATTTCTTTTCTATAAAATGCATCAAAAGTGTATAAATAGAAACACCTTATACAAAAAATAATCGAAATAAATTAATATTGGATGGAGGGGGGAGTGGATTGAGGGGGGGGATTTATATGTCTTTACGATGAAACAAATTCACAAGAACTCGTGTATTTGAAAAAACTAAACTCAGTACCCCAGTAAGAAACTGGGTATTATATCTCTGGAGAAAAAAGTGAGCAATGTCTTTAGTATTGTGATAACGTCCCTTATACCTATTTATTACAGGTCATGTAGACCATTGTTGCCCGATTTATACCAAAAACATTGACTTTTGCACATTGGTGATGATGCGCCTTTTTTAATAGATCTCATATCTTAGAAGGGTATCACTTCAAAAAAAATACTAGATGACCTAACATATTTTGCCATGCACTGCGCCATTTGGCAATTCAGTTGTAAATTTTCTCTTGAAAAAATAAATCTTCCTAATTTGTTGAGTTTTCTTGCAGAAATCGCCTAATCCCCCTCCATCATTTTTGTACGATCACCGGGCGCGCATGTAAAGGACACAATGTTGTATTATGTACATGTTATTGGAGCATAAACCCCAATATATCAATACTCATTTAATATTATAGCTCAAGATCACCCATGTGAAGGACACCATGTTGTATTATGCACGTGTACTAGAGCATAGACCCTACAACTCGGAGACAAAGACCATAAATCTTGGAGCGACATATGGTGTACTTGTCCTTGATATGATACAGTACTATTCAAGCCCAGCCAACAGGGAACCATTTGGTATGTTAATGGTTCTGTTTTTATTATATCAACACAGTGGTTACATTATTATAGTCTTCAATCTTTGGGGGATGGTGTTCGGAAGTTTGTTTGGCATTCGGTGTTTGGTGGTTGTCATTTGCTTGTCAATGTCTATAACAAATGGCAGAAATTGATTATGAAATAACCTGAATGTAATATTTATAGGACGTCCAAAGAAAGATGCAGTGTGTGCTGTACAAGGGAAAGGGAATGTGTTTTACAGGTAGGCATCCTCACCATATAAAACTACTTATAGTATCCCTGCTGTTTTGAGTCATAGTGATCTCTATGTTCAGAGTGGTTGCATTTTAAATAACCTACCTTCAAAATAAAAAATCATGCCATCCTTATACTATGAATGATATATATGATTCTTTAACATTCTTTTTTTGAAATACCAAAAATTGCATCCATGTTGTTATCAGGGAGAAAGCATTATGATAAACATTAAAAATTGAGCCACTTTTTGTGAATATAATATGATGTACAAAACGGTGAAATTCTAGTGTTTTATTCCCAATTTGAATTCCTGTTTGAAGTTTTTTTTAATTGTTATTTTCACTAAATATTCATTTAATTAGCTTGATATTAAATATAAATGGATACTTCATATTATTTCAAGGGTCAAAGTGCTGGACACTCCCATGCAAGACTTAAAGGGACACATCCTTCCATTCAATGGACAATATTTAGATGAGGGTCGCACTGAAGTCGTCAACCAATCACAGCTCTATAAGCTACCAGACAACCTGCTAGAAATCCCTCCACAGGTATGTTTAACTATAAATTTTAAAAAGAAGTTTTGGCTTGTCAAACCTCAAAGAGGTTATGTGCAATAATTGTCGAAATCGTTGTTCCCTCTTCAAAAGAGAAGACGCAAAAATCTTTCCTTATAAGGGCAAAATATTTCCCATGATGCAGTTCACGGAGGAACAAATTTATACTTCCTTATTTTCCCTCATAGGTTTAACATGGGGGTTTTCACACCTATTTTTCAAATGATATATTCGTTCATATTCCCGTACGAGAGTACAGAAAAAATTATTAGAAACGATTGATCTCTCATTAATCTTAATATAACAGCTATTTTTTCATTGTATTAATTCATAGCGTGGTGAAAACGATGATTGAAAAGTGAGAAAATATTCCGGAAGAGAAGGTCACGTGATCAGTAGACTAGTCGCCATATTGGAAAAAACAATTCCATTCGACTTTCAATACTTTCATGCCAATCTTACCACACTACAAACTGCGACATCGATGCAACAACTGAATAAAAGTATTCATCTTCAAATTACATTATAGAGTTACGTTGAAAACCCACAAACAACTGAGCAGTAGACCAAAGAAGACACGTCGCTATTATCTAGGTCAATCTGTTCAGTGGTCCGAAAGCAAATCTATAGTACTCGTTTCCGAATTTTTTTGTTCATTGTACAATCTTTTATTGATTAAACTCGGTATACTGACTATTAAAGCAATGACAAAGAAGAATACTTACGATGGTGTCATTGTTTTATTTAGCGTACGGGTGTAAAAACAAAATTGAGTAATTAGTTTGATTTAGAACTTTCGTGTCACGCAAATAGCTACGCGAAATGCATAGTGGGAAAATATTGACCAATCAAATTTTGTCCTTTTTGAGTGCTTTTTCAGTGCATATTTGCGAACGTTCTGATTCAAAGAGCTAACCGCGAAAGGGAGAATTGAATAATGTGTGCTGCAGTTGAGGAGATATATTCACCATGGTATAGCAGGTTAATGCATTCGAAACGTAGGTGAGGTGTCTTTGGGGGTATTGTGGTTACAGTGATCTCCCCAGTATTAAAGCAAGTGGGCGCAGCACCCACCTGAGATCTTGAAACTGAAATATCAATTATCAGATCAGTTCACATTTTCTATGACTAGGAGCTCTACTTGAAAAGTTTTTATTCTTTTCAATATTTTGTTTTGCAGGCTGTCCAAGTCTATCTGTGTAGAATCAAGCCTTATGACATGGACATCGCATGGCCCCTTAAGGTAATATTTAAAAATGAATAAACAGGGTGTCCAAAAAAATTGTACCCTGACAAATAATATCCCTTTAAGTGATGAAGGAATATTCTTGTCTTGACATGGGATCATCTGAAAAAATTCTCATTATCATGTAAAAGTTAACTTTTTTGATAAAGAAATAAAAAGTTATTCTCATTTCATTTGAGTACAATCTTTTGGGGACACCTGGTACTTATATTTAACCAATACATTTAGCACCCTAAATTATTTATTTCAAGATGATTAAATATTAATGTTTAGTTGAAATGAAGATGCCTTAAACGATATGCATGCATTATTATTGGAAAGTATACGTCAAATAGTCCTGTAAATTATTTATTTATTTTATGACCATGTTTTGACAATGAGACTTGGAATGCCATTACAAATCAATTATCTATGGATCTCATCATGAACATTTTAAGTGCTTTGACATAAAACCTATGAATTGTACAAAATGACTGTAACATCCTAATAAATTCTTGATTTGTGATCTGGTAGACATAAAATAAGGATTAATATGAGCCAAGATATACTGTAATAGTCTGCATCTTTATATTTCATCTTTAATTTATCAACAATAGTACAATAACGTCATTGGTCCAATATTTCGCTATATTGCCCGCAGAAATGACGTTTTTAGTATTATTACCACCGTTAATGACCAGGACTGAAACAGCAAGAAAATCTTACGCACTGAAAATAATCACTTTTAACTTTAAAGATTATGCAGATTTTATGTATAATAGACATATTTAACATTTTGTGTTCCAAATATTTTCATTTTCTCTTGGTGTAACATAGTGGCTAGTAATTATTTGTTTATATTTGCAAACACCATAATTCACTTTATGTGAGTTGAATCCTTCCATAGTACGTACTTTATATCCCAATGCTTTATTACAAAGTCCCACATAAACGTCTTCAAGGTAGAAGAAAGGTATATTGGGTGAAACTTTCACAATGTCCTTGACAACTTTCATAGTTGTAACATAGCCTGTGCCTGAGCAGAAGCTGGGGTACAGGGTATGAGGGTACTGTATAGGAGAAGCATACCATTTTGATTTCTTACCCCTGATTGGTTTAGGTTTGTATGAGCATGATCCTATAATTTCATTTTTAATTTCGAATGAATCGATGAATTGTAAAAGTCTTGGAGTATTCACCCACATATCAGTATCAGTTTTCATAACATATTTAGCATTTGAGCAAAATTCTGCAGCCCATTTAAGACCAGACATTGTTTTTAGAGTCAAATTACTGTACACATCTATAAAATCTTTGATCATAATGTCTCCATGTTTTTTAGCCTCTATTAGAGCTCTCTCATTCCACTTTGGGTCTTCGTGCATCCCTAATAAGAATACATACCTCAGGTTGTGTGTGTTTTGCTTAGAGATACTCGTCCATGTTTTCCGTAATGTATTTCTGATGGCAAGCTCATTATGTAGTGTAAATATGAGCATTAGAAGCTTCACGTTTCTTTGAACTGGTGTCAATGTTGAGCATATGTCATTGTTTTGGTAGATGTAGGATGATTGTGGAAAACATGAATCACACTTATCCGGTCTTGGCTTGGGTTTTGGGTTATCCAGTCTTGGCTTGGGATTTGGGTTATCCAGTCTTGGCTTGGATTTTGGATTATCCAGTCTTGGCTTGGGATTTGGGTTATCCAGTCTTGGCTTGGATTTTGGATTATCCAGTCTTGGCGTTGGTTTTTGGTTATCCAGTCTTGGCTTGAGTTTTGAATTATCAAGTCTTGGCTTGGGTTGTGAGTTATCCAGTCTTGGCTTTGGTTTTTGGTTATCCAGTCTTGGCTTGAGTTTTGGATTATCAAGTCTTGCCTTGGGTTGTGAGTTATCCAGTCTTGGCTTGGGTTTTGAGTTATCCAGTCTAAGCTTGGCTGTTGAGTTATCCAGTCTTGGCTTGGGTTTTGGGTTATCTAATCTTGGCTTTGGTTTTTGGTTATCCAGCCTTGGCTTGGGTTTTGAGTTATCCAGTCTTGGCTTGGGTTTTGGGTTATCTAGTCTTGGCTTTGGTTTTTGGTTATCCAGCCTTGGCTTGGGTTGTGAGTTATCCAGTCTAAGCGTGGCTGTTGAGTTATCCAGTCTTGGGTTCGGTTTTGAGTTATAAACTTTTGGCTTGGGTTTTGAGTTATCAAGTCTTGGCTTGGGTTTTGGGTTATCCCGTCCTTTTTTAGGAATGGCAGTACCTTTTTCTTTGGCTCTGAAGGAAAGTGAATTGTTTTTGGTCGTGGCAGTTTCTTTTTGTTTGGTTCCAGATAAAACAGAATTATTTTTGATCTGGTTATTTCCTTTGAGCTCAATGCTATCACTTGTATCATTGTCAGATGCAATCCCTTTTATTCCATTTATCCCTCCATTTATTCCTTTCCCAATTAGACTTCCTTTTCTGGTGTATCCCACTGATAGGTGATCCCTTTGTTGTCCTCTTGAGTCTTGTCGTACTGTCTGAATCTTGGGATATACATGTAGTCCTAGTAACGCAAACATGATTGATCCTATGCATAAGACTAACATAAATATCTTATTGAGACTTAACATGTTGAACTATTAATGATGAGAGGTCTTGTATGTTTCCAAAAATGTCGTCATGAATTGGTGTCTCTACTCATAAAAGATTCCAGTATAAGTTAATCGATGAACCTAAACTTGGACTTATGACCAAAAATTGATCATGTAAGTGATTATAAGTCACTAAAGATGGGGTACATTGGTACCTGGCTTATAGTTAGTAATTCCAACTGTATAAGAATATAAGAAACCTGCATATTCTCGCATCTACCTCACAGCTGTTTCTAACTGCACTTTTAATCATTCCCCGATCCGTAATGCTCGCCATTCTCCATTTGCAGTAACTAAGCTACAGAGCTTTGGCCCCATTTATTTGTTGGAGGTATTTCTTAGTCACTGGTACTATTAAGTTGATACTTAAAAAATAAAGTTAAAGAGGTCCTCTTTTGTCATGATAACATTTAATTTTCTGATGTTTTATTTCTACATTTTATTAAGTTTGAATTTCTGCTCGTAGCAAAATGTGATATTTTCATATCATTTATAGTTATAAACATAACATGAAGTAGCTTCGCATGTATCTATTGAATCCTACTGTATTCTGTTTTGTTAACTGTCTCTTCAGTCTAGTTTATACTATTTATTCGTTATTCATTATTTATAATCCACATTGATTTTCTCTTATGTTGGAGTACTTTCCTTGGTAAGAGATAAAAGTTATGTTAAGATTAATATGCAAAATATATTTTTTTCGATTTCTTATGTCACCACCAAAAAGTGGTGACTTATTTTTATGGTCTCTATTTTTATGTGACGGCGCATGGTGGTTGGCGTCTGTAAGAAATTCTTAGTTGGCGTTTGTAACAAATTCTTACAACTTCCAATAACTTAACAGATACTGTTTAGCTGACTTCAATTTTTTCAGAATTTCAAATCTGGCTTAAGATTTCAGATATGATGACCTTTCTAAGTTCAAAAAAGGTCAAAAAGGTATTTTTTCAACTTCTTCAGATTGACCAAATATTTTTTCAGAATTGAGTTCTCAGAAATTCAAATCTGTTTTTAGATTTTAGATTTCACCTTCAATTACCTTTTCAAGATTAAAAAAAGGTCAAAAGGGTCTTTTCCCAACTTGCTTCAAATATTGACCAATTTTTTCTCACAATCATCTACAAGTTCTCAGAAATTCAAATCTGACTTAAGACTGAACTGATATGTATCAGTTGCTGGCATAGTTTTGCCGGAAGGGTGCAAGAAGTAACTTTTTGCAATATAATATGTTGGAGTAATACAGTAGGTGTAAGAAAATATAAGGCTTTAAAGTGGTAAGAAAATATAAGGTGAAAGGCTTTAAAGTGGTAAAAACAATTTTCACGGCCGAATTGGACTTCAATTCCTACGATTTCAATGGGTACTACAGTATAAGATTATTTCTGCTTTCTACAGCATACATTATTAGTCCAGATATCTGTATTAGTCTCTGAAATATTCCAATAAATAGGTAAAATATGCAATTTAAGTCATCTTTAAGTCTGACTATTTTTTTTATATTTGTAGCTTCCAGAAAAATATGGCAGCTTAAATAGCTCAAAATTGTTTTCTAAAAACTAGTTCAAACTTTGTTGATACATTGTACTAAATTTAAAAAACATATATAAAATATGTAGAGTCCTTATATTCTCGTAATAAATGAATTGCATTGTCAGGTAACAATTGAAGATGTTTTAAATGAGAATATTCAAGTTTATATTTTATTATTTATTTTATTTATTTATTTAGAACTACGCTTTTGTATCAGCGACACACTTTCATAGGTGCGTCTTTACAGTAAAACACAATAACTGAAATTGCGTCTATAGGTTCTTAAAAAAATAATAAAAAAACTTGCAATTAATCTTTACTGGATAAAAGCAATGATGGCCATTTTGAAAAATTGCCACCATTTTAATGGGGGGTTTAATATATTTTACTATAACTTGAAAAGTGGTGGAGCGATTTTGTATTTGGTATGTGAATACTATAAGCATGGCACACTGTCTAATGACACTTTTGGTAGAAGGTGGCCATTTTGAAAAATAGCCGCCATTTTGCTGTAACATTCATTATGACAATCAGTCTGATGGCTATGAAATATAGTTGGATGGTGGGAAATAGTATGATATACAAATGTGTAAAAATCAATGTAATTCCCTAAAATGAGCAAAATGCATGGTTGCATTTTTTACCACCTTGTACACTCTATATTTCTCACTCATATTTATATGAGTGAGAAATATAACAGTGAATAATGAACAATATTATTAAACTGCCACGTACATTACCTATAATTTGATTGGTTTATGTCTTACATGTGATCCAAAATTAAATAACGAATTCCTTCCTCATGGGTAAAACCTGGGAAAGAGTTTGGAATGTAGCAGTTGTTATAACAATTATTTTGTACTATTTTCGATGAATTAATGTTACATGTTTGAAAATCAAAGATTGTGAGTCTCATACTGCACCGTTTTTCTTCAAACTTGTTTTTAAGGTGGGACCTGGTCCGTCAGCCCAAAAAAATCCTCGATAGATTTTCCTGAAAATCGCACAGTGTATGTAAACAAGTGGTGTACATATGCTGTAGAAATTTTAAACAGAAAAAAATAAGTTGAGATATAGTAAGTAAGGTTCAAAGATCGTATTTTTGAGGAGCCTATGCTGCTTAAATTGTCATATTTAACATGTAACCCTATGGGGAAACCATACACTTACTTTACCCTCGGGAGATCCCAATTAACAGAAAAACGGCTCGATAGATTTTTTTTAAATTTCAACATTTCTTTATTTGGAATATGATTATGCTTGTGTTAGTTTTTTGTAAAAAGATTACAAAAATTGTAGTCACAGTATTCAGTCAAAGTACCTTGTATTTTGAGAAAAGACCGGCATCCAATTCTATCCGTTGGCGGAGAGAACAATTGAATTACGTCATAAATTTCTCACCTGAATGATCCGACAAAGATTAAGACGATTCCCAGGATAATGGGGTTTAGCCTTGCTGAATCAAATGTAGTTCGTTGATTTTGAATATAATTCAATCGGTATGAATTACTACCACTAAAGTTAGCGTCTCACAGTCTTTGAGAATCAAGGACGTCTATAGGCCTAGTCCAAAGACCGTGAATAACGTGCTAAATCAACGGCGGCTGATCGCAAAATAACCAACTATTAATTAAATTATCGCCTCATGTACCTGCTATTATTTAATTACGTATACGTTGTGTCAAATCATAGCATCGAATGATATCGTCTTTTTTATCTTCAGTAAGTATTACCCATTATTATGGCTCTTCTTTATTTTGATTTTCATGATGTGCAAACAGAAGCTCCGCCGATCGCGCACGTTGGCAATTCACTCAAGTAAAGGTGATCATCAAACGTTTGCAATCACCGGTTAATACTAAAATCAAAAAGGCTTCTTTGTCGAATAAACTGTGCACATCTGACTTGATAATACACTACGATAAGGCTCGGCACTATTGATGTACGTACAAGTTAATAAACGTTGGTACGTTGTTCTCGCTTGTTGATATGTAATATCGTTTTGTAAACTCACGTTTCATCAGCAAAAAGTCAGCACTCGCGTACATAAAAAAGTCAAGCATATCATATGTGGAATGATCGTCATTATTGAATGACAAAATAAATAGAGCGATCGGGACGTACCCAATGTCTGCGGCAACAAGTACGATTGTTGAGTTCACTGAATGAGTACACATTGTTTCATTAAAGTGTGTACAAAACATGAGAGATCCTATGGGAAACCATATATTACTTTACTCTTCTTCTTACTCTTTACCCTGAGGGCAGGGGAAACAGAAAAACGGCTTGATAAGTTCAACATTTATACGCCACGATAATGCCAATTTATCGCAGAGTTTTGTAAAAAAAATTAAAAATCGTAGCTTGTTTTAAAGTACCTTATATTGTAAGCTATTGCATTTCTTTTATTTCCTTCAATTTTGTTGATAAGAAATATTTTGCAAAACAAAATCACCATATCGCGTTAACATCAATTTACATTGATGAATTATTCTACTAATTTATTCAACAGCTCATCTAATTTGATAGAACATCTTTTCATAAACTTTTTCTAAATATTTTTATTCTAGAAAAGTAGACTAAGCTTACAATGGATACGAATACGATGGGGTGGATTGCCGTACGCGAATATTTCATGTTAGGTACCTTTACCATCGCCAGACATGATTCTCTAATCTTATCACTACCTTTTTAGTCGGAATAATGAAGTCGAGCAGACCGAGATCTGTTTATATAGCGATATACGCGCGGCCTTGACAGAACTAACCTACTAACCTAGATATGCGACCTACTAGCCCAGAGTGAACTAGCTAATTTGCATAAAGTTTTT